ATCATTTTCAATAAAAATAAAATACTTTTTTTATAACATAATGTTACAATACTAATAAAACCAAAATTGATATTAAAAATAAATAAATTTAAGTCAAGCACAAATTTTGGATGAAGACGTAATCGTGAATTCATGAATTTAAATTCTGACGCTAAGCGTAGCAACTCATGTAGGTGCTGTATTGAAGACTTTTTCCATTTCAATTATTTTTATGATTCAGTAAAATGAAGCATACTTTTAGTCTTTTTTTGACATTTTATTTTTTTAAAAAATATATATATTTATATACATTTAACTTTTTATTTTTCATAAATTATTTTGTATTAATATGTTTATTTAAAATATAAAACTATAGCATGACATCGACACTTAATATAATAAATAATACCTCATTAATTATTAAATTTTATAATCGAAATTTCAATTACAACTTGTAACCAAATTAACTCTTAAAATAATACTCCCTCCGTCCTATGTAATATAGGTCTATTACTGTAAACATAAGAATTTAGATAAAGTATAATTAGTAAACAATTAAGAAATGTACGAGTAAAAATACTTATTATTTTGTAAAAATAATTATAGATTAAGATTAAGATAACTAAATAGTTTAATTAAGATTAAAAAAATTTAAATTTTAAATTTTAAAATATGATTATAAGTGTATAATTAATTTTCCAAAAAGAAAAGAATAAATTATGTGGAACGGACGAAAATAAAAAATAGAGACAAATTATGTGGGACGGAGGGAGTAATAATAATAATAATAATAATAGCCTTAAATATTTAATTAAAAAAATAAAATCCCAAAAAAGAAAAATCTTACAGAAGCTGGCAAGAGGTTGGTCCCCACGAGGAGATTATGACATTGTACTAACCCTAAATATTTCAAATCACACCAATTAATCATCACATCATTACACTAATACTCGTTTTGTTTCTTTAATCAGACTGTATTTTTAAAATAATAATAATAATAATAATAATAATAATAATAATAATAATAATAATAATAATAATACTCCATTCGTCCTATAACAAAGTATCGATTTTTCTATTTTAGTCCGTTTCATAACAAAGTATTCATTTTTTTTAGTAACTGTATTATCTACCTAACATTACAAATACTCTTACAACTTACAATATATTACATAAATATTATTATTTTTATATCACATATACTTAATAAGGTTATTTTAGTCATTTATATTTTATTTTTACTATATCCCAATATAATACTAATATTTCTAAAAAACGTACAAAAAGCAAATGGATATCTAATTATAAAACGGAGGGAGTACATCGGTCCCATAAGAAGATAATATGAATTTTTGCGTTTAGATATTTTAATATTAATTATTATATCAATACATACTACAAATTAAGAGAAAATGAAAATATATATATATTAGTCTCTTATAATATAAATACAATGATATTTATGGAATAAATTATACAAATATAAAAATATTTTTAATGTTAAATATAATAATACAAAAGACAAATAATGTTATTCTTACGGAAAGGAGGTAGCAATAATTTTTCCTTAGGAATTAATCTATTTTCAGTTTATTATTTTAATTTATCCAAAATTAATCAATCTATTTTATTTTTCTAGTAACATACTTTCCATATATTTTCTTTATAAAAAAAAAAAAAACCTTTTAATTTACATATTACTCCTATTACAATAATATTGTCATAACTTTCTGATTATTTTACAATATTACATTATATCACTCCCTCCGTCCGCGAACTAATGCCCTACTTTTTTATTTGGGACGTCCAACAACTATTGTCCTATTTCATTTTTTAAACACAAATTTTACATTTTTACCATTCATTTATTTATTATTTTTAATTTCTACCATTCAATTAAGGGCAAATTTGTCAATTCATAACAAAAAGACAATCATCTAAAGAAATCATGTAAATATACTTTAGGACAATAGAAATTGAATGGAGAGAGAATTATTCTATTGTACTATTTAGTCTATTTATATATAAAATGTTGATTTTATAAAATTTAATACAAAACTGAACACGAATTTAATACTTTCTTTATCTCACCTAAAAAAGAAGAGGGAGAATGATAAATGACATATTTAAATGATAAATGAAATAATACAAATATGATATATATAGTCATATTTATTTAATTTTTTTTTTTATAAAAATCAAATTCAAATATATATATTCGAGAAGGATCTAGTGAGGTTGACCATATGTTATTGCAATGCCCTAAAATGCAACTTTTAAGACTCATTTGGGAGAGATTTGGATTAAAAATATTTTAAATTACTTAATTAAATAAATTATTGATACAAACTAATATAATATAAAATTTAATTAATAGATCATCTAAACACAATATATACATTTTAAGAAAATATATATTTATTATATAATTTCACTAATCTTTATAAATAAAAATATGTTACTTTATATTACAAAATATAATAAAAAAATCACTCGTAAAAAAATAAAGGCATTTGTTTTTAGTTAAGGCCTATTATCATTTTAGTATAATAAAAAATTTGATAAAAATAGTCTTCTGTCATTGGAATAGTCTAGGATGTCAAAGCGGGTTAGTCCGGATCCGTTTTTAATGGGACGAGTTCGGGTCTAAATAATATGTTTCGGAGTAGGTTGTGGATTTAAAATTTTAAACTCGGTCGGATTCGGGGCGGGTTACGGGTTTTACTAAAAACCCGCCCGGATCCGGATCCGAACCTGGATATTTTTTAAAATTATTATAACTAATATATATGTATATTTATATAATAAAAATATATTATTTATTTACTTAAATAATTTTAAATATAAATTCAATTAGTCACCTGCTCCAAATAATTTTTTAAAATTATTATACCTAATATATGTATATTTATATAATAAAAATATATTATTTATTTATTTATCTTATTTTTATGGATCAATATTTGATTGTTTTTAGATTTTTTTTTGTGCTTTTAATGCTATTTGTGTTGATGTAATTTTTCAACAAAAATAAAGTAAAATTCAAAGATATAGAAAATATCTTTAAACTTGATTAATTAGTGCCTGAGATTAGCAATCTCTAAACACTGTATGGTACAGAAAATAAACTGGAAAATGACTGAAATTTAAAGTGGTGATCCCCAAATCTGACTTTGCTTTGTTGAAGTTGATTGAAGATGCCTTGCCAAATGATGATCCAAATCCTTAAATATTCTTTGAAGAAAACGTTCAGAACCGTCGCACTGTTTCACCAACCGTTCCCACCAGTTACAGAACTCAGAACTGCCTCTTTCATTGACACATGTCTTTAACCGCCTCGCCAACCGCATAACCCAACGACCGACCAACCGACCAATCTAGATACATAATTGGTCGCCAGATCAAAAGACTCACTGGTCGCCCCATCAAACGACCACTATTTGGTCTCTTCAATCGTCTGACCTATCAACAGACCTTTCTTCGTCCGACTTCCTTTTTCGACCGACCCCCATAGCAGCCAACCTTTGTATCAACCGACCCATTTATCCGACTGCGGATAATCCGACCTACTTGCCCGACCGCGGACCATCTGACTTGCTTATCTGATTGAGAACCAACCGACTGAGAACCCACCGACTGACTCTGGATACCTTATTATTATTATTATTATTATTATTATTATTATTATTATTATTATTATTATTATTTTTTGTGCGTAACAATTTGTTTTTTAGTATTCGATTGTTAAAAAAAGATTTATTATTATATGTTTTTAAAAAAAACGGGTTTGCCGGGTTGGCCCCGGGTTCGGGGCGGAGCGGGTCCTGGGACCGGGTGGAAGCGGAGCGGGGCGGGTCTCGGAGCCTAATATTTTCTAGCGGGGCGGGTCTCAGGGCTTGCAGAATCCAGTCCCGAACCCGCCCCGTTGACATCCCTAAAATCGTCTTTAAAAAAATAATTTATAAAAAAAAAAAAACATAAAATTAAACAAACCCCTATTGTAGAATTGTCCAACAATTTATATATATAATTCAACAACTTTCCCTTATTTATAATATTGTTACGTGTGTGAATATATAAAAAATTTCGATTGATAAATAGTTAAATTTTTACATTTGAAGCAATGGAAAACGACACTTAGTTCAATTTATATGTATTCTTTAAATTTTTTTTTTTTATTATATATCAACAATAAAATTTTAAATATACCATTAAATCATTTTTTCTAATCTCATAAAAAATAATACTATTAAATACTCATTGTATCATTTAATTTGTCAATTCTTTATATTTTCGTATATTCTATATGGTTTTTTTTTTTAAATATAATTATATACTTTAATTATATTTTAAAATTCGTAATATATAATTTTCTTTTATATTTAGTAAACTATTTAGTCATTTATAATTATTTTTATTAAATCATAATTATTTTTATTAATACACTTTCTAATTACTAATTATTCAATATTTAAAATTTCGTGTCTAAGCAAAAGTAAACGATTTAAGTGGGACGGAGGAAGTACTTCATATTCTCTTCGTCCCACATAAAATGTTTATATTTTATATTTCGTCCGTCCCATATAATTTGTTATTTTTTAAAAATATAATTATACATTTTAAATAAATTCTAAAATTTACAATTTATTCTTTTTTAAAATATTTTTTAAACTATTTATTAATTTTAATTTTAATTTATAATTATTTTTATTAATATATTTTAAAATTATTTATTAATTATATTTTATTTAAATTTAATATAAAAAATTCATGTTAGATGAAGAAGATAGTTTTTTATTATTCCAAAAAAAATACTAGTACTATAATGAAAAAATAAAATCCTCTCAACATAGTGACAGAAAAAAGAAATGATTTTGTGAATAAATTATTTAGTTGGACCAAATTGTAAAGGGGTAAGATAAGGGAGCCTAAGCCTAATCTCAATCATTATCACTAATACCAATTCAAACACCCTTAATTACACTCATCATTATCCTCTTCTTTTAGGTTCCTCTTCTCATTTCTGTCCTAAAAATATTTATAATATAAATATTTAAAATAATAAATACATTTATTTAACTTTTTTTAATTTTCTTTTTCTCTCTCTCGTTATCTTCTTTAGTTCTTCCATCACAAAGGGGATAATAACGCCGTTAAAACAAACGCCGTTTCCGTTTAGTAGTTGCAGCTGCTCACGTGACTTTCGAGTGGCTCACGTGACGCGCGACCCTTCGTAATGGCGTTGGAACAGCTGAGTCTGGGTGCGGGTCCCGTTGACGGCGGAGCAGACGGCCGTCAACCCTCCGGCGACGGCGGGGCGGCGGTCGGAGAAGGGAGCAAGGCGGCGCGGCTGCCGCGGTGGACCAGGCAGGAGATTCTGGTGCTCATCCGTGGGAAAAGAGCGGCGGAGAGTCGAGTTCGGAGAGGGAGGGCCGCCGCCGGTTCTTCTGCTTCCGGGCCGGTCCAGGCCGAGCCGAAGTGGGAGGCGGTTTCGTCGTACTGCAGGCGGTTCGGCGTGAACCGGGGGCCGGTCCAGTGCCGGAAGAGGTGGAGCAATCTCGCCGCCGATTACAAGAAGATAAAGGAGTGGGAATCGAGGGCGACGGCGACGGCGACGGACGACACGGAGTCGTTTTGGGCGATGAGGAATGATCTGAGGAGGGAGAGGAAATTGCCGGGGTTTTTCGACCGGGAGGTTTTCAACATCCTCGACGGCGGCGAGGAGGAAGCCGGCGGCGGGCTGTCCTTGGCGCTGCGGCCCGCGGCGGAGGAAGAGGCGGAGCCGGTGTTCGACAGCGGACGTAGCGCGGCGGCGGACGATGGATTGTTCTCGGATTCCGAGCACCCGGATCCGAACCCGATTAGAGAGGATCCGGGCAAGGGTATACCCGATCCGGATGTGATTTCAGGTTAGGTTTGTTTATATATTCATTCATGTTCAGTTTTTGAATTCGATCGGGAACGACAGGTTTTGGTGGTGTTGATTTTTTGTTAAGGTTTGGTTTTTTCTGCAGTTTCGGAGGAGCAGGAGGAGACGATTCGTCAAGAGGCTTCTGGTAAAGGTAAATTCCTCGTTGAATTTCGACCTAATTCGTATTGATTTGTGATCCGTCTCGAATGTGGGATCTGATCGAATAGTTCTGCTGCATAAAGCGTCGATACTTTTTTCGTGTTCTTAATCATTGCACTGATTGCTGAAGTTATTTTGCTTGGATTCACAATTAGGCATTCTCGCAATCATTCCTCGATTTCTTCAACACAAAATTACAAAGCAATCACCATTACCGTTGAATTTGTTCAGGAAAAACATGTTCCTGAACAGCCAAAATCTCAGTCATTTGGCATTACAGTAACGATTTTAGATTCTGTATTTCTGTGCTACCAGTGATTTGACAACATCAGTTGAATGAAACGAACCATTTGCTTCAGTCGAACACACAGTTCTTCTGTGCAAATCTTTTGAATATTGCTGGCTTCATCTGCAGGCAAAGACAGCGAGAAACAGGCCGAACCTGAAGCCGACGATCATGGCAGTCAAGAAGGAAGGAAAAGAAAGCGAGACGCAACCGATCAAGGCGGCGCGGGGACTGCAAACCTTGAGCATCAATTGATCGATGTGTTGGTCAAAAATGGCGAAGTACTTAGCTCAATGCTCGAATCTCAAAACGTGCAACACCGGCTGGAAAGAGAGCAGCGTAACGACCACGCCAATGGCTTGTTAACCGTCCTCAACAAACTTGCCGATGCTCTGGGAAGAATTGCTGATAAGTTGTAGCCAACACCCATGATTGTGTTGGATCAGGTCTATAGATTTTTACAGCGAGTGCTACAACAACTGATGAATTTGGTAAACTGCTGTAATTATTCATTACAGGCGACATTCAAGGGAATCCCTTTTCTGAGCTTTGGTAACAATGATCGATCAATCGACACTTTCCAAAAGTAGGTTCAAGTTTTTGTTGTTGAATTGGGCCAGCAGCCCAAATCCAGAAGGAAAGCCCTAAATGCTTGATGGGATTTAAATTGATGTTTATCCGCTCCATTACCATTGACCACAGACTGATCATCGATTCCATTTCTCTGCCCCTGCCTTCAGACAAGTGCTCAACCAGTGTCGGAAATCAGGTTCGGCAGATTGTTGATTCTCGATTTTAGTTTGATCAATACCGTTATCCGATATTCCGATTTGTATACTTCTATTTGACATGGGGTTCAGTTCGATTGCTGAATTTTCATTGAACTCGTTTTCAATCTAAATTATGGAGGTTTTTTAAAAAATGTTATGATTACTTTGCTGATACTTTGTTCAAACTTGTTCGATGATTTCATTCAATCTGCGTCTGTGGTATGATGATTAGATGATTTATTTCGATCAACTGTTCCATTGCTTGTCAATGAGAAGTAACTTTGGCTTTTGAGTAGTTCTATTGAAGTAAAATTGAGTTTACTCTTAACCTATCAGATCATCGTGCAGAGCTCGGAATTAGAAGTTCTGCCATGGAAGTTGGGAGCAACATTGTCCGGGTGCAGGCCTTACTAAGAGATGGTAAAACTGAAGTGCCACAGCAGTATGTGCAGCCATTGGAAACCAGGCCAGTGCAAACTTTCAAAAATGTAGATGATCTTGACATGCCACCACCACCGGTCATTGATCTTGGCAACACAGCGTCTCTCCACGAACAATTGGAACGAGCTTGTAGGGATTGGGGAGCGTTCCATGTGATCAACCATGGAGTTCCAATAAACTTGTTGGATGAAATGAGGAGGGTCAGCCGTTCGTTCTTCGAGGATTGCTCTATGGATCAGAAGCTCAAATATTCCTGCGATCCTAATTCCCCAGCTTCCGAGGGGTATGGTAGCCGAATGCTGGTGGCATCGAACGACACTGTTTTGGATTGGAGGGATTACTTAGATCACCATACTTTGCCTCTAGCTCGACAAAATCCATCCAAATGGCCGCACTTCTCTTCCAACTACAGGTGAGTAATAATACTTTAAGGTGATCTTGCTTGTGTCTTTGTTCGATTTTGTTAAATTTGAAATGACTTGATTGAAAGTAGAGCTAGCAATGGGGCGACTCGTATCGGGTACGTGTCGGGTTGAATATATTAAACGGGTTAAATTACTCAATCCTAATCTGACCTATTTATTGTCGTGTTGGCCCGCGACTGATGTTGACCTGTATACACAATTAAGTCAAAATTATTGATTAAAATTAAATTATTTTTTATTATACATATACAATGAATTATGTTGAATTATTTAAAACTGAACTTAGTTTAGATTAATGTATGGACAAATTATTAAATTATAAGTATCTTACATATATAATAGATATATTAATAAATATTAATATATTATAATCAGGTTGTCTGTCTTGTCGCATTGGAGTTGAGAGCTTCAACCGTAACCCGACCGTTTATATCATGTTGGGTTCGTATCAACCTGTATACATAATCGGGTTAAAATCTTTGACGCAAATCCAATTATTTCATATCGTATTGTCTTGTTTGGTCAATTTTTGCCAGCTTTAATTGAAAGAGCTAATTAACAGGGAAGTCGTGGCGGAGTATAGCGATCGAATGAACTCTCTTGCCGAAAAACTGTTAGGTTTGATCTCCGAGACCTTAGGACTACCATCTCCATGTATCAAAGACGCCGTCGGTGAATTCTACCAGAACATCACTGTGAGTTACTACCCTCCATGTCCCCAACCCGAGCTGACGCTCGGTTTACAATCCCATTCCGACATGGGCGCCATCACACTTCTCATCCAAGACCATGTCGGCGGCCTCGAGGTCTTAAAGGACGGTAAATGGAGCCTCGTTAAGCCATTACATAACGGTATATTCGTGATTTTATCCGATCAAACCGAGGTACAACTCATCGACTCAACTTCTCTTTCAATTCATTAATTACGCGAATTCTTGACAAAGCACAATTGTGTCGACGTTTTGCAGATCATAACAAACGGAAGGTACAAGAGCGCGCAACACCGAGCCATAACCAACGCCGAGGCTGCGCGCCTTTCGGTCGCTACTTTCCATGACCCTGCAAAGACAAAGATTATATCCCCGGCCTTCGATCCCCCTAAATATCGCCCGGTCAAGTACGGGGACTACGTTTCGTCGTGGTACACAAAAGGGCCCGAGGGAAAACGCAACATCGACGCTCTTCTCCTTTGACCGATGCTCTATATCGACAAAAAAACAAAAGGTAACATTTCTTACCTTTTTCTTGAGTCTTGAAATCTGCCTCAATAATAATGAACACACATTTGTTTGGCCTAAAGTTTTTAGACATTGTTGGAGATCCATTTTCTTTTGTTGTTTAGAAACTAAATTAGACAAGAAATGATGATTATGATCTTTGCATTTGTCATTATGTTATTTGTCAATTTGCTTTTTGTGTTTATTTCTGAATTGGGATTTTTATTTTTATTTTTATTTTTTTCTTGGAAGTAAAAATTGTTTGTTGTAAAATAAAAAGGGGGAGGTTAGGTGAAATAAAAAGTATTGTAATGTCTTTGTTTTGGTGTCTCATTGTTGTGAAGTGTCCCTATCTGTCAATGAACTTTTGCTTTATCTTTATATTAATTCTAATGGAAAAGGAACTGCTTTTCTTTCTAATTCCTGTTTTATTTTTTTGGAAATGATTTTATTGGAAGTGTTACGTTAAATAATAGTCTAATTTAATTTATTATTTTAGTTTAGAGAATAAAAATAAACATGGCATGTGCATAAAATAGATAAATTGAAAAAAATATATATATAGTTGAAAATGATGGTTTTAAGTTGCTCCATATCCATCATTTTTATGGGATTTGTTTATTTTGCCTTAGCCCTTTAGCCTGTCAAAAGCATAATGACAAAACCACATTAGTCCCACTTGTTCTCTACATTAACCGATTTATTATTTCCATTATTTATTTATTTTTTATTATTAATTTTTTTTTAGTCCATGTATATATTGGTGTTGGGGCTGTTAATGGAATTTTGTTTATTTTTTTTTAAAAAAAAATATAATAAAATAGTGGAATATATTCCTTAAGTCAGATTTGTTGATTAATCCTTTTGTTTTGGCCTCTTTTGAACAAGTTTAGTGTGAATGAAAGAATTGAGATTTTTTGGCCTTTTCATTTTCATTAATTTTTATTGTTTGATTCTGTTATATATATATATATAACTCACAATTGATTAATTCGTGTCGGGTTGAATACTTTAAACGGGTTAAATTTCACAACTCTAATCCAATCCGTTTATTATCGTGTCGGGTTCGTGTTGACCCGTTTATTATTGCGTCGGGTTCGGGTTGACTCGTGTTGATCCGTATACATAATTAGTCGAATTTCTTGATTCAAATTAAATAATTTTTTGTTGTGTTGTGGTGTTATGTTAGTTTTTATTGGTTTGAGCATAAATTAGGTTGAATTATTTAAAATTGAACTTAGTTTATGGTGTGTTTGTTTGGGGGTTTGGATTTTGGATTAGGATTTGAATAGTAAAAATTTTGAATTTGAATAGTTGTATGATGTGATATAAATAGGTGTTGATGTGATGTTGTGAATGTAAAATTGATTTTTAGTATAATATAAAAAATGAAATATAGGTGTTTGATTTGATATTTTTAGGGGAAAAATTTTGGATAAATAGTAGGATTTTGACAAAATTCTACAAACGAACAAACCCTTGTAAGAAACTTAATAAATTATGATTATTTTACATATATAATAAATATATTAATCAATATTAATATATTATAATCGGATTGTTGTGTCGGGTTTGATTTGAGAGTCTCAACTCTAACCCGACCCGTTTATTATAGTGTCAGGTTTGTGTCAATTCGTATACATAATCGGATTGAAATATTTGACTCAAACTCAATTATTTTGTGTCGTGTCGGGTTAGTTTTTGCTGGCTATATATATATATATATATATGTACTTTTTCTTCTTAATTTATATTAATGATTACAGTTGATAATTTTTATTTATATGTTTTTTTTCCTTGAAAAATAAAAATAAAAATAAATAAAAATACTGCAAGTAGTCAAAAAGCACACAATGCCTTGGCCATACTTGCTGTTTTAAAAATAATCAAAGTTCCCTTTTCTCTTTTGATTTATTCTAAAATTCCTTTGTTTTTTATCACTTTCACAAAACTGGAACTAATATATATCAATTCAATGTCCCTTTGTTTCTACTTTATAGACCGAAAATTTATATACTGATATTAACGATATAACATAATATTATTGACATGCCGAAAAATTTTTAAAAAAAAAAACTAAAAATGTTAATAATAAAAAATTCCGTCAAATTCCGGAAATATTTCATTTATAAATTACAAATAAAATATGATAAATTTGGAGACAGAATAAGTATTTTTTATTTACTTTTGATATCTAATTATTTTATTTATTCGGTATTATGATATATACAATAATATTTATATGTATTGAAAGTTAATATATTTATATCGGTATTATAATAAATAGTGAATTTTTGTATGCTAACAATATATTCCTTCCGTCCCACATAATTTGTTCTTATTTTTTATTTTCGTCCGTCCCACATAACTTGTCCTTTCTATTTAAATATAATTATGCACTTTAATCACATTTTAAATTTTAAATTTTATAATTTTTTCAATTTTAATTAAACTATTTGCTTATCTTAATCTTAAACTATAATTATTTTTACTAATATATTTTTTGATTACATACTGATTAAATTTTACATAAATTATTGTATTTGCAGTAATAAGCCCAAAATATTTGAGAAAGAGAGAGTACGAAAATATGCATAAGTTATTGACTACAAATCCACAAGATCATTCATCATCATAGTACAATATTAGGTGGTCTAAGGTGGCTCTAGTGATTTTTAGAGACAATTAGAGAAAATATATATTTTTTTGTCAATTTAAAAGATATATATATACTTTTTTTTTTTTTTTTGACGAAGTTTAAAAATATTTATATTTAAATGATAGTTGATGATTAATCTTTATGATTACCATTTATTTTTTTCGTTTGTATTTTAAAATAATGTAATAATATGTATAAATAACAAATATTTTAATGTATAGTAAATGAAATTTACTAAAATGAAAATGTATAATTTATCTTTTAACATTTTTAATAGTTCCGGTTAGGTAATTTTAACGGGTTCTGAACATATGATTTCGAAATTACAAGTTCACTTGTTACAGTAATTTGGTTATCCTCTAACCGTCACAAGCATTGGATTTTGTCGCTGCACGTGTTCGATATTTAAGTAAATAACAATACTAAACAACAATTAACTAATATTATGAGTGTAATAATTTTGATTGTGAAATCAAAATTATTATTATTTAGTGCATAAATTTCAATTGACATATAGTGTGTTATTTATATTGTTTTTTAAATAAAAATTCAATTAAAAACCAAAGAAATTCTCAAAATATGTATATATACATTATATATATATATATGTGTGTGTTGAGAGTGGGAAGACATTCCTATTTAATTCAGGACAATGACAAGATGAAAAAATACAATTTTATGTTGGAAGCACAATGGGGTCAGCTAATTAAATTTGTCCTTCCTAAAAACCTTAATATTATTGCAATATAAATATTTTCAATTGAAGGAATAAATCAATCACATAAATCCAAAAAAACCCTCAGAATAAAATGTCCATGCGAATGAATACAATTTTATTTAAAATAATAACAAGAAATATTTAAAACAATCACAATAGTTTTTTTTTTTTTTTTTTTTTTTTTTAATGATGTGATAACTCGCAGCCGCTACCTCAAAATGTGCACTGAGAATCACAATAGTTGTTTTCATAAGGCGAAAGTTTACCTTAGCTTTCATTAAAAAAAAAAAAAAAAAAAAAACTTTGCTTCAAATAATGTTGGAAAAAAAATATCTAAATTGAGATAGAATTTCTATTACAAAAATGTTATATAAAATTTTTTATTTTTATTTAAAGTATTAAGTTTAATAATGATTATTTTTTAAATAATAATAATGTATATAAACATTAAAATGAAAGAACACTTAGCCAGACAAGCATGACGTAATTTTTGGATCCTCTAAAATTTTTACTTTAAAAAATATTATATAAAAAAAAAATAGTTTTCAATACATATATATTTATAATTATAAATTATATGGATTAAAAAAAAAAAAAAACAAATAACATACCCCAAATATTTATAAATTTTCTTTTCATATATATATTTATACCATTACCTAATAATATTATTATTATTTTTAAGATAATGTGAGAACTCGCAACGGTACTTGTCGAGTGAGCTTTGATAAATTTTCGATCAAACTTAATATCCTGCAAATTAGGTTTGACAAGACAAGTATTATTATTATTATTATTATTATTATTATTATTATTATTATTTTTTTTTTTTTTTTTTTATATATATGTAGTGAACAGTGAATATTTTTATACTTCATCCGTATTTTAACAATCTATCTATTTTTTCATTTTGGTTCGTCCCATAACAAAGTATCTATTTTTTTTTTTAGTAATTGTACTATCTACCTAACATTACAAATATCTTTATAATTTACGATATATTACACAAACGTAATTACCTTTATATCATACAATATTAATAGGGTTAATTTAGTCTTTTTACATTTATTTTTACTTTATTCAAATATAATACTTATATTTATAAAACTATGTGCAAAAAGCAAATGAATATATACATATAAGACAGAGAGAGTATAACACAGTACAATATTAATATCATATAGAAGTATAAACTGTATATTTTATATACTTCTTCCGTCCAAATAAAAAGTATACGTTTATTTTTGGCGCATAATTTAAAAGATAATAGTATTTTAATTATAGTGGAAATGTAAAAGCGGTGTAATGATATTTTTGTCTTTATTTTACTTTTTTTTTTTTTTGTATAAAAGTAATGATGCGATATAAAATAAAAATATTTGTGAAAAAAATAGGATATTTAATTAAATAGTTAGTTTATAATTGTACATTTAAAAATAAAAATATGTATATTTTTAAGTAGACAAAGAGAGTATTCTATTATTTAAATATAGTTTAAAATTAATAATATATTATGTTAAAATATAAATTGTACATTATATTATTACATTATTGTACTTCTTTATGAATTGTTAATTTGACAGTAAAAGTTTTAGCACAATTTTAAGAGATTGAAGGTAGGTTTGTTTTGTATTTTTATTATTCTTATATTACTTATTTATTTTGTATTTTATTTTATTATTATTTTTTTAAAAAAATGTACTCATTCTGTCCCATATCTATATATATATTTATTTTTTTTATAGAGTTTTAAAAATATTAGTATTATATTGAGATAAAATATAAATAAAGATAAAAAGATTAAATTATCCTAATAATATTTGTGTAATATATGATAAATTAAAAGAGTATATGTAATATTATGTAGATGATACAATTATTAAAAAAAAAATAATATTTTATTATTAGACGAAAAAATAAAAAATAGATATATTGTTAAAGTGCCGGAGTATAATCAAAAAATTTCACATGGAAGGTAATAAAAATTAAAATGAGACAAAAGGAGAAATATGACTGTAGTCTTTCCTGTAGCCATTGCTGACAGATCCCAGGATCTCAACACCAGACAGATCCACACAGCCAATACCGTGGGATCCACACGAGGCCCACAGATCCCGGGACCTCCAACCAATCAATGGTCCTTTCCTTCTCAAAACACGCAGTCTGTCAAAACTCTGAAACAGGCAACTTTCAGGTTCCAGTAATAGCATCCAACATCAATTATAAAATTAACGAATTTATTGAACTTTTAATTCAAGAATAATAAAAATTCCATTAATTTCATCTACTAATTGCAAACCCAACTTATTTATTTATTATTTAAAATAAAGGGCTCTCAAAATTGACAACTTTTCTTGATTCTTCAACAAAACATTCATCGATTCCCAAGACTTGCTCCATTTCCTGCAGATTATCACAATACACAATCATCCATCTCACTTGCTCTCCACTCTCACTCTACCCACCACTTTTCTCTCTTTCTCACTCCTCCTTTGCCTTTGCCTTTGCCCTAGGGTTTGCAATCATAACCACCCCCCCCCCCTCTCTCTCTCTACCTCTTCTAGATTCAATTTTTTGATTTCAATTTCATCCCAGCTTCTAATGGAAAAGCATTGAATTGGACTCTAACCCTAGCAAACCCTGGTATTTTTCCTTTTTTTGTTTTTTGGTTCTTTTTTGGTTTTTGCCTATAAATTTATATTTATAATTTTTCTTCCTGTGATTTGGGGGTGGAGTTGGATCAGTGAAATTCTGGATCGGGGATAGAATGGGAAGGTGTATAAAACTTGGATTAAGCTTGAATTGGGGAAAGATCCGCCAGTTTTTATCTGTCAATGGAAGTGTATTGCTGATTTGAGAATCTCCCAAGCTGATAAACAGCAAAATTCGATATCGACAAGATGCATTTTGCTAAGCTCGATGATTCTCCTATGTTCCGCAAACAGGTTTGGTTTCTTCACTTTTTCGAATATTAGTTTTGTTCCTTTTTTTGTTTGTTTGTTTGTTTAATTTCATTTTGCACAAGTGATGATTTGATTGAAATTATTCCCCTTAGCTTGAAACTGCTTTGTAGTTTGTTCGAAAAGTTAATTTGCTGCGATTCTGATTCATGTCTGCTGAATTCCTGATGGGAGAATTCGATGCTTAGCATATTTTGTTATCAGAAACTTGCGATTCATAGTAATTGGAAGCTGAATTGTCGTGAATTTGCACTGTTTTTGCCACTGTGATTTGTGATTCCAGAAGAATGTAATTGAGAATGCCAAGAGCTCTATTAAGTCGTTAATGGCGTCGTCTAGATAATTCTATAATTGAATTTTCGGGATTAGTGATATACCTTTGATCTATGATGCCAATACTTATTCTTGGTGTTTTTAAATTTTTTCGGCCAAATTGCGATTTGATTTCGAATTTTGATGTAATAGCTTCGAGGTAGTTCGAGTAGCCCTGAGCATTTCTTCGTGGTAGTTCAAACTAGGGTGATTTGAGTTCCCTGTGTTGACAGATTCAGACATTGGAGGAAAGTTCCGAATCGTTAGGGGAGAGATGTCTCAAATTTTACAAGGGGTGTCGGAAATACACGTAAGAACAGAGTTTTTGTATCACATTTTCGTTGATTAAAAGTTAAAAAACTCGAGGATCAATTTTATTTCGAAGCGTTGATTTTTTGAACCAACCGATCGTTCTCATTTTTTTGTGAGGTTTGAATTGTCTTGTTCAATGTGTAGTGAAGGGCTCGGCGAGGGATACGACGGGGACATAGCTTTCTCGAGCGCGCTCGAAACTTTTGGCGGAGGGCACAATGATCCCATTAGTGTTGCCTTTGGAGGTATAACATTTTCCCGAGTTTTTTGCGTTGTTTCGATAAAAGTTTTGGAAATCGTGAAAAAAAAATTATTGTAGATGAATAGTATCAAAAGTTTCAGAAGTACGGGTAAACAGAGTTTTTCTTATATTTGTCTATAAGTTTGGATCGATACTCATCGATGAAGCGTTTTCTAAAGATGGATTCTTGATAATTCGAAAGCCATAAGTAGATACAAAATTCGATTCGATGATATTAACAAGTACCGTTATGGACGTAGGTCCTGTCATGACGAAGTTTACCATTGCATTGAGGGAAATCGGAACGTATAAAGAGGTTCTTCGGTCTCAGGTGAATTTATTTTTTTCCCTTACACCATTTTATCGAATACGAGGCTTATATTTGACTGATTTTCAAATTTTCCGACTCAGGTTGAGCATACTTTGAATGATCGTTTACTGCAATTTGTGAATATAGATTTGCAGGATGTTAAGGTACTAAACTTTGCGATTTTTAAAATCCTTTACGATCTTTTCAAGTGTTTTATTCGTTTAATTAATGGATACATTATTATACAGGAAGCACGGAAACGATTCGACAAGGCTAGTCTTCTTTACGACCAGGTAAGATACGCTTTCACAGCCTCGAGTTTCATCTTTTCGGCAGTTTGCATATTAATCCGCTTCAACGTAATTTCATCGTCCTGGATTGTTAGACCAAGTCAATTTTTTGAATAGTTCACCCCTCGTCCGGACTATAGTGGAAGATTAGAATTATTTGCATACATCCGGTAGTGTAAGCATAAAGAGTTCTAATGTGCCGAATGTCGCCGCAGGCTCGTGAGAAGTTTTTATCGCTTAGGAAAGGCACGAGAAGTGACGTAGCAAACACGTTGGAGGAGGTAAAATACCAGCTTGACATTGAAAAAAACGTTAAATTCACGACGGCGGTTTAGCGTATTCTAATCTCATCTTTGACGTTTCCAGGAACTTCACCATGCTCGGTCGACTTTTGAGCAAGCACGCTTTAATCTGGTAATCTTTTTATGACGCCTCTATTTGCTTAAACTCTTAGATATTACACCGAACAAAGTGCAGGTTCAACGAAATCGAATTGTTTGTTTTTTAATGAAAATCATGTTCTATAAGCGCATCGTCGCATACTCATTTGAGTCTTTTAATTCTTCAGGTGACTGCACTTTCCAACGTCGAAGCGAAGAAAAGGTTTGAGTTCTTGGAAGCGGTCAGCGAAACAATGGCAGCTCATCTTCGGTATTTCAAACAGGTAAAAATTGAACCATACGATTCATCGACGCCATGTTTCTCGACCCGCTTGATTCATTTGTTCTTCGTAGGGTTACGAACTCCTGCATCAAATGGAACCGTACATTAACCAGGTTCGTCTAGCTTAAAAATATATGCCGCTACGATGCCAATGTTACTTTTCCCGAGCTGTTTCTATTTTCTACTCCGTAGGTGTTAGATGCGATGTTTTGAATGTAAAATTGATTTTTAGTGTAATATAAAAAATGAAAATTAGGTGTTTGATTAGACGTTTTGAGGAGAAATTGTTTTTGATGTAGTAAATTTTCGGGAAGGGTGTGTTTATTTGTGGTTTTAGCTTTTTAGTTTGGATTTTTGAATAGTAAAAAATTGAATTTGAATAGTTGTTTGATGTGATATTTTGAATGTAAAATAAATTTATAATATAATATAAAAAAAGAAAAGCAAGTGTACCATGTGATATAGTAAAAATTCTTATATAAAACCCACAAAAGAACACAACCTTAGCATCTAATCGAAAAGGCACTTGTGTCTGTAGGTCTCAACTTATGCGAAGCAATCGAAAGAGAGATCTAACTACGAGCAGGCCGCACTTAACGAGAGGATGCAAGAATACAAAAGACAGATCGATAGAGAGAGCCGATGGTCTTCGAATGGCGCCAACGGCTCTCCGAACGGAGACGGAATCCAAGCCATCGGGAGGAGTTCGCATAAGATGATCGAGGCCGTCATGCAATCCGCCGCCAAAGGAAAGGTCGAACGGCATTAACATATATTCGATTTTTTCTTCTTCCTATGCTTTTATGCGCGTTTCTGAAGTATCGAACGTTTCTCAGGTTCAAACTATACGTCAAGGCTATCTCTCGAAACGATCGTCAAACCTCAGAGGTGATTGGAAAAGACGATTCTTTGTTCTCGACAGCAGAGGAATGCTTTATTATTACCGCAAGCGAAGCAGCAAACCTTCCGTGAGTTCCTATTCCGACGATATTTACGATAATCTAACACGGCTTATTATTTATTTTTTTTCTCATGGAATTTCATTATGCTGCAGGGATCGAGCACCCAACTTTCTAGCCAAAGGAATAGCTCTGAACTCGGCTCTGGACTGCTCAGCCGATGGCTATCGTCGTCTCATCACCATCACGGCGGAGTACACGACGAGAAGTCCGTCGCTCATCACACTGTAAACCTGTTGACGTCGACGATAAAAGTCGATGCCGATCAGTCCGATTTAAGATTCTGCTTCCGGATCATTTCCCCGACGAAGAACTACACACTGCAGGTCAGCTGCTTTATCCATCGAACATATATTCGGTATCCGATTTTAGTGATTGATTTGGGTAAAAAAAACGTAGTCTTCGATTTACTTGTCAGTGCAGGCGGAGAGTGCCTTGGATCAAATGGATTGGATCGAAAAAATTACCGGCGTAATTGCATCTCTACTGAGTTCTCAGGCTCCCGAGAGGGTAATTTTTCGAGGGTCGAACGTGAATTGTTTTGAAGTTTCTAAACGGTTAAAGTATCGATTTTTTTGTTTCAGTGTTTACCTGTGAGTCCAATGGGAAGCGGCCATCACCGATCGACCAGCGAGAGCAGTTCGTTCGAGAGCGCCGATTTCGATCACGGAGCCGTCGACGAATATGCGGCGGAGAGATTCGCCTCTTTGCATATGGACCGTCCTATGCGAAGCTCGATGCAGCAAAGAACGGGTCCGAAAAGCGAGAAGCCAATCGACATTCTGAGGAAAGTATGCGGCAACGAAAAATGTTCGGATTGTGGCGCTCCCGAACCCGACTGGGCGTCGTTAAATTTGGGCGTGCTCATTTGCATCGAATGCTCGGGCGTCCACCGTAATCTCGGCGTGCACATCTCTAAGGTAAGAAAACCGAAAACTATTACGAAGTGTCCCGAGATGTCCTAACCTATGACTTGCTTACCGTATTCGATGCAGGTAAGATCGCTGACTCTCGACGTTAAAGTTTGGGAGCCGTCTGTCATCAATCTATTTCAGTCTCTCGGGAACACATTTGCGAATTCCGTTTGGGAAGAATTGCTGACGCAGTCGAAAGACGTGTTTGAAGGAGATCTCGGCAAGACGGGGTAATAATTCTTCGTATGATATAAATCTTTTTAGTACATCCTTAAAGTTAGCGTCTTCGATGTAAGAAGTTTATGAAATGCAAAATTCAGGAAACCCGGCCCCGACGACTCGATTTCTACCAAGGAGAAGTTTATTCACGCGAAGGTAAACGACTACATACTTTCGATTTCTTTTTACGGTTTTTAAACGACGAAATATTCCCGATTTCTTGCAGTACGCCGACAAGCTCTTCATCCGGAAGCCCGCCGACGTTTATTCGGTGGCACAACAAATGTGGGACGCCATTCGCGGGAACGATAAGAAAGGATTATATGGGTTAATAGTCGGCTCGGAGATCGACATAAACGGAATCTACGTACACGGATCGTCGGGGAATAATTCTTCTCTCACCCTCGCCCGAGCGATGCTATTGCAAGAGCACACGGCGATCGATCCGTACTCCGGTTGCTTGGATCCCGACATATTGCGCAAGACGTTCTCGGGTTCTTCGAATTTTCCGGGCGAAGGTATCGTCGGCGATTTTGATCTCGATGGGTGCTCGTTGCTTCACCTAGCTTGCGAGATCGCCGATATTGGTATGATCGAGCTTCTTTTGCAATACGGAGCGAACATAAATGCTTCGGATTCGAGATCCCGCACGCCTCTTCATCGTTGTATCGTCAGACGTAGAGGCGCGTTAGCTAAGCTTCTCTTGACGAGGTAAGATCGTCGTCGTTTAATATCCCGGTCAGGGGTAGGAAAATATACCAAAATACCACATATATCGTACCGAAAATATGTCGAAAATACCGAATTTTTGGTATACTGTAAATTTCGATACGGTATGTACTTCGAATTTTTCGGTATATACTGAGATATCGAAAATTTTTCAGTATTTCGGTATTTTGGTATACATCGAAAAAATCGACATACCGAATTATTTTTTATATATTTACCGAAATACCGAAATGATTATCTTTTTATATTTAATATATGGTAATATATTCTTAATAATTCTAAATAGTAAAAAGAAAATAATAACTCGGTATTTCTGTGTTATGGTATAATGCGTTATATATCGATTGTTTAGATTTAGATATTTTGGTATAATATTATATATGCCAATACCGTTTAAATTTCGGTATAATACGGTATATATCTACCATTTAAATTTCGATATTTGATATAATACGGTATAAATCGATTTTGTTTAAATTTCGTTGTAAATTCGAAGATTGATCTCGAGACTGAGTTTCTTTTACAGTTACGAATATTTTGCATTGGTTTTTCAGGGGGGCCGATCCTCGGGCAGTCGATGGCCAAGGCAAAACCCCGCTACAGCTGGCGGTGGAGTCGAATTTCGACGACGGTGAGGTTCTCGCATTACTTTCGGATTCGCACGAATAACGACGATCGATTAAGGGCCGGCATTGTGTATCGGTAATCTTCGATGTGCTACGAACCGAACCCGGTGTAAATTACGCGTATCGAATGTAGCTTTTGCAACGGAGAGTCTACACGGCCGTGTTGCGAATTTGCTTAGCGGCGTGCAACGGAGATGTGCCGTCGTCGTCGTCGTGTTCTTCGAGTCTTCTCTCTCTTTTATTATATATATATTTTGTATGTATTTATGTATGTATGTATGTATACATAAGTGTTGAGGTTGTGATGGGAGTGAGGCATTGTTGGTGTTTTTTTTTTGTGTGTCGTTTGTAAATGTTCTTTTTTTGGGCTGTTTAGTGATGATTTTGAGGATTGGTGAGTTTGAAAACTGTTCTGTTTTATTTGATTTGATTTGATTTTTATTTTTTTTTTTTCAATATTTAGGCTTTTTTAATATATAATTTTTTGGCGTTATTTATGTATTGTTTGTTTTGTGTTTTGGTTTGAAATAATTTTTTTTTTTTCGGGGTAATAGGAAATTATGTTTATAATATAAAAATAATATTAAAAAAGTGTTTCTGTAATATTTTAAAATTTAAAATCCATTTTTTAACACATAAATTTCTCTTCTACATATGCATAAATACATGCTATATGTGTGTGCGTAAGTGTACTTTTCTACTGTGAGTTGGATTAGGTTTTGCATTCGATTTATGTGATGTTTTATTATTATTTAATTGATTTCGAAATATTGAAAAACGAAAATAAATAAATAAATAAATAAATATGATTCCATGTCGACCACGTACCCCAAGAAAAAACATTATGATTAAAATCGTACAAATTGCACAAAAAGATAAATTGGGGAATTAAAAAAAGCGGGAATGTGACAGTAAAAAACACTGCAAATAGGAGTATATATATATATATATCTACATCATCATATATAATGGCACAAATTTTATTTTATTTTTCTAATTTTATTGTTTATATTAATTTTTTTAACAAAATTATTATATTAATTATATTTAACAATATTTACTAAAACTAATTTTCATAAAAATAGTAGTATTAATTATTTTTTTAAAAAAAATTATAATTATTTTTAAATCATTGAAAGTTTTATCTAAATACTATAGTGATATTTATAATAAATAATTTTATTTATATATAGTTCTATTCTTTTACTTTAATAAATAAAAAAAAAATTTATTTTTATTAATGATCCAATAAAAATTTTATAATATTTTTATCTTATTTTCATATTAAAATACTCTTTCGGTCTTATGTACTATGTTATTTTTCTTTTTTGGAAAATGATTACACATTTTAATTTTATTTTAAATTTTAAATTTTATTTTTTTAAATTTTAATTAAATTAATTAATTATCTTAATCTTAATTTATAATTATTTATATTATTAAATAATTATTTTTACTAATATATTTTTAATTATCTATTAATTACGCTCTTTTTAAAATACGGTGTGTAGAGTGTAGCAGATACGTTAAGGAGTATTTTATTTTTTAATATATGTCGAAAGAAAGTGTGATAATTAACCGAAACACGGATAAAATAGTAAAGTAATAATAAGAATGCATGAATTATCGTGTAGGTAGATCAACGGTGAGGAAAGGCGGGTCAGAAAATGGAGGGTTGAGATTGATTGGAGCACAAGGTTCGATGTTCCGCTTTCGGCTTTGAGACAGCGACGCCAGCTAAGGCTATGTCCTTTGTGGGTCCCGGAGCTCTCCCCTGTCTCTTCATCAAATCTTTTTCGTGTTTAACTGTTTTTTTTAAGGTTTTTTCTCTTTTTTCTTTTTTTTCTCGTATACTCTCTCGATCTTATTTTTTATTTTCGGCCGTCTCAAAATAAGATTATCGTTTGTAATTTAGTAATTGTATTATCTAATATAATAAATATAAGATTATTGTTTGTAATTTAGTAATTGTATTATCTAATATAATAAATATCTTTATAATTTACAATATACTCTTTTCGTTCCATCATAATCGACGCTATTTTCATTTTTGTCTCTGTCGTAACAATTGATATATTTTTATTTTTGGTAAAAATTATTAAATCAAAACATATTTAACAAATATAAATCAACTTAATTAAGTACATAACATACAATATCATAAATAATATAGGACCCACTCAAAATCTTTTTTATTTCTACATCTCTCTTAGAAAAGATAAATATTTTTATCTATATTTAAAACTACACATCTTCTATAAAATTGATTTATATTAATTATAAATAAACAAAAATATTTTTATTTACTTGTATTATATAAAATTTTATTATCTACAAAATGATATTCATATTGCATATATTTTTAATTACTATATAATTTTTAAATATTTAAACATATATTTTAATTTTTTTAATTATATATATTAATTTACTTTATAAATATAAATATTATTAATTATAAACAAATAATATAATAATATCATAACTAATAATTATTAATTAATTAAACATCCTAAACTTAAATATCGTATCCCTAATCAAAATGCTCAATTCCAATGGAAAGGATAAAGTATTAAACAAATGTTATTACTTTTATATTGTATAGATATTTTTATCTTTTTTACTATAATTCAATATAATATTAATATTAAAAAATTTACGTGTAAAAAGTAAACGTCATCCTTCTAATGGAAGGAATGAAGTAATTTGAATGTGTTACGTAGATACGGGAATTTAGGTAAATTATAATTAGTAAATAATTAAAAAATATATTAGTAAAAATAATTATATATTGAGATTAAAATAACTAAATAGTTTAATTAAAATTTAAAAATTAAAATGTGATTAAAGTGTATAATTAAATTTTCAAAAAATGAAATTACAAGTTATGTCGAATGAACAAAAATATAAAATAAGAATAAATGATGTGGGATTCAGGAAATAATACTCCCTCCGTCCCAAAAGAATTGTGTTGTTTTTCCATTTTCGTCCGTCCTAAAACAACTATTCTGTTTCCTTATTTAGTATTTGTGGTCATCACTTTACAACAAAATTATTCGTACTTTTTCAAACTACCCATGATTATTATTCTAATTTACTTTTAAAAATTCTTAAAAAAAGTAAGGACATTTTAGTCTTTTACATTATATTTTATACTAATTTTCAATTAAATACTATTATTCCTTAATTTTCGTGCCAACTCCCAACAAGACACTTCTTCCGGGACGCATGAGTATGAAACAAGTTGAAAATAGCTAATCAGTATTCTATAATTCTTTTTCATTTATTTTTCCTTTTATTATTAGAATTAATTATAGAGATCAGTAAACTTTAATATATAGAAAAAAAAAAAAAAAAAAAAAAAAAAAAAACAATTAATAACTTAATTTTGAACACTAAGACAAGAAGGTGTTAAGTTTAACATATTTTACAACTTAGAATAATTCAACACTTAACAAAATTTAAACACCAGTCCCTTAACAATATATATTTATTTTTTTATTTTCGTCCGTCTCATAATAAAGTATCAATTTTTTTTCTAAGTAATTGCACTTTATACTAATATTAAAAATACACTTACAACTTATAATATATTACATCAAGTATTATTATCTTTATATCATATAATACTAATAAGACATGGTCTCGCATAACAGTGCGGGGTAACCACAGTATGTACTCAAAATCCCATACAAATAAGTATTTGGGATTAAGATAATAGTTATTCACTCTATTCCATAACAAAATATTTATTTTTTCATTTTAGTCTGTCCTATAACAAAGTATCCATTTTTTTTTAGTAATTGTATTATTTACCTAACATTACAAATACCCTTACAACTTACAATATATTACACAAATATGATTACATTTATATCACACATACTAATAAGGTTATTTTAGTAATTTCTACTTTATTCCTACTATATTCTAATATAATACTAATATTTCTAAAATTACGTGTAAAAAGCAAATGGATACTTCTTTATTGGACATAGGGAGTATTACTTTTTAAAAATAAATATTTAGTTATTACTTCCTCCGTCCCACGTACTGTGTCTGCTACACTGTAGACATAGTATTTTATGAGGGATGTAATTAGTAGATAATTAAAAATATATTAGTGAAAATAATTATCCGATAATATAAATAATTATTAATTAAAATTAAGATAACTAATTAGTTTAATTGAAATTAAAAAAAATAAAAAATTTAAAATGAGATTAAAATGTGTAATCATTTTCCAAAAATGAGAAGTGACATGGTATGTGAGACGGATAGAAACGACAACGTGGACATGCTATGCGGGACGTATAGAGTATTATTTATTTATTTTACTATGTGCATATATTCAATGCTATAAATTTGGTTTTTTAGATCATATTTTTTGGAAATTCTGTACTTGTGTCCGTTTGTGAGATATTGAGATTATATAAAATATAGAATAAAATATTTATTTATTTATTATATTATAATTTAATTTTACATTCAAAATTTTACAAAATAAATATTTATATCATATTAAATAATTATTTTAATTCAAAAATCAAATGCAAAACCAAAACTACACAAACATACACAACTAGTTGGCGCACTCATTTTTTTAAATATACTCTCTTTGTGTCATATTTATATATCTATTTATTTTTTTTACGAAGTTTTTAAAATATTAGTATTATATTGGGATAAAATATAAATAAAAGTAAAAAGATTAAATTAATCTTATTAGTAATATATGATATAAAGATAATGATATTTGTGTAATATATTGTAAATTGAAAGAGTATTTGTAATGTTAGGTATATAATACAGTTACTAAAAAAAATGAATACTTTGTTATGGGACATACCAAAATAAAAAAATGGATAGATTGTTAAGAGACGGAGAGAGTATTTTTTGAAAATATTAGTGGTTTTTTTTTTTTCTGAAAAACTTCAATATATTTTTATAAAACAAAAAATTTAATATACTGTAGACACTAATTATTTTACGATTCCTATAAAAAGTTATTATATTAAATATATATTTATTTGTAAAATATTAGGAATATCAAATATTTTAATATTCTTTATTACTCTCTCTCTACAAACTAATGTCCTATTTTTCTATCTAGGACGTTCAACAACTATTGTCCTATTTTTTTTTTTTTTTAAACACAAATTTTATATTGTTACCCTTAGTTCATTTAGTACTTTTAATCTCTACCATACACTTAAGGGCAAATTTGTCTATTCATAATAAAAAGATAACCAAGTAAAAAACCGTGAAAATATATTTTAGGGCAATAGAAATTGGATGGAGTAAGTATTAGTTTTTTCTAAATTGAAAAAGACAAATGTCTATAAAAGGAGACTTAAGGATTTGTGTTTGATTGTTTCGCTTAGGATGTGTTATTTTGATGAAAACAAATACATACATTTCCTAAAAGATATAACATATTATATAATTTAAAATAATATTAAAGTTTGTATTTATATTTTATAAAAAAAGAAAAAAGAAAAAGTAGAATAAATATAAATAAAAATAATGAAAAAAATAAGACGAAAGAATAATATTTTATATTAAATATTACTTTTATAAATAAATAAATACTCCCTCCGTCCAGCTAGAAAGTATACATATTTCTACTTTGGGACGTTCAATTACAAAATAAACATTTCATTAAATACCTTATTTTTTTCCACAAATACCCCTACTTAACATGACATCATTACTTTTACACTAAAAAATAAGGGCAAAAATGTCATTACACTACTTTTAACTACCCACTATAATTAAAATACTATTATTTCTTAAACACCGCGTCAAAAATAATTGTATACTTTTTTTTTTTCTTTTTTTTTTTTATGGACGGAGGGAGTAACGTATATATTAAAAATCATATAATAAAAATCTTACACAAATCATACAATCAATTATTGTTTCACTTAAAGGTGTGTTTTTTTATGAGTTTGAAAAAAAAAATTGATTTGAGTTTGATATGAAAATAATGTTTGATAGAATATTTTCTGAAAAAAAAAATGTATTTTTTTTAAGAAAATGCAAAGTTTAAATAGTAAAATTCGAAAAACTCGACTAAAGAAATATACTCAAAATAAAATAAAAATATACAAAACATAAACAAAATACACAATAGCAAGAACAATAAAAAAATATCAACACTAGGGTACGTTTCTTTTTGATAAGTTTGGTAAAATTTTGATTTGAGTTTTGTATTAAAATAATATTTGATAAGATATTTTATATAAAAAAAAATATATATATATATTTTTTTCGAAAAACGTAAAGTAAAATTTGAGGTAAAGAGACACGTAAAATTTATTATGGGTGTGTTTGTTTGGAGGTTTGGATTTTGAGTTGGGATTTGAATAGTAAAAATTTTGAATTTGAATAGTTGTATGATGTGATATAAATAGGTGCTGATGTGATGTTTTGAATGTAAAATTGATTTTTAGTATAATATAAAAAATGAAAAATAGGTGTTTGATTTGATGTTTTTGGGGGAAAAAAATTGGATGAATAGTAAAAGAAAAATCCAATCCCTCAAACAAACACACCCTATGTGTTCATTACAATTTTTTATTAAAGACACTATTTCTCATCGTGTCTTATGTATTCTATAATATTTTTAGTGTAGTATATTTTTATTATTTAATATTTTTTAAATAAAAAACAATTAATCATTTTTTATATGCTTCATGTCATATACTATACTCGTCCGACTGTAAATGTCTTATTTATTTTTTATGTATTGATATTTGAATATTAATTATTATATAAAAATATAATACAAGTTAAAAAAATGACAAAAATATTTTTATTAATATCTTATAATATTATTATAATAATATTTATGCAAAAAAATATACAAATATAAAAATATTTTTAATATTAAGTACAACACTTATTTATATTACTATTTAAATTCAAAATTTTTCTATTCCAACCCCTACTCAAAATACAAATTCACATACAAACACACCCAAAATATTATATTTTATATAATAAAATATTATGGGGTTGTTTCTTTTCCACCAAAAATTCAAGTTTATTTTATTTGATATTTTGTAAAAAAATATATTTTTATATATTTCTTTTACATAATATATATATTTTTTCTTATAAAATATTATATTATATATTATTTTAATATTAAATTCAAATTAATTTTTTTTTCAAATCTATTAAAACATACCCTATATTAAAACTTCATTTAAAATTTTTTTAAATGAAAAATGTGATAAGAGAGAATATGTTTTCCCTTCTACCTAAATGTTAAAATATTCTCATTATCACCACCTACATATGCTTACACTATACATACAAAGATACTCATGAAAAAGAAAACCAAAAAGAAACTTTCACTCTGCAGCATAATTTATCTCTATTTTTTATTTTTGTCTGTTCTATATAATTTGTCATTTTTATTTTCGAAAATATAATTATACAAAATTTTAAATTTCATAATTTTCTTATTTTTAATTAAATAATTTATTTTTTTAATCTTAATTTATAATTATTTTTATTAATATATTTTTTAATTACTTATTAATTATATTTTATCTAAATTTTTATGTCTGCAGTCACATCTTTTGAGTGAAAGTAGGAAGTAAAAGAGAAGAGATATAGGGTGTGTTTGTTTGAAGGATTTTGGTGGATTTCCACTATTCATCCAATTTTTTTCCCCCAAAAACATCAAATCAAACACCTATTTTTTATTTTTTATATTATACTAAAAATCAATTTTACATTCAAAACATCACATCAAACCCTATTTATATCACATCATACAACTATTCAAATTCAAAATTTTTACTATTCAAATCACAACTCAAAATCCAAACCTCCAAACAAACACACCCATAGAAGAAGAGACTCATTGCTGAATCAAAATAGAGAGAGAGAGAGAGAAACACACTGTAAATAAAGAGAGAGAGAGAGAGGGAGTAAGAGTAAGAGCGGGAGAGCTGTTGCTGTTTCTTCAACAACACACACATCAATCCATCAATCAATCACATTCCATTTCTCCCTCTGCAATTCGATTCCTTCCCTCCCTCAAAAATGGCGGACTGCCCTCACTGAACAACAATAAATAAATGCTCCAATTTATCAAATATTCCATTCCTTGAGACTTCTCTCTCTCACTCTCTCTGTTTCCCAATGTTTTGGTTGATTAATCAATACTAGCAGAGGATTGACGATGAAGACGATGATGAGAGATAACAATACCAGTATCAGAACCAGAATGAAGGTCCTAACAATGGCGGTCCTGCTGCTTCTCTGCCTAAAAATGGCGTTCGCCGAATGCAGAGACGGAGTTGCCAAAAACCAGGCTGAAGAAACCACCACCAGCAGCTTCAAGAACAGAAGATTGAAGAAGATATGCCTCAGCATAGGTTTAGGGATTCTCACAGGATTAATCTCCGCTCTCCTTTTCGCCATTTTTTTGAGACATTTCGTTCGATTCATCAACAAATCCCCAACCCTAAAATCCCCAATTCTCTTCTCCCCCAAAATCTCCCCCAAAACCCTAAAATCCGCCCTCTCAAATAACCCCCAATTGCTCGGTACAAATCCTTCTTCAACCTACTACAAAGCCGTCCTCGACAACGGCCTCGTCGTCGCCGTCAAGCGCCTCGACGGCGGCGGCGCCGACAGGGCGGCACGGCGGAGGATGCTGCAGGAGTTGGAGGCGATCAAGGGGCTCAGGCATAGGAATTTGATGAGCTTGAGAGCTTATGTTTGTGACTCTAATGGCTGCTCTTTGGTCTACGATTACGCCGGCGCCGGCAGCCTCGAAGACGCCGTCCGGCGGGGCGGCGCCGACGGGCTGGCGGCGCTTAATTGGGAGGCTCGGCTTAGGATTGCCGTCGGCATTGTTAAGGCGCTGCATTATCTTCACTTCAGCTGCGACCCGCCGCGGCTGCACCTTAATTTGAAGCCGTCGAATGTAATGCTCGATTCGGAGCTCGAGCCGCGCCTTGCCGACTGCGGATTGGCGGCGATTTCGCCGGATTTTCGCCGGCCGGCGTCCGGTTATAACCCGCCGGAGTGTTTTCAGAATTGCAGGTACATTGAAGGGGTTTCGGATTCGATTCGAAATGCTTTCGAGCGAGTTAATTTGATTGATCGATAGACGTTACTCGTCCGAGCTTGTTAATTTGATTGACCAAGCGATACGCCGAACGAATCAATTCATTCGAGCGACTTAATTTGATTGATTGATCGGTATTTGTTTGCATATTACGGACCCGAATGAATTGATTTGTTCGAGCGCATTGTTTGCATAATTATGCGCCTGAATGAATTGATTCATTCGGGCGCGTTAATTTGATTTATCGATCGATATTTACTTGCATAATTACGCCCCCGAATGAATTGATTCGTTCGAGCGCATTAGTCTGATCAATCGACATTTGTTTGCATAATTATGCGTCTGAATGAATTGATTCGTTCAAACTAGTGAATCCGATCGATCAATGTCTATGTGCTCGCATGAGTAATTCATTCAAGCGAGGTAATTCAATCGATCGACGTCAAACAATTCAATCGATTCGAGCAAGTTAAATCGAATAAATTGCTCGAGCAATGCTAGTTTACACAATTATGCGCACACTCGAATAATTCTTTCGAGCGAGTTACCTAAATGGATTGATACAATTAATTAATTAATTCGACCTAATTTGATAAATCAATCGATGTTTATAAGGTATACGGACAAGAGCGATGTGTACAGCTTCGGGGTGATATTAGGCGAGCTCCTAACCGGTCGGGACCCAATGGGACCGTTCGTCGGCGAGACGTCGAGCGGGGGGAGCTTAGGGCAATGGCTAAGGCACGTGCAGCAAGCAGGGGAGGCACGTGAGGCATTAGACAAGAGCATTCTCGGGGAAGAATCCGAGGAAGAAGAAATCCTGATGGCTATGAGGATCGCCGGCGTTTGTCTATCCGATCTGCCGGCTGATCGACCGTCCAGCGATGAGCTCGTGTCGATGCTGACTCAGCTTAATAGTTTCTAGAAAAATCGAGAAAAAAGAAAAAGGATATGTTTAGGACAGCCGGAAGTTCGATCGAGCTCTCGGTTGTTCCGGCGGCTGCTGATGCGCAACGATGTCGGAGTGGTTTTGCCGTGGGAGCAACCGGCGAGCTAGCGACGGCGGAGTGATTTTCCGGGCGCCGGCGGGGTGTGGAATGGTAGAGTAGTTTGTGTGGTTTTGGGATTTTGTGTTGTTTTGGTGAAGTTTTGGTTTTGGATGATTACTGTGGTTATGATTGGTAGTTTTGAACAGCTGCGCTCTTGCATCATATAGAGTAAATACTTTTCCTATTCAACATAAAATGTTTATTATTTTATTATTTTGATTTATTCAAATACTTTGTTACTATTATTTTTTTTAAAAAAAATATAATTATATATTTTAAATATTTATAATTTATAATTATTTTATTTTTTAATTAAATCATTTAATTATCTTAATCAATTCTGCCTTTGTGATATGAGTTTTAGAGTAGTTTTTATTAGATTTGGAGATTTGTAACGGGACGGAGAGGGTATTATATTTTCAAAGATCAACAAACAAAATGTAAATAGGACCTTAGAGTATGACGAAAATAGTATAATGCGTCTGTTCGTTAGCATTTTTAAATATAAATATTATTTCAAAATATACAATATATATTAACATATTATGTTATTTATTTACAAAAAAATTAATAATTTAAAATAGAATACTCTATTTGTCAGAAGGTACTATGTATCTTTTGTTAGTTGATATTCCAATATTAATTATTATATCATTATAATGTACAAATAAAAAGAAAATAACAAAAATATTTTTTTATAATACAAATATAATAATATTTGTAGAGTAAATTATATAAATATAAAAGTATTTTTAATTTAAATACAATAACGACAAAAAAATAAAAAATAAATGATACCCTTATTAGTAGTAATATATTTTATATTATTAATGCATATCCATATTTTACATAAAAATATAGGGGTGAGCAAAATATTCTAAATCTGAAAATCCAATCCGAATTAAACCGAAATTTAAAATTTGGTTCGGATTTTTCGGATTTTCAAATTGGATCGGATTGAATTTTTAACAAATTTTGGATTTTCGGATCGGATCGGATCGGTATACTTAAAATCCAAACAAATTCGAAATCCGAAATATAATATTTTAATATATTTTTTATTATATATATTTAATATTTTATTAGAAAATATTATATTTTTAATATAAAAAACTCAAATTTATTAATTATATTTTAATATATTTAATTCTTATATATTATATATATTTAATATTATAAAATAATAATAAAATATAAAAGAATTTAAAAATTTAAAAAAATAATAAAAATATTTAGATTTCGGATTTTTCGATTTGGTTCGGATTTTTTAGTTCGGATTACGGATTTTCGGATTTTGGTTATTTCGGTTCGGTTCGGTTCGGTTCGGATTGGTTTTATCAAAAATTTCGGATTTTCGGATTTGGCAAAATCCGAACCGAAAATCCGAATGCTCACCCCTATAAAAATATACTCCCTCCGTCCCAAAAGAAATGTCTTATTGAGAATTGGCACGAGAATTAAAAAATAATAGTATTTAATTGAAAGTAGGTATAAAGTAGAATGTAAATGACTATGTAAATGACTAAAATGCCTTTGTTTTTTTTTTTTTTTTTAAGAATTTTAAAGAGTATGTTAGAGTAATAACTAGGGGTAGTATGAAAAAGTAGGAATAATTTTGTTATAAAATGGAGACCACGTCTACTAAATAAGGAAACAAGACAATTGTTTTGAGACGGACAAAAATGGAAAAAAAAAAAAGACAAATCTTTTGGGACGAACGAAAATGGAAAAACAAGACAAATCTTTTGGGACGGTAGGAGTATATTTATCCAAAAAATAACCAAGTGGACAAACTCAATATTTTTTTTTATGAATATGAAAATAGTGAATTAGTGTATTAATTTTTTTTTTTTTAAAAAAAGGTATGAAAAAAAAAAGTCATAATAATATATTATATTTTTTTATAATATTAATAGAAAGTTTATAATGAGGGAGAGTTCAAGTTCTTGAATTACACTTCGGCAGAAAATTTATGAAAACGAGTTTTAAAAATTTTGAAATGAGTGTTTGTTTGTTTGAATGATTTGTTTTTATTTCTATTATTCATAATTTTTTTTTTTAAATGATATTAAATATTTATTTTTTATTTATTTTATATTATATTCAAAATACTATGACAAATAACTATTTAAATCAAAAATATCCAAACAAACACACGTCTAAGTTTGTGCATTTCATTTGGGGTGAAGAGCCAGCCAAGTTGTGAATGTCTTTTTTGACTTCCAATGTATTTCCTGTAATTATTATAAAGATGTTTTCTGGGGTAGATTTGTTTTCTTTTGATTGAAATGGAATTTTGTTTTAAATTTTAATTAAAAATAATATATTTTGATTTTAATATTATAAATTGAATAGTAATTTTTTTTATTTAAAATATAAAATAAACACACATCTTTTAACTTTTTTATATTATTAACATTATTAATAAATATTACATAAAATATTATTTTTTATTATATTAAAAATTCACAAAATTTCAAAATGGAACATTAATAAGTTTATATAGTACTAGTATTTACTCCATTCCTCTTATATATTTTGGACCTATTACTGTATATACTCTTATATATTTTAGACCTATTACTGTATATACGATAATTTATGTAAAGTATAATTAGTAGATAATTAAAAAATATATTAATAAAAATAATTATTATTTAATAAAAATAATTATAAATTGAGATTAAGATAAATAAATAGTTTAATTAAAATAAAAAAAATTATAAAATTTAAAATTTAAAATATAAAAAAATTAAAAGGGATAATCATATATATAATTTTTTTTTAAAAAAAACAAATTATATAAAATAGATAAAAATAAAAAATAAGAATAAATTATATAGTACCGATGGAATAATTTTTAGTTCTTAAGTATGAAAGAGAACGTAACAAAAGTGTTTCTAAACTTTTTGACCTACAGAGAGATTGGAATTATTACACATTAGTTGTGCTTCTGATGCTGACTCATTCTTTTACTTAATACTCGCATAGTCCTGCATAATATATCTTTATTTTCTATTTTCGTGCGTTTCATATAATTTATCATTTTTATTTTTGAAAATATAATTATACACTTTAATCATATTTTAAATTTTAAATTTTATAATTTTTAAATTTTAATTAAACTATTTATTTATCTTAATTTTAATATATAAACTTTTTAATTATCTACTAATTATACTTTTATCTAAATTCCTGTATGTACAATAATAAGTCCAAAATATGTGGGACGGTGAGAGTACCTAAAAGTATCAAATAAATAAAATAAATATTATTGATTTTGATTTAAAAAAAAAAAATAAATCGTACTATTGTGTGTGTAAAAGATCATGGAATGAATTTGTTTCTGATTTATTAACAGTTGGAGCATAAAATATTATCTCAATCTTATATAATCCTTCTTTATAGAATAATTATATTTTTTTTTCTCCGCTAAATTTATGAATAATTTATTTATATTAAATAATTTTATTCACTTACAAGATTATTCGTATTTTCACAGCTTTCCTCAACAATAATCTATATTTTTCTTCTTAAAAATCATCCTAAGTATGTTCCCTATATAAATATTATATCAAATAATTATTTTAATTTAAAATTTTAGGATTTTCGAAACCTTACAGCACATATAAACTCACACATTTCCAAGGCGCATAAAGAAATATAATCAAGGTAACAAATCCTCTCTATGTCCCAAATCTTTTGTAGTTATTTTTAATTTGAGATTTTCAAAACTTTTGCAATCATTTATTTTTTACACACATTTTTTTTAAAAAAATATTTTTAAAAAATTATAAAATTATTTCATATAAAAAAATAGCAAAAAATTTACTTTGCCAAATTGACTGTCAAAACTAAAACTAGCAAAAGTAACTAGATCTCGTTTTTTTTAAATAAAAAATTATTATATTTTTGTACTTTTTTTTTACTATAAAAAAAATAATAACCATTATTATTCATTTTTATTAAAATTCGTGCCCTATCAAATGAACACACATTTGCACGATAAAAGGAGTATATTGTAACCAATACAAAGCAATAATAATAATAATAATAATAATAATGTCTTATTTTTGGGAATCTATCTTTTGTCCTGTAAGAAAGTTGAAGTTTGAAAGGAAAAGAAAAAAACAAAAAAAAGCTGACAGAGGGATATTATTATTATGCAGCATATAATGCTAAAAGCATAACTTTTATTTCTTTCCTACATCCCAAATCCATGTCAAGATTATATTCTCATTTCTTATCAAAATACTCAGTGAAATCAATTTAACTTTCACACAATGGCAATATGAATAATTCATTTTAAAATTTTGTCTCTGTTTACATTGATATTTTTTAAATTACTTTTTTCTTTCATCAGCCAAAATTATTCCCACCGTCCTAATACAATAGTCTTGTTTACTATTTTTGGCTGTCTCAAAACAATAGTCTCATTTTCATAAATAACCATATCAACTTAAAACTATCAATACTTTTTCAATATTATTACACAATTGCACTACTTTTTATACTAATATACAAGGACGAAAAAATCATTTATCATTATTTTTTATCAACCGCCCATATAATATCAATATTCTTTAAATCTAGTACCTAATCCAATAAGACTATACTTTTGGGACGGAGGGAGTATCAGTTTTGTTAGTTGTCCACTAAATTTATGCATAATATATTTATAACAAACAATTTTATTCATCTATAATTTTACTATACCTACTTTAACAAAATATTTTTATATTAAAATATTATAATTTTTTAATTTCCGTGTCCAAAAATTAATAACTTTATATTTGAAGCATCACATCAAATATTCTGACTTTTTAACTATTCCGAAAATTGATCAAAAACTCCAAAATTTCTATATAAACTAATTTCATTTCTAGAACAAAACTTTCAGCACAGAGCATCACAGTACTAAGATGTCAACAATATTCTTCAAAAAGAGAATCAAATTCTAAAAGAATCATGCACCTTTGAAATTGCATAGGTGATTCTCTGGTGAAGCATCTCAGAATCAGGAAGGATTAGCCTTATGTCCGAAGAAGAATCGGGACCGTCCAATGGTCGGGCGATGCAAGTGTACGATCCAGATTGAGCAGGAGCCGAGGGAGGAAGCATCTCAGGCCATTATTTTAGCATCTGATCAATACCTTATAATGTTTGTGTTAAATGACCAAACTCAAGTCCCACACCGTAAAAATAAGGGGAAAAAAATCATTAGTTATAAATTAACATCTAACCGAGACTTTTTGGAGAAATTTAAAAGCATATACGTGCGGACTTGGTCTAAAGCGGACAATATCATACTAACGTGGAGTTGTTATGACCTAAGTTTAAGCTGATAGGGAAATGCGTCGTTAATTACATATTATATTCTCTTCCAACAATTTCCATCTCTATATATAACATAAGTAAAAGAAAGCGAAAAAGAGTACTATTTATGGTGCTCTAGCCAGAAAAAAATACCATTCCTAAGTTAGGATTGAATAATTGATTCTTGAATTTGTGTATTTTGCGAATTCAAATATGTGAAGGGAACAATCGAACACTAAAACTAATTTGCTAGGTATAGTCTTGGTGCTTAAAACTCCTTCTAAAATTACCCTTTGGATAAGTTCAAAAGTAATTTCGTACGGGCTTGATCTAAAGCGGACAATATTATACTATCATGGATTACCTATTCATAGCAAACTTTTAATCTAAGTTTAAGCTGACAAGGGAACGCATCATTAATTGCATATTATATATTCTTCCAACAGTTTCCATCTCTATATATAACAGAAGAAAAAGAAATAAGGCGAAAAAGAGTACCATTTAGAGTTCTCTAGAGGGGGCAAAATTACCCAATAATGTTTTCATTAAATAACCAAACTCAAGTCCCACACCGTTAAAATAATGGAAAAAAATGGTATAAATTAACATATAACTGAGACTTTATGGAGAAGTCCAAAAACAAATTCCTATAGACTTGTCTAAAAGGGGGAAAATATCATACTAACGTGGAGTAACCCATTCACAATAAACTTTTGATCTAAGTTTAACCTGATCGGAAAATACATTGTTAATTACATATTATATACTTTTCCATCTCTATATATATAACATAAGTAAAAGAAAGACGGCGAAAAAGAGTACCATTTAGAGTGCTCTAGCCAGAACAAATACCATTTCTAAGGATTGAATCATTGATTCTTGAATTTGTGTGTTTTGTGAAATCAAATATGTGAAGGAAACAATTGAACACTAAAACTAGTTTGCTAGGTATAGCCTTCGTGATTTAAAACTACGTATAACATTAATGTGAAGTTCAATGTGAAGTTCCTTCTACAAGACCTTCGAGTACCAGATATTGGAGAGCGATGGAATACTTAGCAGATTTCGACTTCTGATCATTTGCATTATCCGAGTAGTCCTTAAGAATATATGATCCCGAACCATCACCTGAAAAATACAAAAAAAATCAGGGATTCGTAGCAATATAAAAACTGCAAAGGTCAAATGTTATCTACCTTTAATGGTGTAGATGGTGGACATCCATCTCTTGTAAATGTAAAGAAGCCTCGGAGTGTCGCCTTTGTGAGTGTCGGATAATACAAGTTCACAAAGACCATTTTTACTGTTGCAGTAGAAAACTAGAAATATAAACTCAATATAACCAAATTTAAGTAATGTGAATAGATTGATTAAGAACTACGTGCTAAGAAAACAATGCCTACTTAGCATGATTGATGGCATTTCGACAAAGAGCTAAAACTCTAACCATCGCCAAATCCCTTCCTCGAGGGTTGTTGTATCTCTTTTGGCAATTCCTTTAAGAATACGTATTTAAAATGTTAGCAATGGAGAGGAGTGAAGCTGGAACTTGATAATGATGTAATAAAATCAAGAAAAGCAGCCTAAGGATTGATTAACTTATTTCCATATCTATATATATATACATATCTTTGGGTTAGTATTTCATATATGCATATTCAACAACTATAGGCAGCATATGAACAAATCGATATTTTTAACATAGATTAATATATGCACAACATATTTGACAGCTAAAAAAATGATTTTTAGGGTGCAAAAAACATTACTTTTCGAACAACCTAACTAAATTACAAAATAACACATCAATTATCCAAATGAGTATGCTAAGAACACTCAACAACTTGTCTTGTTTCGGCATCTCATACATATATACACACACACACACACACACGTATTCAACATTATTACAATCAACCAATAAATACATTCGTCGTGTAACTTCTAATTATGTAGGAACAACATATGATTATTGTCAAAACACCATATCGTATATCCAAATTCAGCATATTCAACCTAAAAAAACATATGTAAATCACTACAATGGATTCATACATACACACACACACACATTGGCACATCAAATAAATCATACACAGTTTCCAACACATAACTACATAATGTACAAAATGCAAAGCTCCATCATGGAAGGAGTAACTTCACCTTTCATCAAAAAAATCCCCAAAATCGTCGATAATAACAGATGCAGGGAAGGAATGGTGTAAGTGGAATGCTGCAAAATATTTCTTGATGCCTTCATCATCATCTACATATCTTTAAGCAAATGTAATTGCAAAATATTACCATTACCACAACTTTGAGTTATGAACAGACTAGCAGAATTAAACCAACAGCATCAAATGCTTCCCGGTAGAATTCACTTACTTCATTTGAATTCTTCGGAATATGTCGGAGGATGGATCAACACCCTGCAATTCACAGCCAGAAAAGGTTTCCATGACACTTGTTAAACAGGAAAATTAGAAAAACAAAGGAAATGTGAAAAATACGAAGGAAACGCTGAACCTGAGAGAGGAATGGGGGATTTGCTTCCAGCTTGCGCCTATTGCAGAGAATGACGACGGAACCGCCGCCCTCGGCTAGAGTGTTCAACGCGAATTGGAAAAGCAGTGAGGTCTTACCACTGCGCAAATGGTAAATCCGATTCAATTAATAATTTAATACATGCTTATACTACAAACATTGAGATCAAAAAGAAGGCGGAGATGGATTACGAAGAAGGCGGACCGGAGAGGAGCACAATGGGGTCGGATTGGGTCCTCGGCGTGCGGTGGCGCGTGAAGAAAAATCTCTCCGCCATTTTCGTGTATATTTTTATGATTTTTTAATTTGTTTTTATATAGAAAAAACCATTTAAATATTTATTTTTATTATAAATATTATACTATTAAAGTTTATTATCTATTTTAGAAATAAATACTACTTTCAATCTGCTAAATTTAATTATATTTATTCTTTTTTTATTTGTTGTTATATATTTTTTATTTAACAAATAATTTTTAAGTATTCTTTAATTTATACCCTGTACCCTTCAACATTTGTATATATATTATCCATATCTATATATTCAGTTTATTTAAAATTTTATTTCACCTTGTTAATTCACTTTTAATTTTTTTTTAAATATTTTTACTTTAGTTTACAATAAATCGATACTATAACATTACATATTCAAGATGTATATATATACTATAATATTACATATTCAAGTGTATATATATATATTTTTAATGACAGAGAGATTACCGTTTACTAATATTTATTTTTTTATTTTATAAGACGATGTAAAAGATTATAAAAATAATAAATTAATAATTTTGAAAAAACTATTTATTTATTTATTTTTAAAGAACACACCCTTAATTAGCGACAGATAAGTATAATTTAATAATTTGATGATAATTATATTATAATATTATTTAAAATAAAAAGATGTTTATGTTTGTAGTCCTCTAATTTACTGGCTATTAGATGTAGATTTGGCTGTCTATTAGATTTGGCCGGAATTTATCCCAAATATACTTAAGTTTTAATGTATATATATATAAAGTTTTCCACAAAATGTGTTGTGGAACCTAAAAATTAGGATATTAGTTTTCAGAAGTTTATCCAAAATGCACCAGGATAGCAGCTGTGATCCCACATTATTAAAATAAAAATAAAAATGACAGGCAATATTGCAGTGAATCACAAAGCTACAGCAACAATGCATAGATCCACACAAATGCTACAATGACAAATATCATTATTTTTCCAGGTGACCAAAATTGAAATAAAATTCAAAATATCCTCATAATAAAATGATAAATAATATCACCGATCATAACAAGATTGGGGATAATTGTCCTCACCTGAATCATGTGCTGAAAACTAGAAGCAGTTCTTAGCTCGTAACAGCTTCCATGGAGCCATTGTTGAATGCACCATCACTCCCCAACCCCATTTCGATTTCGGTGCTCTCGAAGAACGATCGATGAAGGGCCTTCACGCATTGCTCTGCTTCGCTATCGTTTACAATAAGCGACATGTTAACCTGTAGGGAAAACAAAAAAAGAAAATGAATGCGAATAGTTTCCGGTTGGGGCATTTCTGTAGAGTCAGTAAAGTTATCGAAAGTTTGCTGTGTGTGAATTTCAGTTTCTTGTTATATCATTTACCTTCGATGCGCCTTGGGAGATCATCTGGACATTCACGTTCATTCTCCCGAAAACATTGAAGGCCTGACGACGACAATAAGAAGTGAAGAAGGCTTATATATATATATATATATGTATATGTAGGTGGCAGCTATAGTGCTGAATGTAAAATTCAACACTGTGTTGAATAGCACACCGTGTACTAACGGACAACACACGGTATTACCAATAATATGCGTTAATATAATACAAATACAACACATGACCTAATAGCACATGATATAGTCTTATACAACACATACAGTAGTTGATTTTAGCACATGACATACTCTTATTCAGAACACGCTGTAATTATGAACAAACAACAAATGCTTTTATTACAAACAACGCATGCTGAATGTAATAAAGGCATGTGTTGTTTCTGTATTTTACGTATGCTGATTTAGAATATGTAGGGATCGAGGTGGAAACAACAGACGAGAGGATTTATACCTTTTCTAGTATCAACGATGACTGATGGACATTTCCGATGAGGGAGATGATAGACCGGCGTGGCAAGAGTTTCACCACTGCGATTTTCCCGAGCTTTTCAGTCACACGGTCCAGTTCCTATATAAACACACAAATGGTTATCAATGGTTCGAATGTCTGTTCGACTAATGGTGGGAAAAAGCCTTGAACTTGCCTGCTGGATGAGTTCCCTGCTCCAAATTTTAGACGGGTCGAGGGTAAGAGAGATGCTGACTTCGCTAGTCGCCACAACGTCTACAGAGATTCCCAGATCTTCGAATATAGAGAATACCTGAACGTGTAAGAACGAATGAATAAATAGACAAGAACGTCGATCCACGGTTAGTGAACAAATAGTGGCACGTTTCTACCTTTGCGAGGAATCCGAACTGACCCAACATTCGGGTACTAACGATATCCAGCATAGTGACATTTTGTTTCAAGACTATACTGGTAAGCAAAACCTGCCGTTTATTCGTTATTAATAGGTCGAATTCTTCAGGATTATAATCCAAATAGCGTTCGAATGTCACAGAAACCACACCTTGGACATGTCTCGATTTCCCGTAATGAGAGTGCCAGAAGCTTTAGGATTGTACGAGTTCTTAACCCTGACTGGAATATTAGCATCCATGGCTGGTCGCATGGACTGCGGGTGCAATACCTGCAGAAAAATGGCTTAAATCTCAATCCGTTTCTAAAAATTGACTAATCTATTCTGCAGCAGCACGGCAACAGTAATACCGCCGATACAATAATGGTTTAAACCTGAGCTCCAAAATATGCAAGCTCTGTGGCCTCTTCGAACGTCAAACAAGGCACGGGTTTTGCGTTGGGATGAATAGTGGGATCACATGTGAGCACACCATCAACGTCTTTCCAGACCTGTATAGATTTCACATTGGTGCTCAATCGTCTTATTTACTTTTTTGAACAACATCCATTGGCTACAACAAATCCTGAAATTTAGTTTGCACCTGAATCTCTCGTAAACCCAAAGCTCTGCCGATGGTGGTAGCTGTCAGATCACTACCACCTCTGCCCAAAGTGGTGATTTCACCCGACTTGCATCCCTGCAGATGAAAAATCATCAAAATTATTTTTACTAGGCTGGAAAACAGATTAAACCTCGAGCAATTTATGTAGCAGGAAGACATTTGCAGCTTTAAGAAGGAGACAGACCTTTCCGAGGAAGCCAGTAACTACAGGAATTGAACGATCCTTAGTCCAGTCGACGTCTAATTTACTGGCAACAGCATGGTATGTTTCATCGAGAATTTCTGCGTTTGTGAAATCATCCGTAGTGACAAATCCAATGCGAAATGCATCATACTGCAGCAAATACAGACCACTATAAGTTCATTCGATATTATTATGGACCGAACAGAGATGACTAAAGATACTATTGCTTCAAAACATGACAATTGCAAGTGTACATTTAGGTAACCTAACCAAACAGTCCTTCGATATCTGCTAATTTCACTACTTATTAGATTTGTATTAAAACATTTTGCTTTCACCCAAGGGTTCGTCATTTGTATAAAAAGCTTTTGTTTCTGAAGTTTCGGTATATTTTGAGTATGAAATTCAGAAAAATTTCAACATGGGATAGTAGATGTGAAAAACATACTTGCCGTGCTTTGACGCCAATTTTGTATTCGTCATTTGTATAAAAAGCTTTTGTTTCTGAAGTTTCGGTATATTTTGAGTATGAAATTCAGAAAAATTTCAACATGGGATAGTAGATGTGAAAAACATACTTGCCGTGCTTTGACGCCAATTTTGTTTAGATAGGCAGCAAAGATTCTTGTAGACATGCACTCTCCAAATGACACGAGTTTATCTTGAGTTCGAAGAGTCAACTCCTTCAATCTAGCAATTCCGTTCAAAAGCAACTCCAGCTCTTCCAACTGCTCTGAAAAAAGCTACGAGCATTATGCCAAAAGATATACATACCAGGCAATAAAGCCGATACACACCTAGTTAAAACTCGACAGTACAGGAAGGAATAAATTATTGGCAAAACAGGCCGACCTAAATGTCTATTTATTAACAAAATAAACGACGTCTTCCAATGTTTCCCTTTAGTATGTATTTTCACATAATTTTTTCTATCCCAAACAACTGAAAATAATGTATGAAGATACCCACGAATTTCCGGACACTAATAATGGACTAGATACTAGTTAGTTTGCTTAGTCTAAACTGGCGTCGCATATTGAGTTTGTCAAAAAATAATTTGGTAGATCTAGAAGCCAAAAAAGCAACCCATGACAAAACCTTCTTACGAAGATAATATCACATTCGAAACCACCTTCAACCTCCACAAGAAAGACACAGCCGAACACCAGGCTTAGCAGGCAGTCATTAGCAGCCCAGATCGATAAAAATGTTATGATGCATAGCCATCGTTCCACCATACATAAATTATAATTACGACAAAAGTAAAAAACTAAAAGAACAATGCAATTCTCACCAGATATCACAGAGGCATCCAATCCGAGCTCCTTTACTGTCCTGAAATTAAAAAAAGAAGAAGAAGAAAAGACAAGCCATTCATTCATCAAATTCAAATCTAATCAGCTGGTTAATCGAATAGTTCTACACTATACAAGGTCAAAGACACATTCAACCTCAATTGGAGCAATGATCGATAAATACAAACAGAAAAGACACCATTTTTCATGCGACACATAAAATTTCACCAAAATTATTAAATCAAGAAGCATTGAATGAACACAATTGAACCAAGCCATCGAATCCAAGCTCCTTTACTGTCGAGAATTTAAACAAGAAGAAGGAGAAGAAAAGACAAGCCACTCATTCATCAAATTCAAACCTAATCAGCCGGTTAATCGAATAGTTCTATGCTACACAAGGTCAAAGGCACATTCAACCTCAATTGAAGAATGATCGATAGATACAAACAGAAAAGACACCATTTGTATGTGATGCATAGAATTTCCTCGAAATTATCAAATTGGGAAGCATTGAATGAACACCATTGAACCAAAGACCTTTACCTAAGATGATGTTCCTTTATAAAGGCCAGCTCCTCAATCTCCATAACGTTACAGTATCCACAGCTCAGAGCTTTCTCTCCTGCCTGAAATTCAATCACTTTTAACCAATTACAGCCAAAGAATTTACTTATATATGAATAATAGAATAAACTTAAATGGCAGTTTTGTATACACGGAGGAGCTTATTCGTAGTCTTTCCCATGGCGGACAGAACAATAACTGGCCTTTCCTCCGGGAAGCTGAGGATGAGATGAGCAACCTCTATCATTCTCTCCGCCGACGCCACCGACGATCCGCCGAACTTCATCACGCAAGTCAATCCCTCGGCAGCATTTTCACCACAGGAGAGACTCGATTCATCAAATGTAACAAAATCCGCACCTTTTTTGCAGCAGATCGGCGTTTTCCGATCAACGGCGGTGAATAACCGACACCGGGAAGAGATATCGACGAATTGACGACGGTTGCTGAAGATGACAAGCGGCGGTTGTCGGAGGTGAGGGTTTTGGCGGAACTCGCCGTCGCATCTACAACCGAAATTTCGTGAACTGCATTGGCTTGACAAAATCGACATTCTTCAATTTGCGAGGTTGAATGAAGGAGAATTGAATCCCTTTGTGAAGAACAATCCTCCTCCTCCTCGCCTATCGAACTTCAGAAATGCAAAAACCTGCGGCTTCACAGCGTTAGGGTTTATCGTCGTGTAGCGCAACTTTAGAAGGCCGTGTTTGGATTGCTACTTATTTGAAAACAACACTTCCTCCATAATCTACTCATATCCAAACGCCTCCTTACCAACATTCCCAGATGTCGTGCATCACACGCGCCGTATCTTTACTCTACTCTCTGATTAGACCTTAGAGAAGTCATCAATGGCGACTCTCAACTTACTCAATTCAAGCCTTTCCCAATCACGGCTGCTCCAATCCGACAAACAATCAAATCTAAAAACTGCAAATTACCGCCAGATTCCTTCATGGATATCCCTCAAACCAACCAGCTCCGCAGTCAAAATCGCCGATACTCACCGCGGCGATGTCGAGAACGTCCATTTAATCTCCCTCTGCAAGCAGGACAAACTCAAGGAAGCTCACGAATTCCTTCTTGAAATGGAACGTTGCAACGTCTCCGTCGCTCCACAATCTTACAAGCACTTGCTCGAAGCGTGCTCGAAGCTGAAATCTCCGACCACCGGGAGGCAAATCCACCGCCGATTAGGGCAGAATCCGCCTGTCTTCATTCTGAATTGGGTGCTCCAAATGTACTGTAACTGCGGCTGTATATCGGACGCTCGGAAAGTGTTCGACGAAATGCCTAAAAGAACATTAGCTTCATGGATCACTATCATATCTGCATACGCAAATTCAGGGCAATCACAGAAAGCATTAGAGCTGTATCTAAGCATTCAAACGTCGGATTCGAAGCCAAATCCTTCGATCTACATCACACTTCTGAAGAATCTTTCAAACATGGAGTTGGGGAAGCAAATGCACTGTCAAGTGATCAAGGCAGGTTATGCTGAAAATGTAGCCATGGAAACCACTCTATGCAACATGTATGTTAATTGTGGGGATTTGGACAATGCCGAGGCTATATTCGATCGAATTAACGGCAAGAACACCGTCTCTTGGACATCGATGATCGTCGGATTTACTCAATCGGGAAGGATCCCCGACGCCCTGAGATGTTTCCGGAGAATGGTGGATGAGGGCGTCGATTTGGACGAGTTCGTTTTTTCGATAACCTTGAAAGCTTGTGCTTCAATGGAGGATTGGAGGACAGGGGAGCAGGTTCATGGTTTAATCGTCAAGCTCGGAATGGAAACGGACGTGTCCGTCGGTACGCCTCTCGTTGATTTCTACGTTAAGCGTCGGAACATCGAATCAGCCGCGCGGACATTTGCGTGCATCGAAAATCCGAACGACGTGTCTTGGAGCGCAATGCTTTGCGGCTATTCTGAAAATGGAGACTTCGAAAAATGCATCGACGTTTTCAAGTCTTTGAGAAGAGAAGGCGACGCCGCGTTGAACGAATTCATTTACACGACCGTTTTCCAAGCCTGCTCTTCGCTCGCCGATTTCGCCTCCGGTTCGCAAGTGCACGCCGACGCCGTCAAGCGATGCTTAATCTCCCGAATGTACGGTGAAAGTGCGATGATCACGATGTACGCAAAATGCGGACGGTTGGATTACGCCTACCGCGTTTTCGAATCCATCGACGAGCCTGACACCGTCGCGTGGACAGCCATGCTTGCGGGATACGCGTACCACGGCTACGCGTCCGAAGCCGTGACGCTTTTCGACAAAATGCGGACGTCCGGCGCGAGAATAAATCCCGTTACGTTCGTCGCCGTGATCACGGTTTGTAGCCACGCGGGTCTCGTCGAAGAAGCAAATGGATACTTACAATCGATGCGGAGCAAGCATGGCTTCGAGCCGAATCTCGACCACTACAACTGCGTAATCGACGCGTACGCTCGAGCGGGGCGGCTTACGGAGGCGGCGAATATGATAACGGCAATGCCGTTCGAACCAGACGCGATGAGCTGGAAAAGCCTACTCGGGGGCTGCTCGATCCACCGGAATTACCAGCTCGGGAAAACCGCGGCGGAAAAGCTGATCCAGCTCGATCCGAACGATACAGCGTCGTACATCCTGCTGTTCAACTTGTACGCCGCGTCGGGGAGATGGGACGAGGCGGCGAACGTCAGGAAGGCGATGGCGGGACGGGGATTGAAGAAAGAGATCGGCTGCAGTTGGATTACCGTTAAGGGATGCGTACACCGATTCATCGTCGGCGATCGACACCATCCCCGGACGGATGAGATTTACGGGAAACTCGAGGATTTGAGATTCGGCGGCGACGGAAGCGACGACGGAGGGGAGATTGCGGTCGAGAGGGCGCAACAGGCGCTCGTACACAGCGAGCGGCTGGCGATCGTTTTTGGATTGATCTCGACAGAGGATTCGCCGGTGGTGGTGTTTAAGAACCTCCGGGCGTGTAGGGGCTGCCATGAGTTCGGGAAGTATGTGTCGGCGGTCACCGGCCGGAGGATTGTCGTCCGAGATTCTAGTAGGTTCCATCACTTCAGCTCCGGCCAGTGTTCTTGCGGCGATTACTGGTGATCCAGTCTAGGGGTGTTGAACTACTTCTGAGTATATGTTGTTCAAGTTCCACTCAAATATGGTATTAGTATGTATACGAATTGGTTGGTCTAAAATTCGAGTTAAAATAGTAGCTTGAACTAAGTTTGAAATCGAGCTCCTTTGGTTTAAATTTTGTACATATTATATATTTGTTGATATAAAACTTAAATAAATATTTTCTGGGACAATTTTTACCTTTTTTTAGTTACAATTTTTTTATTTTTAATAAAACTTACTAATCAAAACATATTCAATAAATATTAATATATAACATGCAAAATAATTGAACATATGCTTTTAGCTACAAACAAATCAAATAACGGGCTGGTGATGCTATCTTTATCTAATTTTAACTCTAAATATAGAGTTGCTATACTAATTTTATTTTAATCATAATTTTATTTTTCATTATCATTATCCAAATATTTAATTTTTTATATTATTTTAAATAATTTTTTATTTTTATAATATAAAATATTTTTTTAAAAAAAAATTTAGAAAAATAAAAAATAAATTTAAAAGTTAAAATTACAAAATTACAATATATATATTTTTTTTTAAAAGAGAAAAATAGAAGACAATGCCGTTTTTGTTGTTGCACTATATCATCACAAAAAATGGTGCAGAATTCCACCAGGCAGTGGGTTGGAGATGGCCAAGATTTATTTAACAGCTCTAATTAGTCGTTGGCCAAGCCGTTGTAGAAGATGAAAGCGGAGAATGGAAATAAGATCCTGACCGTTGGATCTGGCTCGGGGTGTGTGGTGGGACCCGTGGTTGGTTGGGGTGGGGACGGTATAAATACCTCCCGCTGCGGATTGGCGGGACTACAGAAATTAAAAGCGCTTTAATGGCTTGCACTTTCTCTCACCAACTCCTTTATTGTGTCTGCTTCGTCTCGTGTTTGCTGCTCTCGACGTCTCCAGCGGTCGTCCCTTCTCTGCAAGTGTCTCCTCCGGCGACGCCTCAGCCGTTTCCGCCGCCGTAGGTTTCGCTGTTGCAGTGTAAGTGCTCCTCACTGTAGTCTGGTTCAGTTTTGTGGTTTTGTATGTTGTTGAAGTGATTGCTGGAAATCTTTCTTTGTTTTCGATGCTGAATTTGCTGAAATCTCTCGGATGAGGTATGGATTTGAGATTGTTGGTCTGAACTTGGATTTGTTTCTAGGTTTTATACCCTCGGTGCGAAATCTTACGCGATAATCTTACTGTTGGTAAAATCAGATCTACCGATTTTTGATTCACGTGGTTTTTCTCATACAAGCGTCGTCACTTTTCATACATGCTCTGAATGAAGCTGATTCATGTTGTGTTCATCTGCGATAGTTAATTTCTTATTGTCACCTTCTGGTGATGTGATGTTGTTCTGATCCAAGCGTCTGTCACATTTTATACATGCTCTCAATGAATCTGATTCATGTTGTGTTGATCTGCGACAGTTAATCTTTCTTGTCATCTTCTGGTGCTGTAATGACTGTTAGGAGCAATGATCTTATGCATCTGCGGCTTACGGAGATTGATGCAGCTTCGTGTTCACTATCGGAACAATTGGAATCCGTACTTTCTTCTCTTTGCACAATCTGTGATCCTTTTGTTCGTCTTCTTCACGAGTTTCGTACTCTGGTCTGAGATTTTACTGACCAATGAGGCTAACATTGTAAAGGAATTTCAGCTTAAGACAGAGGGGACGCCCAAAGAGATTCACAACTGTTCATTAGAATTATATTGTGACTGCAACACCACGCAAGGATGCCCTTATCACGATTGGGAACTTTTCAGTGTAGATTATCAAGAGATGATAAAGAAGCTCAAGATCTTTGTGTACCCAGAGAATGACAATTCATCTCCACTTGCCCGAATCTTTCTTCCCCATCCTAATCTGATGGATCCAAAAATCGGGAATTATTTCAGCGAGCATGCATTTAAGATTGCTCTTGTAGACAGCTCCCTTGTTACTGCAAATCCCGAGGAGGCTCACTTCTTCTACATGCCTTTTTCCATCAATGTGATGCGTAATCATCCGCACGTGCATTCAGAGTCCGCCATTTCCAAGTTTGTTGCCAACTATGTTACGAGGATTAGCTCTCGATTACCCTTTTGGAATGCATCCGGAGGTGCTGATCACTTCTTTGTTTGCTGCCATTCAGTTGGGCGCGATGCTGCCTCCCTCCATTTTGGTCTGCGCAACAATGCCATTCAGATCACTTGTTCGTCGAACTATTTCCAGAGGCTTTTCTCTGCACATAAAGATATAGCATTGCCTCAAATTTGGCCTCGCCCCCATGATGAATCCTTGAATCCTCCAAATGCAAGGTGTGCCGTGCTTTCCTACAATTCTACATATATATATACGTCATTAATGGATTTGCTATATAATGTATAATCGCAGGAACAAACTTGCCTTCTTTGCTGGTCGGGTTCAAAACTCAGCTATCCGACAAGAGCTGCTAAACCTATGGGTAAACGATACTTCCTTTAGCATATTCTCCGGGCCTCCATCTTTTCCCTACGAAGAAGGATTCCGGACAAGCAAATACTGCCTGCATGTAAAGGGCTACGAGGTAAATACAGCCAGAGTAATGGACGCTATCCACTTTGGTTGTATTCCCGTCCTAATATCCAATTACTACGACCTTCCGTTTGCTAATGTCTTGGATTGGAGCAAGTTTTCAATCATAGTTAACCAAAGGGATATCGCTCTCCTGAAGCACATCCTGACATCTGTGTCCGAGCAGATGTACACATCGCTGTATCGAAACTTAGTTATGGTTAGGAAGCACTTCAGGTGGCATACTGTCCCTGTGGATTATGATGCCTTTTACATGACTGTGTATGAGCTATGGCGGAGAAGAGGATTGCTTCGGATCCGGACCTTATAAACCAGGTATGTTCAGTTTTAACAGCAATATATCTTTATTGCATGTAGTCTACACCATATATATTTAGACAAAATATCATAAAATCCACTTATGCTTTATGAAAATGGCACGAAACCCCCCATTATTTAAAAATTGCTGTTAGACTCCCTTATGGTTTTAAAAATTTTGTATTTAACCCCCTTTCCACTATTAGTTAACAGCGATATACGCCCTAATTTCGAAGGTAATACAGAAGTTCAAGCCACCATTCACTAATAATGAAAAGAGGTTTATATGCAAAAAATTTTAAACCGTAAAGGAGTCTGATGCAATTTTTAAACAATAGGGGATTTCGTGCAATTTTCATAAACCACGGGTCTGTTTTATACTATTTCGCCAGATATTTAAGATACAATTATTCTTTCCAGTCATCTAGGGAAGCTAGAATTAAAATGAGTCGAATTGCTACAGTTGACATAGATCACAAGCATCATTGGATAACCAATATGTGTGTTTGATATAAAAGATTAGCTACACATTTCAAGTAGGAGTTACATGTATAAAAGAAACCAATCTGATCCCCTTTCTCTTAAGGTAAAGGGATGAAAGTGATACACAACAACATATATGTACTGATTCTGTATAACTAAATATGCTTCCTGAAGAATTCCCCATGTGTCAAAAAACTAGCAATGTGCAGAAATGCTCTATCTAAGCTCTATAAAGCACCACTATTTTATCGCCTAGAAAAATTTCGCAAAAATTTCTTATTACCTCACAAGGTTAAGTTGCATTGTTGGCTCCTGTAGAGAAAGATGAAGTTGTAAGTGCATTAGAATTCCTTAATGGATTAAAGAGGCGATTAAGATTATGCAATGGGCAGCGTCTCACCTGATTGTGTTAAGGATTAAACAAACTTGTGCCGCTAATACTCATTGCTGTAACAACTATGGAGGTTGTCACAAAAGCAAGCCACAACAAAGTTGATCCTACGAAGTAGCGGCCGTTAGTAATGAATAATGAAATAGTTATGAGCACAACGTGAAGGGTAGTTAGAATTTACCTTGAGAACTAGTGTCTTTACTAGAAGGGATCCGTTGTCTGGATTCAACGGGACGTGTATTTGGTTCTAAAGCTTTACCAGATGCTCCCACATCTATAGGCTTGCCATTAGTAGTCTCGGACGTTACTATACCTTGAAATTCCTCACTTAATAACAAGGCAGCAAGGACATTCATGAAAGTTTCTTTCTCCGATTCTATGCCCTTCTTACTCCACTCAGGGATTCTGACATTAGGTTCATCAGAATCAGACAACTCATCCTCTACTTTCTCGGACCTTTCGTCTTCTTCATCCTCGACATAGGCTTTGTACGTCAAACGCAGTAGGATTTCGCCAGCTGATCTATTCCCAAAAGGGCTCCAACCTCCTTTAATTGCCACTAGTCTGTCTGCTGGAACAGTGTCTTTTAGAGATCCAAGATCAACCTTAAAATAAATTACGACGTCAGGTTTAACAATGTAGGATGTGATGTTATCGATAGTTACTATGTCTTAGGTAAAATAAATGCAAAGAGGCCTTACCTCTGCAGTCCCGACAATCAAGTCGGTGAATCCTACAGAATCCTTAACTTCAAGGCATAGTTTTTCCTTCTTAGGGTCTGCAACCAATATGTGAAAATCCTGTGATATACAATCAGGTAGTGTTAGGAAAAGAATTAAAACTATGCCTCCTCGTGAAACATACATCAAGCAAATGAAGAACTCGCCTGATTCCAGATAGGTTCGCCAGGGGGTCCAATCACAGTAGTTTGGCTGTTTCGTTTACTACGTATCACCTGGTCCCCCAATTTTAGAATCACGTACGGATCAGTTTTGCCTGTGACGTCACAAGACAACATTTGTAAGTGTAACTCTAGAAGAAAATAGGGAGAGTTAACATCCCCATGAAGAGCCAATAACTGTGTGATTATAATCCACATACCATAGAATATGTAGCTTAGTTTTCGAGCATCTAGTAGTGTTATAGACAGCTCTCCAGAAAAATCATTGTTTCCCTCTTGCATTTCTCCAGATTTGGAATCTTCCCGAACTGGTCCAACAGCTTCACCCTTTTGAAAATCTAGAACTATTTTTTTGGGACGCACGAATAACTTAGGTAAATCCCCTGTGAGAAGTTTTGTCAAAAACCTGGAGATGAAACAAGAACACTGAATTTGGAAACAATAGGCGGGTATCGTTTAAAAATAAATTAAAGAAAATCTAGAAATGGTAAAACATCACTTACATTGAGAGGACAGGTATGGCTGATCATTTCAAATAACACCGGAAAGGAACAAAGCAAAAAACACAAAGTTAGTCTGTTTGCTCCATATATGTCGTCAAATGGTAGCATAGATTACATGAACAAAATTAACATACCCATTAGGTTGAATAAGCGAAAGAGTGATAACTCAAACTTTATCTTCGGAAGTGAAACAAAAGCCCATGAGACAGCTCCCACCCATGGCTCTGTAGCTATTAGCCGCAGTTTGACCCATAATTCACCATCAATATCAAAGTTCCGGACACCCACCGGCACAATTATAGGAAGTTTACTAAATTTAAGCGACAAGAGTAGAAGCATACGTGCACCACCAGAGTAGCGAAGGCCTATTTGGTATCTTATCACCAGGAAAAAGCAAGTGTTAAAATTTTTTAACACACATCTAATGCTAATCTAGATGAAAAAAAATAGCTCAGATATGATATGTTTCTCGAGTACTTAGCTTAGGTAGCATTCAGTACATTGTTACTAGGGTTCACTAGTACACCAAATCTCCGATAAAATAGATTTCGGATTTTTAGGTTACTAATACTACCACATTACACGATGCTTGGCATATTGGAACCCATCATCGGATCCATTGCTGAATGTATTTATTTCGGCGAGTTGCCAACAAAATGGTCATATTGATTAACAAAATTGTATGATCACTTAACAAAATATCCATCTAATGGAAGCACTATGTAAACTATAGCAACTATATATATGCCCAAAATTTATATTTAAAACATCATGACTAACACATATATTTCCTTTTAAAAAGTCAAATTCAAAATAACCCAAAAAAAGGGCAAAACAACTCAAACACATTGCTTAATAAAATTGTGGGATAAAAGGATAAAATAGATACTCTCTCCGTCCCACATTTTGTGTCCGGTTTACATAGATATTAGAAAATTTAGGTAAAGTATAATTAGTAAGTAATTAAAAAATGTATTAGTAAATACAACTATTGTATAGTAAAACTAATTATATATCAAGATTAAGATAATTAAATAGTATAATTAAAATTAAAAATTTATAAAATATGAAATTTAAAATGTCATTAAAGTGTATGATTATATTTTCTAATAAAATGACAAATAAGGTAAGGCTGACAGAAATGACAGAAATAAAAATAGTGGATGAAAAGATGAGACGTAGGAGCATTTTGTTAGCTGAACCTACAACTTTGTCGAGCAAATTGAGCTCCATAACCCAATCTAGTTATCGACAACACATCAGCATTTGATCCGCACCCAATCTTGTCAGATTTTCATTTATCGAGTTCACATGTAGGGGAAAAGTCGAAAAAAAGTCATCTAGTATCATGGAATTCACAAGATCCTTGCAATCCACATGAACCTCCTTAATTCTTTACTATCAAATAGTTTCATACCAAACGAGACACAGATTCTATAAACACCAATTCTCAAGCATAGTAAAGATAATCAAAATGCTCGAAAACCAAAAGGCAGTAAATAAACACTCACTGCAAGTCATTGTCGCGGCGCGAAGTCCGGCGTTCGACGCTCCTAACCGACAACGGCTCATCCCCCAACTCAAACTGCTTTATCTCCACCCTCTGCACATAATCTGGCTTCTGCAGATTATCAATAACTGGCTGCAACAATCCTACTATCCAATTCTCAATCCCTCCCCTGTACACCTTCCACAGCTTCCCCAACACCATGTTCACCCACTCCACCGACTCCTTCCTCTGCAAATCCTTGTCCAGAAACAACCAGACTCCCCCTCCGCCGCTGCCGGAGATAAAACTCTCCGCCTCCCCACCACCACCGCCGCCGCCGATAGACTTCCCCAGCCTCCAAACTTTGTCGAAAACAACACCGACGAAGAAGAAAAACGTAAATAGGAAAAACACATTGCTGTTTAGTAATGGCGAAGGAAATGGATGAATGAACCCTAACTCGTTCCTCAGTTTATCTACAATAGGATCCTGACCTACACTGCTACTGTAATACTTTCTACCGTAACTCACAGGTTCTTCATCGGCGAATCGCTTTAGTATTACGCCTCTCGCCGCGGCGGCGGCGCCGCCGCCGGCCGGCGCAGTGAAATCGCGAGACGGAGTCCATTTCGAGCTCCGGACGGCTAATTTTCTGTTCCGGTGAGTGAGATTCTTCTTCTTCGCGGCGTAGGGGGAGAAGGCGGTGGTGTTCAACGGCGGCGACTGCAAAACCATTGAGGTATGGGCAGTCTGTGTGGTTGATAACTGAAAATGTTGGGGAGAAACATGTGAGTTGAGGTTGAGAATGAAATTGTTCTTTCTTATCTGCAGGCTCCGCCGCCGGAAAGTTGGGTAGTGTCGCCGGAGGAAGATTTAGAGGTGGCGGAGGATTTGAGATGAGAAATGGAATTGGAATTCGAGGTCAGGGTTTTAATGCAGATTTCCTTTCAATACGTTACATATAAATATAATATAAATATGAATATATAGGATTTGGTTATTTATTAATGAATAATATTATTATTGCTATTCAACTTTATTATTTCCTTTTTGGGTAGTGAGGTTCGGTAATGATAGGGAGATAGGCGTCGTGCGGTGCGTCATTCTTCATTAATTAAGAAACGCGATTCACATGGGCGGTGCATAACGCGTTACTTTCTTAACGCAGCTATTACAAATAATGTGGTTTTCTTTACGTAAACAAATTTAAAAGTATTGGTACACCATTATTTACCAATAATTACTTAAAGAAATATTATTATGTTAAATAGTATTGGAAAATAGGGTTCAATAATAATAATAAAATAAGAGGGTTAAACACTTCGAAATCAACTCAACTCACCGTTTTTAATTGATGTTGAATAATAGTCTCACTTAAAAGCTCGAACTTTTAGAAAAATGTAAACATTAATTATACATCCGCAAACATGAATTTCAACCGTAACACAACTCATACTCTCTCTGTCCCTTTTCAACCGGGTCTTTTGGGATTTTATAATAAATTAAAAAATAATAGTACTTTTATTGGTTAGTGGAAATGTAAGTGTTTTTTACATTTTATTCGTTTGACTTTATGTATAAAGTAATTGTATGTGTAACAATATATTTGTAATTTAAGTAAAAGTTAAAAGATATTTTGGTATTAGTGTATGAATATTTTTTCTAAAATAGAAAAAAAATACTTTGAAGTGGAACAAACAAAAATAAAAATAGTAAAATAAATACTTTGAATTGAGACGAATGAAATATGTTTTATAAAGGTCATCACAAACACGTACTAATAGCAGTATCAACAACTAGCCCACAGTAATGTAGTTCACAAATTGGATCTCTGAAAACTCTTTCCTTTGGTGAGTCTTTAGTTAATTTTTCTATGTAACACAAGTTAGAGGTGGAGAGAGACATTGGTGAGAGCTCGAACAATGATTTCTCTCTATAAAATTAGACTCACATTTGCTTACACACAACCAAGATTGTTCCCTCAGTGTATACAACACTATGGTTGAATGAGAAAAAATGGATCAAATTAAATTCCTTAGCGCTGAAATAAAATGAGGAGATTATCCGTGTTTCTAACAAAATGTTCATAATCTTCATTCATCCAATTTGTAATTGAAGATACGAGACACTTGACAAAGACAAATTTAAATATGTTGCAGCATGTGCCTGTCTGCAATTGCCACGGTCAATTTTGCTAATCAAATCAAACACCATGCCAATTTAGCTCAAAAAAATACTCCCTTCGTCCCATGTAAGACACGACAATTTAGGTAAAATATAATTAGTAAGTAATTAAGAAGTGTATTAGTAAAAATAACTATAGATTAAGATTAAGATAAGTAAATAGTTTAATTAAAATTAAAAAAAATTATAAAATTTAAAATTTAAAATGCGGTTAAAGTGCATAATTATATTTCCAAAAATAGAAATGACAAGTTAAGTGGGACGGACGAAAATAGAAAATAGAGACAAATTATATGGGACGGAGGGAGTAATGTACTTATTTCTCCATTTTCTATGGTGATTAGACTCTTCGGCATAGTGCTTAAGCACCCTAATCAATAATTAAAAAGAAAAACAAAATGTTCAATATTTTTCTAATACTAATAAATTAAGTAATAAGAAGTTAAAACTAACGGAAAGTGATATGAAGTAAAAAAAAAAAGTACCTTAAATATGAATTTAATTTCCGATGCCTTCAAGTTTTACCTGTCACATTCACACGTGATTTACTTAATATGATTTATTTTATCATACTTAATTTACAGACTATTAAATTCGATCGATAATTTATCTGTAACACAATTGTCGGCCTATATTATTATGTTTTTGGCACAAATTTTTTAGATCTCATCGGCAAGATAACTTATTATTAAATAATTATATTAACACTACTAAGTAATTATTCTCGTTCAAATACTCTTAAGCACAAAAGAACACGCGTAAAATTTCAAATATGTTGAGAATAACGTTTAGGCTAGATTCGTAAGTACTTCCTTTGATTATTTATTTATTTATTAAAAAAATGCATATTGCATTGTTGACGGATAGATAAGCTACAGTCGGCGAATTTGACTTGAAAATACATTTAGTTAGTGTTTGTCTGGGGGTTTGGATTTTTGAGTTGGGATTTGAATAGTAAAAATTTTGAATTTGAATAGTTGTATGATGTGATATAAATAGGTGTTGACGTGATATTTTGAATGAAAAATTGATTTTTAGTATAATATAAAAAATAAAAAATAGGTGTTTGATTTGATATTTTTAAGAGAAAAAAATTGGATGAATAATGTATTCGGAAAAAAATCCCAGGGTTTGGATTTTGAGTTGGGATTTGAATAGTAAAAATTTTGAATTTGAATAGTTGTATGATATGATATAAATAGGTGTTGATGTGATATTTTGAATAGAAAATTGATTTTTAGTATAATATAAAAAATAAAAAATAAGTGTTTGATTTGAAGTTTTCGGGAGAAAAAATGAGATGAACAGTGGATTTAAAATCCAATCCCCCAAAATTAGGGTGTGTTTGTTTGGAGTTTGAATTGACTTGGGATTTGAATAGTAAAAATTTTGAGTTTGAATAATTGTATGATGTTATATAAATAGATTTTGATGTGATATTTTAAATATAAAATTAATTTTAAGTATAATATAAAAAATAAAAAATAAATGTTTAATTTAATATTTTTTTAAAAAAAATAAAATGAATATAATATTTAAAATCCAATCTGCCAGACAATCGCAGCCTAAATAAATGCTATACGTATGTTCACTTTCCAAATACTAACGTGTCTTTGTTAGGAGATTTTTAGAAATTTTTTACTATTTAATAATTTTTCTTCATAAAAATAACGAATTATACTCCTTTAATAAAGATAAAATGATATACATCAAAATGATCATTTATAAAAATTAAAAAAATAACTTCTGATAAAGATAATATTCCATTTATCATAAAAGGTATATATATACATTCATTTTTTTCTATAAAAAAATATACTACGAGAGTGTTCCTATATTTAAAAAAAAAAAAAAAAGCACGATTTCCTAAAAACACATTTTTTCAAAAAATTAATATTATTATACTTTTCCACTATGTGCTATCCTCTTTAACAAAAACTATGGGAGTGTTCCTATAAAAAAAACACAATTTCCTAAAACATACGCCTCCGTCTCAGATACCATGTCCATATTGTCGTTTCTATTCGTCTCACATACTATATCACTTTTCTATTTTAAAAATAATTACACACTTTAATCTCATTTTAAAATTTTTAATTTTTTTAAATTTTAATTAAACTAATTAATTATCTTAATATTAATTTATAATTATTTATATTATAGAATAATTATTTTCACTAATATATTTTTAATTATCTACTAATTACATCCCTTCTAAAATACCGTGTCTACAGTATAGCAGACACGGTATCTGAGACGAAGGGAGTATTTTTTTAAAAATAATATTATTATACATATATTTATTTACTTAAAGAAAGCAATTCTCTGTACTTATCATTTTCAAATTATTTTATTAAACAAACAAACACAGTATTTTTTTACTATTTATTCTACTTTTTTAACTAGGTAAAAAATAATAAAAATTACAGACTATATTAAAATTAAACAAGCTTTTTCGATTATGCTGAGTGAGTATTATTTATAAATTATTATTATTTAAAACTGAGATTTAAAAATGAGACAATCTATTAGTAAGTCCATGGCTTTACAAATACCACGTATGTATATATATATATATAAATAATTATTTTTAAAATATATTGTTATAGCTCAAATGGTCCAACCGACAACCGACTGGGCGTGTGGATAAATTATAACCAGGAAAAATAAATCAAATATATATATATATATATATAAAATAATAAAAGCATATATCGCTCAAAAATGGGAGTAAATAAAATAATCGGACTCCTACCTGCAGCTTCACCGTGGCGAAGAGCCGAGCGATCAAAATCGGCGATTATGGCGACGGCAGCCGGATTGACGTACTCCTGCTTTTCTGTTAAAGCTTCAACCAATACTTACTCCAACCGCAAGAAACTCCGCCGTCCGCAAAACGTAGATGGAGAGTTTTTCGTAGGTACGTACATACATATTCCTAATTCCTAATTTCTGATTTTATAAATTTCTCGCCTGCGATTTCTGATTATGTTCATGTTCTCTGCGTTTTTTTACGATGTTTTGGTTTAAATCTGCGTGTAGAAAAGTATTTGAGCTTTGGAGCACAAAATACGTTGAAGGATAAAATATTAGCATCAGTTTTTGAGCTTATCCGTGAAGAAAATCCGAAGTGAATTCTCCTCTCTCTCTCTCTATATATATATATATGTGTGTGTGTGTGTGTTTACTGTGAATCCGTAGGTTTTTGGTTGATTTGATTTCTGTATATCTCAACTCTGCTGGTTTCACATTAGTAGAGGTCGGGATAACAGAGTGGTAACTGATAACCAATAGGATCAAACACAATAAGAGAGAAGAAGGTTATTTATATTTGAGCTGATAATAAGCGAATCTGCTTAATTATTATATATTGTTGATCAATATTTTTGGAAGATTTTATATTATATAAGTAATGATGCATACGTTATTTAACAACTACAACAATCCGGTGTATAGAGTTAGTTACTTGTGTTAACATTCGAGCTACACACATGATTTAATTTCGTGTATCACTACTGTGTTTGATCTTTCCGAGTTCATCCAGATTGATTCATGTGTAATTTTGGGTGCAGACACCACGTGCATAGATTGTGATACATGTCGTTGGATGGCTCCGGTAAATATATTCTCAAGGATTAACCTATCCTGCTACACACTTTTCGGGCTTTCAAATGGAATCACATTGTTCTAGTCATTCCACTTATCTCTGCTACATTTTTCAGGAAACATTCAATCGTCAGGGTAGTATGTCGGCAGTGTTTAAACAGCCCGCACGCGAGGAAGAACGACTGAAAGCCCTTCAGGTTTCTTTATTTTTATTTACTTTAGGCGACAGAAGTTTACAATCCATAAGAATCACTGTTATTCTACATCTTGTAGGGGCTCTCTTCTAGTTTACGGTTCCATTTGTTATTTATGTTTGTTTGATAAAATTTTACAAACCAAACTTATGATGCTTTGAATTGAATGTTAACTCAAAGTTTTATGTAAACTGTGTTTCAAGGCATTGCTTTCATGCCCAACAAACTCGATCCACACAGAACAACCTCCTCGCAACATTTTACAAGTTCATAAGACCTTCCCTATTCCAATCAACGAGCAGAGAATTCAGGTATCCATCGTTATCTTACACCTAGTTTCTACCCTGTTTTAGTTTCACCAATGTTTCGTATGTATGCATGATGCTGCACAAATCACAAATATTTTTCATATTTTTACATATCACAAGAATTTGTTGTAGTCTAGCGCACGTGAATTTAAAAGAGCTCCCTAATATATTCAAGATAATTACGTATTTACAAATTACTGTCTTATTTCATCATATTCGAGGTGTGATAATAGCAAGTAAAGTATCTACACATTATTCATGATTTGAAGTTGTCTAAACTCGGGCTGATTAGTCGACTGTTTCCAGGGAGTGTATCATTGTGGTTTCCATTCTGAAAAATCATTCGGCGCAGCATCCTACTTTATCACACGGCCACAAGGAAATATTCTAATAGACAGGTACACTATCTATCAATAAATTCGAAACAGTTTCAGCTCAACATTTTTGGTTTTGTCAAGAGACTTCCGAGTTCTGACCATCACCACATTTTTAAACTTAACATGTAGCCCTCGATACACAGAGCAACTGGCCAGCAATATCAAGAAGATGGGCGGGGCGAAATACATGTTTCTTACTCACAAGTAAGCTAAAAAGTAAAAACAATTCTCACATATCTGCTCTTCTTTTACCATATTATCATTTAGCCGTGATTGCTATCGTGATTTTCAGGGACGACATTGCAGACCACGATAAATGGTCCAAAGAATTGGGTTGCCAAAGGATTTTTCATTCCGAAGAAGTAAGACTAAGACTCAGTTTACATAGAAGCTTTTTGAGTTTCAGAAAATTACAGAAACAGTAAAAAATTTGAATACTTGATCCGATGTTTTGTGAGATAAAATAATTATTTGATATTATGATTTTTTTGAAAAAATTAGGCTATGTTTACACTGACTTTTTGAAAAAAATTAGGCTCCGTTTACGTTGACCTGCGTACATAATGAAGTCAAATTCAACTATTTTTTAACCAGTTGCGTGTTTGTTAGTTTTTGTTGATTCAGTGTAATGTATACAATATATTAAGTTGAATTATTTAAAATCAAATTAAATTTAAATTAATATGTGGACTAATTATTAAATTATAATTATTTTATATATATAATAAATATATTAATTAATATTAATATATTATAATCGGGTTGTCGTATCGGATTTAAAGTTGAGCGTCTCAACCATAGCCCAACCCGTGTATTATTGTTTCGGGTTCGTGTCAACCCGTATACATAATTGGGTTGAAATCCTTGACCCAAATTCAATTATTTCGTATCGGGTTGTCGTATAGTGTTAATTTTTGTCAGCTCTACTTGTAACTGTATCAAAAAAATTTAGAAACTTTCAAAAATATGAAGCATATGGTCTTTGAGTATAGTATTTGTTTCGAGTACAAGTTTCTAGCATAATACCTAACCGATGCCTGATGTCACCAGGTATCTCCTCGTACATCCGATGTCGAAATCAAGCTAGAAGGGAACGGTCCGTGGAACATAGACGACGACATTGCACTTATACACACCCCAGGTCACACAGAAGTAAGTAAAATGTTTTCCTAAAAGACTATAAGGATAGAATTCTACTTTACCGACTTTTATTAGTCATCTTCGACTTCGAATATAATCTCTCACTACAATGGGCAGGGATCGGTCTGCTTACTTGACAAGACGAGGAAGGTGCTCTTTGTCGGAGACCATCTTCTGGTTAATGAAGACGGCGAATTGAGCATTTCCGAGCACTACAACTGGTTCTCAGGCATGTGCCATATATAGCATATCCTTTGTTCATCTTCTTATCGACATTTCTTATAAATTTTTTTTACTACTGAGCAGTTCCGATACAATTGAAAAGCGTCGAAAAGCTACTCGACTTAGATTTCGAGTGGATATTGCCAGGTAAAAATTCTCCAGCCATTATATTGTTGCTTTTATAGAGCTGTCTTTGTTTAGTGTTTATAATTTTAGGCAGGTATAATTCAGCGTATCTGAATCTTATATATCATATATTGTACCGAATTTTTTTTTTTTTAAAGAATATATAGACACACATATTTATGTATATATATTAATGGTCAGGGCACGGAAGGAGAGCTGAATTTAGAGACGCAGAGGAAAAGAATCAAGTGTTACGAGCTCTATTAGATGCCAAAGGATTTCGATCCTAGAAAGACAAAGGTGATCCTTATTTGTATTCATAGCTTCATACCTCGTAAGTACGTGTAGTGTAGTAATTTAGCCGCTTATATGTTTTCAAATAATAATAATAATAACTTAGCTATGTAGGTAAATATGAGCTAGGATTCCAGGCGTGCACTACTCATACAACCTTAGTTTATCGTGAATGTGTTGTGAGGTGATTAATAATTTGGTTGGAATTTGGATTTTGAGTTTAAATTTTAAATAATACAAAATTAGATTTTTAATAGTTGTATAATTTGATATAAATACATTTTGAATGTAAATTTTCTTTGTTTTAGTATAATATAAAAATATATGATTGATTGATTTGATGATGTTGTTGACAGAAAAAATTATAAGAAATTCGTAAAATTCTGACTCAAATCTTTGAACCAAACTTGAGTCGAGTGTTACTGAATTTCAGGCCAAGTTTTGTTTGCTGGGTCGACCTGGCACAGTTTTAAGCTGGGTTTAAAAACCCAGACCTAAATATGGCCCAGTTTGAAATCAGGTCAAACCAACCCAATAATTTTTTTATATCTAATTTTAAACTGATCCAGATTTCTTTTTGGGCCTATTTTTCAGGCCCAAGTCCTTTTTTCTTTTTGTCGAAACTAAATTTTCAGGGCATGACCATTTATGGATCCTAATCATTTCCCTCTACTAAATAAAACATCTTATGCAAATGCCACAAATCAATATTTCACGTAGAGCATAGAAAAAAAAGCATACGTTACCAAAATCATAAAAATGCAAATAAAAGACAAAAAGAGTTCAAATTGCATACCTTTTTCGAGCGCTCCACGTCGTCCAAATATAAAGAAAGATCCCTCCAAAGGCCGACATCTTTACCCATAAGCTAAAATAATAAATCGGCAATGGCGACAGCAACTGACGGAACCGAAAACAACGCAACGCTATCGTTAATCACGACGGCCACTCCAACAGTTCAATACTCCCTTGACTCACATTCCAAGCACCCTGAGAAATCTCAAGAAACATCTGTTCCCATCCCCAGCTCGAATACCCAAGAAAGAACCAATAATCGAGCGCAGATAGTTTCCCGCCTCTAATTTCTTCGACTACGTCGTCAATTACAGACTGATCGAGGAAGTACACATTTGGTAAAACTTCCACCGACTGGCCTTCGATAAATCTCCGTGTTAATGCCACTAAAGGCACTCCACGCTGCACGACCGGGCCCCCGAAGGATAGGGGGGCCTCCTTTAATAGTTCGTATCCTTGTACAAACTCTTCGGTGGAGTCCCAACTTATGTGTTTGTTAAAGATCAGACCTTGGAACCCGGCGGTTTGGTCCGCTTTAAATATTAATATTTTGGAATAATCGAACGGATGAGCATCCTGAAGCTTCTCTGATGCAGTGAGAATGTGGCCGGGGAATAGCTGCGGCCGTTCGTGTAGGCTGACGGGAAGTTGAGCGTTAATTTGGTACTTGTTTTCCAATCTTTCTTTCAGGAGAACTTGGTGGTGCGAAGCTCCGATATGTGTGCTTTGTTCGACCGAATTCTCGTCCTGTTGTAAATCTAACATGAAGAGAAACGGAAAAAGAAAGAATCTTATAGTCAGATAAATATACAATTAAGGTAAAAGTACATTTTTAGTCTTAATCATTTTATTCATATATATACACAAGAAGTGTGTTCACTTAGTCCCGAAAAAGATTACCAAAAAATAGCACACTCTGCGATATTGGTTTGTCTCAAATATTCTGCAATATTTCTAAAATAGAAAGTGATTAAATATATTTAATCTGATATCCTACACTTGATCCCATAAACACTTTTCTCTCTCGTTATATCACTTAATTCCCACATTCTAATTAATACCATTCACCTAAATTCTCGTGTCGAAAATAAATGTTGCATCATATACAATATCTACATGTAACAATAAAAGTCAACAAAATAAACAAGACATCATTCTCGGTAATGCTTTTCTGATTCTTTATATCTCACGAAAAAAGAAAAAAAAACATTTAAGACTAAAAACTAGCACACTCAATATGTTTGATCCTAGAACACTATCTACTCTATTCCACACTCCAAATGCCTGATTTAGATAGTCCGGTAATAGAAAGTGCTAAAGTGTAATACAAAGTGCTAAAGTGTGTGCGTGTCTACATCACTACTAGTGAGTCCATGTCATCAATTTCCGTATCCAGTGTACAATCAAGCGATTTCCATACGAAATAACTACGCCTAGAAGTGAGATTTTTGGATGTATTTTGGTTCAAATATTTGTCTCAATGTGATCTCCAAATTCATAAAGAAAGGCATAGGTGTACTTCCTACAGTTAAGGGCGTGTGCTTTTGTATTTTCAATCTGATTTTTGTACTATACAATCTATTGTAAATATGTTATCAACCCCTTAAAAAAATATAACGACAAAAACCTATTGTCCATTCAAATAATTTCAAATCCAAAACACAAACAAACACACCCTAAAATACTGAACACCAGTGAAAGAAAGGATAATTTGAAACAGTCGTGCAAAATTGAGCAAGAAACAAGAAGACAAAACACAAGTTTCAGCGGAAACTTACTTTTATCCATGATGAGATCGAGCGCATGGCTCCCATGAGCAGCCAGAAACTTGATGATATCGGTTACTGCAATATCTCCTTCATAGGGCACGGCATTGTTCTTCCTGTCTTTTGGGAATAGCAGCAGTAGAGGATAAAGTTCCCTCTGCAAATTCAGACACGTGAGAAAGACAATTGAACGAGAAATCATCAGGTGTGCACAGTAAATACTAAATACAACGGAAAATTGGAGTTGTTGAAGAGAAATATAAGATGACTCTTCAACTCTCGTTCCCTATATACTTCTATATATCAGGAAGTAAATAAAAGTTGATATTGAGCACAAATGTTGGATCAAGTTGCAACCAGATTTGTTGGCAAATATTAGTAATATCGCATTAGACAAAGAAGACAACAAAGTACTAGAGACATATGTAAATCATGAAATCCTGGCATCTGTACGGCTGTACCTGTCCGAATGATTTTATAATTGAGCTGCAGTCGTTTTGTGTGCAATCCATCATATATATAAGAGGGAGCTTCGATGAAGCATCTTCAACATACTCTGCCACATATCTAAGCCAACGATCAGAATCAACACAGAGTAACATTTCATCAGTATGCATTTTCATGCTGATGCTTTTAAGATATCCATTAAGACATGAAAAACTGAAAAACTTGATGAAAAGGAGGGATGAATTGAGGCAAATTATTGACGAGTAAAATTCATCAAGTTAACAATAAAACAGTTGACTAGTGCAATACATTTGTTTGAACTTTTGAGGTCCCTATTAAAATATTTCAACAACAATATAAGAATGAGAAAAACGTCAAGTTAACCGATCCTTGCTGCCAACAACTACATTCTTGTACACTTCGTAAGCCTGATATCTAAAACAGGAGAAGTAAATTATTTTCTTCTCTACCATTTTTCACATCTAAAATTCAAAAGTATGGTTTTACAACTAGTTTGAATATGTCACTCCGCTAGGACCAAAAATGAAGGTAAGCCGAGACACTAAAATCTCGCTGTGTTCCCTATGTCAGGTGTCCGGTATTAGTTTTGATCCAAATCCTTCTTCCTGACAAAACTTGCTCGACTTATATTCTATGATATTCAATTACATAAGAGAAAAAGTCTCAATCCTAATACAAATGAGAAGCTTTGTTTTAGATAAACCTAAAAAAAAACTTTATTTAAAAGCAACTGAATTTAAAAGAAGTGATTCTGAATGTATTGATAACATCAATGCAGCCTAGCAGTATAAGAAAAAAATCAATGAACTTCTTACCGCCTCTCGGCATCAATTCATCCTTCCTTGGAATATTTATCTTTGTGCTGGTGTAAGTCTTAACTGCTCTGTACACTTCACGAACAACAAGCTCCATCCTCTGACAAAACCCACACCAACTATTGCTAAAAAGAACCAACACATTCCTGTCTTGAAAGTGGTCAGAATTCTTGAGGTCGGATTTATTTTTGAGTACCAGCTCAGGGAAGGTACGAGGTGTAATCAAAGGAATAGAATCTGTCTCACGAAAATTGAGGTTAACAAACGGTGGTCGCATACCATCTCTAGAGGTAGGAACTATGGCAGATGATTTTATATACGGATGAAGCCTTCCATTTAGAAAATCATCAACAAATGCAGATAGCGAAGAATAGCTTAATGTTGACTGTTCAGCTAGAACATAGTGTTGCTGAGAAATTGGATCGATCATGACAATGGATGGAATCTTTAATCCCCCAGTTAGCGTTTCAAGAAATCCATATTGACCGTCACAAACAAAAAATGAACCACTATAATACCCCTGATGTTCATTTTCTTCTACTTCTGAGTTTTTGGTCTCGCCATCATTCAAACTATCTTGAGCAAGCTCAGGTTCCACAGAGGAAAGGAGTTTAACATCGGAGGATTCTTCTTGGCTATCCAATGTGGGATGTTCAAAGTCAGAAGAATCGGGAAGCTCCCTATGCAATGTAGGGGAACTAACAGGATCTGTCTGCTGTTTACCTTCATCAACAGTTTTATCGCCACCTGCAACAGGCTCTCCTAAACCTTGACTAGACGGATCTTCACTAGGTGATGGAACAGATTCATCAACTTCAACATCAAAATCCTTGGATAACAGTTGAAATCCTTTATCCTTGGCTAGAGAACTTAATGTTAGCCTTTTCTTTTGGTTGAGTACGTAGTTTAAGATCTCTTGCATAGAGCTACTTTGCATATCAGGAACTAAACTTTCTAGCGTAAATTGTTGGCCATCATTCATTACCATCACAGACATTTTATCCTGAATAATTAACTTCTGTGATGATGAGAAAGGCTGCAGTCTTGGATGTTTGAGGGCACTCGATGATCCCTCGTTACTTTCACTTGATGTTCTGTCAGGTCTCACAGTAGCTTGTCCATGGATCTGTTTTAATGCTTCAGTATGTTGAGCTAGCTCTTTGAAAGCTTCAAGAGCTTCCTGACTCTCTCTTCTTATTTGCATGGAGTTTGATGACCTATCAACGAAAAGAAGCAGTGCAGGTCTCTTTGCAGGTAAAGTGATCTCCGAATCTTCTAGCTGCATGATGCCGAAAAGGTAGTCTGTAATTGAATATTCGAGAATAGAAAAAGAAACAACCAAGACAAGAGTAATAGCAGTGAAACTAAAACTTAGGTTGCCAAAAGAGAGGGCCAATGCAACTCAGAGCCAGTCAATAAGAATGCGTAATTTGTAGCAGGTCAAGTGATGAATAGAAAGTTATATGCTTAGACAACTCATTTATCATTTTTCAGTTTCCATGTATGATGAAGTATTTAAATTCTCAATTGTCAACTGCAAAAATCGCCATTACCGTCTTATATCAAATCACTATGATGCCTCACTACAAAAGATTTACTGTTCAACTCCTATTTAAGCATGAAAATTACTCTGCTTTCAAAATAGTTCCTGTTTGCTCTACCTTGTTTTCTTTGCATGTACCCTAACCAATTTCCCTCGAGTTACAGCAACATGTTGTCAGTGTAAAAAGAGATTTCTTCGCTAAGATTTCGGGGTAATGTTTGCGGAAGGCCCTAGAATGGAGTTCTTATGTTTGCAGGAAGAATAGATGGATGAACTAATCTCACTGCCAAAACATTAATGAAAACCTATTACATGCATAGTGGATATGGATTCACAAAACCAAACATAAAAAGGCAGGGTACAGAACAAAAGGATGAGGTACAACTTGCCTCTAAAACAGGCGAGAAGCGTGTTTGTAGGACACTTCTCAGATCATCAACTTCTTTGAGAATCTTTGAACAACTGGGACATCCACTAACATGTAGAGTCATCAACCAAGATAATGGTTCATGAATATGTAGCAATGGCAAAAGCGTGCTTTCACGGACAACAGCAAATTTAATCCTTTCAGGGGGTAAGAAGAACTCTCTAGCAACGGTAGCTAACTTATCAAAGAACACTTCAAATTGTTCGAACTCATGTAAACTACAGAGGTCACCAATAGTAAATTTTGCGTCTTCAGTCTCCTTTAGAAGACTATTATTTGTTGACGTAAACTGGTCAGTCAAAGATATTCCACTAAACCCATTGTCAATACCACAACTGAGTTCTTCGCTTTCCATACCCTGTTCATATTAAAAAATGGGTATTTCTTACCAACCAGAATAAATTAATCATGAACTTCTAGTTAGTTGCATTGATTAGGGGGAAAAGAAAAGCCATAATCCACCTTTATATTATCCTTATCTTCCACCGCAAGAGGTCCATTGTTCTTTACCTTTACATTATCCTTCTCTTCTCCCACAAGTGGTCCGTTGTTGTTTTGGTTGAAGCCAGCCCTGAGACTACCTTTTCCTGGATGAATTTCAGTTTGTCATTCATGGAAGCATTTAAGCAGAAGATAACTCGAAGCCATTTTGATAATAATGCTGATTTCTTTAATAAGAAACTATCAACAGCAAGACATTTATGTAGTCTACTTACAAAACTGCAAGAAGGTTGAACAACAAATACTCTTTTCTAGAAGTAACTGTTAAAAAAAATGTAAAGACGTGCCACAAAAAAGGGGATTATGCATACCGTAGACTGAAACATTGAGAAATATACAATACATACAAACACACATATATATAGGTTTATAAAAGGAAAGGCCTGATAGAATATGTAACCTACCCAAAGTCAGAGTCATGTTCTTGCCGAGCAATCTTGGAGTCCATCCACAAAATTCCAAGAGAAATACGGCCTTATCAGTTGAATTAAGGAAGTCCTTCAACTCTTCTGGTGTTGTTAAGGATTTAAAAGGCAGCTCATCTGGTGAAGATGACATAACATATCGAACAGAGGCTAAAATATTCTGCACTCTATATCTACCTCGGTATTTATAAGACAGGGAATTATGATGGTAAAAAATTGTTATCTCATCAGTAGCACCAAGGGCATCAGCTAATGCTCTCTCCCCATTTTTGTATAAAACCATAAGCTTTAGATCTCCATACCTCACATCATCATTTGCAACTGCATTAGCCAATTCCTTCATCAGAGAACGCGATTCGCCAGACCCTATCGAAGACAGCATGTTAAAATATCAGCTAGGACATCAATCATAACTTGTGCTATCGTACATGGATAAAGAACACAATGATTCAGAAACACCAAAAAGGAAATATATGTATGTATGTATATATAGCCAATCTAAATTTTTCTCTTTTGCTGTTGAATGTTTTTTCAGCTGAAATGATTCAACATACTCTACTCCACTCTTTGAGCACTACTGTGTTATCAACAAATCAAATCAACCACGCCAACTACAAACAATATAGATTCATGCAAAGTGCCTCTTAGAGAATTGAGAGACATGATCGATACAAACGTTCAATAAACTCTTTAATTCAATATAAACCATTCCCTATCGGGAGGAAAATCTACATACTTTTTTCAGACTGCAAATTAATCCATGGCTTCCTTTTAGCATTCGTGAAAGAAGAAACCAAAATAAACAAAACGAGGCCTATTTGTTCATCGTTTCTAACTAATCCAGAGTTTCATTCAGTTACTTCAGGTTTAAATTCATTCAATCATGACCACAGATACATCCAAATGGACGCGATCATCATCAATTACATGGAACCGTGACGAGGAGGAGGAGGTGAGGATGGAGACGAATCGCGGAAGAGTAGTTCAATTTCGTGAGGATCTGCCATTGCACTTCCGCTCCTCCTCCCCCAGCGCCGCCGCAGTCCGCCGCGTGGATGAGGAAAACACACAGCACTGCAACCACCAGCAATCTTCCACCAGAATTCAGATTTGTCATACACATGTGGTTTTCCTAACAGCAGTTCAGATTTCGGGAGTGGGAAAGAAGCCGAAGTTAGGGTTTGAAAGGGGCTAATCGGTGACGACAGAGGTTGTTGTACTGTTTCTTTTAAGTGTTGTACGTTGTTGCTACTGTTGCAGTTTGGTTTTTTTATTTTTTAATTAACGTAAAATTAAATTTTTAATTTGAATTTTTATTTGAATTATATTTGAATTTGATATTTTATAAAATAAAATATGTTTATATAAAATCATACGAGTAAATTACAACAAAATGAGAAAATAGAAAAATTTAAAAATTTTAAAAAAATAAATGTCTAAGATTGAAACAAAAATGATGGGATAGAAATAATGTAATATCTATAGTATATACAAGTTTTTTGTGCTTTTTTTTTTATATTCTTAAATAAAAATACTTGTTACACATGATGCTATTATAATAAATTTTAGTATTGATAATAAATTTTAGTATTGAAGGTAATTGTTTGTTTGTGTTTGTGTTTGTGTTTTTATTTATTTATTTATTCTTATTTTTATTTTTATTTTTTTGATAAAATAGTTATTAGAATTGTTTGATACAAATTTATAGGATGTGTTTCTTTTAAATTTGTACAAAATGTTTTACTATTTAGATTTACATTCCTAAAATATATATATATATTTCTTACAACATATTCCATCCGTCCCACATAATTTGTCCCTATTTTTTATTTTTGTATGTTCCACATAATTTGTCCTTTCTATTTTTTAAAATATAATTATACACTTTAATCGCATTTTAAATTTTAAATTTTATAATTTTTTAATTTAATTAAACTTTCTTATCTTAATCTTAATCTATAATTATTTTTACTAAATAATAATTATTTTTACTAATACACTTTTTAATTATTTACTAATTATACTTTACCTTAAATTCTCGTGTCTACGGTAATACACTCATATTACATGGGACGGAGGGAGTATCATACAAAATATTATTTGAATATAAAATCCAACCTCCGAGTCATAACTTTTACAATCCATTCCCTTACAACACTACAAGCTCTAGGCACCTATTTTCCCCCAAATACATTATTCATCTAATTTTTTAAAAAAATAAAAAAATCAAATTAAATATTTATTTTTTATTTTTTATATTATTCTAAAAATCAATTTTACATTCAAAATATCACATCAATACCTATTTATATCACATCATATAATTATTTAAATTCAAAATTTTTACTATTCAAATCCCAACTCAAAATCCAACCCCAAGCAAACACACATTGCACACAATTATCCATTCTCTCTTTTTTCTATTTTTTTTAATTATTATTATTATCATACTATAATGATCATCATTCTTCTACACTTTCACGTCAACTGTTTTTTTACCCAAAAAAAAAATTATTTTTGTCTCGTAAAAAATAACTTAGTGGTGTAGAATGAATTCGTGATTATAAAGTCATAGGTTCAAACTTCTCCAAATTCATCGGGTACATATAGTTCTCTTTGAGTGACAATAGCATATAAAAAATATGAGCACCAAAGTTTGATATTGGCTAAACTATTGGTTTGTTTTTTCAACAAGAAATTTTCAATGTATTTTTCCAAAAAAAAATAATATACTACTGTAGACAAAAATAATAAAAAATTGTGTTATATTTTTATAAACACAAAATCGTATAAATTAAATTTAATTTAAATATATGCGGGTCTTATTCTCTATTTGGATCCTTTGATTCTCTTCCCGGGCCGATCCATTTTCCAACTTGGGTCTGGATGGCTTATTTGATTCGAAGGGACTTGGTCTTCAGTTTAGCTTTGTCGGCTTTTGGAGGGCTTTGGTATCCATGTTGGCGATTTTGATCATCGACTTTGGATTGATGTCTCATTTGAATGATTCGACGGAATTTGATCTTTGAGGATAGATTTAGTGCTCCATAATGCTTTTGGCGGCGTGTTCCTTTAACTTTTTGATCGAAGAGAGCCGAGTTTGCGCTTTTGATGAAGAATGCAATGAACATCTTGAACGTTTGAGAGTGACTTTGAAGGTTCTTCCTTGACTTTGATGGATTCCTCAATGGCTTTAAGAGTTTTGATTCTTCCTCCGGCTCGGGCATACGACGAAACTTTATCGATTTGTCAACCAATATTGGATTATTTGTCCAAATTAGTGACTTTCGATGAAGAACGTCTCGAATACGACAAAATTTCATCGATTCGTCAACCAATATTGGATTGTTTGTCCAAATTAGTGACTTTCGATGGAGAACATCTCGAATTACACGAGGAACATGAAGAACAATACATAGAGAGTTTAGAGATTTACCCCTTTACTTGAATCTTCAATGTAACTTCGGTGTGTAATGAATTGACCAAGGCTCCTATTTATAGGGGAGGGTGGCCTTGGCTTCCTTTTCGCATGGTGCCACGTGGCGCGTCCTGATTGACCAATATGAAGATTTTATAATCTTTCCTTTTTCATCACATGTCCTTTTTCATCACATGTCCTTTTTCATTTTTTACGAATTTGATTGTGTACCTTTCTTTCTCACTAAAATCTATATATCATTACATTTTTTAGAACATATTAATTTATATACTTTCTTCATTGACAATATCTTTATATCATTGTTTTTTTTTTTTTTTCAGAAGATATTAATTTATATACTTCATTTATTAACAATATTAATTTATTTTGCTTTCAAATTTATTATGGCTCTATTTATACACGTAATATTTATACAATATCTTCTATTTTAAGAAGATTTTTGCATTAATGGTTGATATATATTGTACAAAATTAACATATGTGCATAATTTAATATCATATATTTATATTATTAGAATTTTATTTTCTTCCAAAATACATTATATTTAATTTAATTTAGACATTTAATTTTTAATACCTACAACTACACATATTCATTATATTTATATTATTTACTAAATTCTCTATATCTCGCATTAAAAAAACAAAAACAAAAACAAAAACCAAAAAACAAAACAAACACGCCCTATGTGTTTTCCACCTTTTATAATTTGAATAGGAAGATATGGACATTTGGTCATTTTAGGTGTTGATTGGCCGTCGTTTGGCTTCCCACGTCTCTATCGTGCTTTCTCTTTGTCTTTGTCTATAAGAATAGACATAAAAGGAGTCTAAACATTATTATATCTTTTGTTATTGATGTTTCGAGTTATTTTTTTAATTCCAAACTCTACAATTTATTTTTTTTTGCTAAACTATATAGATATAGTAATGTTATATATATATATATATATATATGACATCTGTCATCGAAATTTATGTTCATTTAATCGAACAATTTTAAGAAAAATGAGTTAAAATATAATTTTTTTTTTCATTTTATAGTACAAAAAAATTATAAAAAAAAACATTATTTTTGTTTATTAAAAGACAAATATAATTTTTATGACAACTATAAGATCTTAAGGATGGCAGATAAAGTACTCCATCCGTCTCACGTACTATGTTCACGTTGCCGTTTCTGTCCGTCCCACATTCTATTTCACTTTCCTTTTTTGGAAAATGATTATACACTTTAATCTCATTTTAAATTTTTTAATTTTTTTTATTATTTTAATTAAACTAATTAGTTATCTTAATCTTAATTTATAATTATTTATATTATAAAATAATTATTTTTAGCCATACATTCTTAATTATCTACTAATTACATCATTCCTAAAGTACCGTGTCTACAGTGTAGCAGACACGGTATGTGGAACAGATGAAATATATATTATTATACATATATATTCTTATCTAAAATTTTACGGATTTGTTTCATCTAATACAAAATTTTCGATATGATCTTTTTAATTATTGTTATATATATATAATGTGTATATATATCTATATACAAGTTAAAATCTTTATACTCTACATAGTAAAAAAAATACTACATAAAATATAACTTTTTTTATACCATATCATGTTTTTCATATATAACCTAAGAAAACACATTAAATTCAAAATGTAAAACAAATACACTCTGATTTTTTAAACTAATATTGTTTAGATAAATATACTTGTTGGTTGTGGTTTGAAAATAATTTGAATTTATTCGAATAATATTTTAATATAATATTTTATAAAATAAAATAATACTATATTTTTAAAAATTATACAAAATAATTAATATTACCTCAATTTAAAATTATAAAAAAAAATAAATAAACCAATGTCATTGAATTTGAAAATTAACTTAAGTAATATTTAATACTCTCTCCGTCTCTTAACAATTTTATCCATTTTTCTATTTTGGTCCGTCTCATAATAAAGTATTCATTTTTTTTAATAATTGTACTATGTACCTGACATTACAAATACCCTTCCAATTTACAATATATTACACAAATGTCAATATCATACAATACTAATAGGGTTAATTTAGTCTTTTTTATTTTTATTTCTACTTTATCCTAATATAATACTAATATTTATAAAACTCCGTGCAAAAAACAAATGGATATATAGATATGGGACGAAGGGAGTATAATATTTAAAAATAATGATATATTTTAATTAAAATACAGTAACTAAATAATAAAAATGTGACTTATGTTTCTTTAACCTAATTTTTTCAAATTTTACTATTTGAATTATGTTTTTTTCGATATATTTTTTTTCACAAAACATTCAATCAGATATTATTTTAATACCAAAGTCAAATCAATTTTTTTCCAAACTCAACCAAAAGAAGCAAACTTTGGAAGAAACATACTTATACTTTGATAATACTACTTTTGTCATCGAATTTTATTCTTATTTGACCGGACATGAGTTTTAAGAAAATTGTATAATAATAGAATCTTTTTCATTTTATAGTAAAGAAAAAATAAAAAAGTTGGTTTTTTTACTTAAAAAAATAAACGAAAATAAATTTAGATAAAAAAAAAAAATGATAATAGATTTGGATGATGGGAGAATATTATTATTGCCACTGTTCTTTTATATTTTCTCGTTTTGATTGTGGCACAATGGTATAATTTAGATAATTTTTTGCTATTTTGTCCACATTTTTATTTTAAAATAATTTTTAAAATATATTTATAAAAGATAACATAGAAAAATGAGTGCAAATAAATTAAAGTTGAAAGTTGAGTATTTTAAATTAAACTTAATAGCAAATATAGAATTATAGTATTTCAAATTCCTTGTCTCTCAAATACTCTATCCGTCTCAAACACCCTGCAATATTTCATTTTTTGTTTGTCTCAAACTCATTGTAACATTTCCAAATTTAGAAATAATTAATAATATTTTTATACATATATTAATATACATTTCATTTTATCACATCACATCACTCAAATGAAAAAAATAAATAATCATTTATTTCTCCAATCACATCACTTAATATCCAAATTATCTCAAATTACCATACTTAATACTCCCCACCTAAATTCCCGTGCCAAACACAAATATTGCACGGTGTTTGGGACGGATGGAGTATAATATTACTATTACTTTTTCAAAATTTGATGTCATAAAAAAGTCGCAACTTTTCCTAGTTTATTTTATTTTATTTAAAAATATTTTATAAAATATAGCTAACAAAAGTAAAGAAGAAAAAAATATGTATATATTAAAATTATACTCCATCAGCCTCTCAGGGTCATATTTATTTTTTTGCGTTATTGTATTTTACATTAAAAATATTCATATATTTGTATAATTTTTTCTATAAATGTCATTCTATTAGTATTATATGACACTAATTGAAGTATTTTTGCAATTTTTATTTAAGTTGTACTACGTTTTGATATAATAATTAGTATTCAAAATTCAATATACAAAAAGTAAATGAAACCCTTAGAGCCGAATGAGAGTAGTATTTCATCAAGATAAAATAATGAAAGGATGTATTCACTGTTATTGAACTGATATTTTATATTAAATATAGAAAATTATGTCTATAATATAAAAATAAATAAATAATATTATTATATCATTAACTTCTGTGAGTATATAAAAAATATATACTCTTATATCAATTTATTTTTTTTATAAAAATATTAATATTATATTAGAATAAAGTAGAAATAAAAGTAAAAAAAAGAAAAAACTAAATAAATAAACATGTTATTTACCACCCGTATACAGCTTTTATAGTTGTAAATTTGATGTGTTTAAATATATAGTATTTCTTTCATTCCATATAATTTGTTCCTATTTTTTATTTTTGTTCGTCCTACATAATTTGTCATTTTCTTTTTTAAAAAATTAATTATACACTTTAATCATATTTTAAAATTTAAAATTTAATTTTTTTTAATCTTAATTAAATTATTTAGTTATCTTAATTTATAATTATTTTTACTAATATATTTTTTAATTACTTACTAATTATACTCTATCTAAATTCTCGTGTGTACAACAATACATCCATATTACATAAACGGGGGAGTACGAAAATGTGACTATAATCATTAATGATAGATGCATCGCTGCCTTCCACCGAATCAGGAAATGGAATATCTAATTTTAATAATAATATAATAAAATAAATACTAATAATGACGCGGCATTTGTCGGTAGGCTTTCCTACTCTCAACAAATACCATCCATTTTTTTCTTTATAAAAAATGATAATTTAAGTAATCTAAAAATTCTTTTATAATTAGGTGACAAATTACAAGTGAAATAAATAAATAATAATATAGAAATGACAATAAAATAGTACATTGGATTTTATTTATTTATTTAAAATAGTCGTTTGACTATTATGGCTTGTTAAATACTCCTGTACTATGTAAATTTTTAATATACGAAAATTTCATAGGAGTATAATTAGTAAATAATTAATATTTTATTAATAAAATTAATTATAATAATTATATATTAAAAATTAAAATAATTAATTAATTTAATAAAATTTTAACTATTATTCTCTCCGTCCCACATATCGTATCTGCTATATCGTAGATACGGTATTTTAGTATGAATGTAATTAGTAGATAATTAAGAATGTGTTAGTAAAAATAATTATCCTATAATATAAAATAATTATAAATTAAGATTAAGATAAATAATTAGTTTAATTAAAATAAAAAAAACAAATTAAAAAGTTTAAAACGAGATTAAAGTATATAATCATTTTCCAAAATAGGAAAATAACATGGAATGTGGGACGGACAGAAACGGCAACGCGGACATCATATGTGGGACGGAGTGAGTATTAGAATGTATAATTCCTTTTAAAAAATAAAAATAACATAAAATGTGAAATTGACGAAAATGAAAAATATGACATCATATGTGAGAATATTCTTCCTCAAATTCTGCAAAAGTCTAAAGATATTACTATCAAATAACTAATAAATATAATAATAAAAATAATTATAAATTAAAATTAAAATAATTATAAAATTTTAAAATATAATTAAAATGTATAATTATTTTTAAAGAAAAAAAAACTATATATATATATATTACTACCATCTCTATTCTGTTTCTATTTTATGATATTTTCTCTAAATTAAGAATATGTTATATAACGTTATATGAGTCATTACATTAATAACATTATTAAATAAAGTTCGGAATCAATAAATATTCCTTACACAAGTTTATTTTGTTGTAGTAAATTAATTTAAAATAAAATATTAATTGAATTAATATAATGTTTTATAAAAAACAGTATGTAAGTATATTTTGATTAAAAACTATACAAAATAAATGATACTAATTTAAATTTGAAATTATAAAATAACAAATTTTTTTGTTTCATTAAATAAAGTTGAATATTATATATGCCATTTTTGGAAATTACGATCTTGTTTAGATATATATTTTTAAAAATATTACTTTTTAAATTATTTTTAATTGGTAAAAAAACAAAGAGCAAAATTTATTAGTCTCCGTTTACTTGTAAGATTTTATCTACGATTTTACTATTTTCATTTTCATTTTCCTAAAAAAAAAATATCAAATCAAATACTCAATTTTTATTTATTTTATTAGTCTAATTTTAGATTCAAAATATCACGTCAAATAACTATTTCAATTTAAAATTTTGTATATCAAAATTATCAATGTTGATTTCATAAATTTTTTTATTTTTTTAATTATTATTATTATTTTATCAATTTTCGTTTTATTCAAACTAAAATTTAATTTTATAGTATTGTACTGAACACGAACGTATTAAATGAATAAAAAGGATTGACTAAATTACCCAAATATCCAATACTGTCATATTTATTATTTTACCTGATCGTATTTTGGACGAAGAGATAGTATTTTTATTTTTTTATTTATCATAAAATAAAACTGTATCGAACAATTATTTTATATTCTACAAATATTATATTACATTATTGTTTTAATTAAAAAAGTATTGAGAAAATTATTATTAATTTAATATTTTATATAAAAAAATATAGTTTTTATAAAAAAATATAAATAAATAAATAATTAATTAACTTTATGTTATATTTTAAAATTTATTTATTTGAAATGATCATTCTAACATTTTTTTATACGATGAATATTATATTTACCAAATAAATAAAAATAGTGTCTTTTTTTTAATAGATTTTTCGCGTTCATAATTTTAAAAGCCGCAAGTGTATATATGAACATACAAATATATGTATTATGTATATGTAGAGAGAGAGAGAGGAGGCGGAGGAGAGAGAGAAGGGAACAGCTCCTCTCAGATCTGCCACCCTCTGCTGTCTGAACCCTTCTCTAATCCTCTGCTCATACCTGAATTCAGGAATCGAACGGATTACTGATTTTTCACCATTCGAGGAGAGGTAAGGGTTTGCGATTTTCGATTTTTTTGCGGGATGCAGAAGAACAAGAGAATCGATAACGATACCGGCGAGGTGGATTTGTTGGCGGCGGGGTCGTCGTCGTCTTCGTCATCATCGTCGCCGCCGAGATCACTGCCGATTTCGTCCGCCGGCGTCAATTACATACTACACCCGGTCTCCAAATTCGACACTCTCGCCGGCGTCGCCATCAAGTACGGTGTCGAGGTATCGATTGATTTTCACTATCCAATTCCCCTTCCAATTGCACTAAGCCACTAACCAATAGATTCGCTTCTGCTTATTATTCATAGCTCTATTTCGATAATTTTAGGTCTCCTTCGCTAATTCGTTGCTCGTTCTCTGTTATCGAATAGAAAAAAATTGGTAGCTTCAACTTGACTCCATACCTCTGTTTCCTTAGGGTTTCGTTGTTCTAACTGCGATTAAATCATATACACTAATGCTTGATTGAATTTTTGCACTGTGGTTTTGGAAGAATCACATCTAAACGTTTTTAGAAATCATCAAAATAACATGGATGAATCATGTACGAAGATGTTTGATTGATTTTATTATATATATATATATATATGAATGGCTGATCTTGTTGATGAATTAAACTGATGTTGTTGATGAATTGAACTCTGTTTATTCGTGATTCGGAATCGAATAGGTTGCAGATATAAAGAGATTGAATGGTTTGCTGACTGATCATCAAATGTTTGCTCTCAAGACGATTCAAATACCATTGCCGGGGAGGCATCCGCCGTCCCCGAATTTGAGCAACGGTCACGACGCTCCTCAAAGGTACTTGGATTCGATCCTCATTGGTAATTGGCTGCCTTGTTTCATTTACACGTGTGGCTTGTTTACATTGGCGACGTGTTAATTAATATTGTTTCATTTCGAATATATAGAAAGAATGATCGATGAATTATTGAGCTGATCTGCTAGTTTATCGATGCTGCCCTTTCTTTTCATTTATCCGGATTCTCAGGTTATTGTCTTGTGCTGTTTTGTGTTTTTTGATTCCCTTGTGCTTGTTTACAATGATTGTTTTTTATATATCTTTTTGCGATTTTAGCCGTTATATCGTTTGAAAGGTGGTTATAAAAAAGGAATCTCATTTAATTCAGAATCACGGGAAATGTTTTTACGATCATACGGCATTTGTTTATCTTTTCTTACAAGCAAATGTTTTATTATCTATAATGTGACGATTATGTGAATATTGATATGATTTGAATCTTGTAGATATTCTTCGGGAAAATTTATAATAAAATTTCGTTGATTTGTGCCTTCTTCACTCCTAATTTTGTTTAAATAGAAGTTTTTGGAGTTTTGAAAATTTTTGAAAATAGTATATAGTTAGTATTCGAAGTGACGCAATGTGATGAAAAAATAGTTATTTGATGAGATTTTATTTATTTTTAAAAAAAGTTGCGATTCACGAATAATATCAAAATTTCGCTTTCGATTTCAGGCCGAGCAGCTCCGAGCAGACGCCGCCGAACCGTCGTCATTCCGACATAATCAGTTCACTGCAATCGCTGAAATTAAAATCGTCCGATCGGAAGGTCACTCCTGCCATGAGCACTTTACAAAGCTACTACGGCCTCAAACCGCCGAATCAAAAGACGCCTGCGGAAGGTTTCGAAATGGCCGTTTATCGAAACGGAATCGCGCAGTCTCCCGATCCCGACGACCCATTCTCGACACGGGTATCTCTTCCTAACCCCCCGCTGAGCCATCAAAGAAAATCGAAAAGCGTATCCAATGGATTGATGTCCGCAAACGGCACCCTGCACGTCCCGCTTTTGTTGCAAGAATCGAAGGAGAGCAGCAGCGCCGAGAAATTGCTCGATAGGCTGGTGAGGCGGCGGCAGAAATCTGAGGCTGATTTTGCGTCGACGACCCCGCCGGAGAAACTTCTCAAGGAGGAAAACAACACCGGCAGCAGCGCGGTATCGGCAATCACCGGAAAACGATTGGCTCTGAGGCCCAAGTCGGCGAACCGAAGTGGCGGAGGAGGCGATCCTGACCCGGTCGGGATTAACGCGCCGATCGTCTCTACAGGTATGGGCGATTCGTTTCTGACCGATAATTTTGAAGGGGTGCGGAAATCGTCGAGTGCGTCGAGCTTGCAGGAGTCGGATAACGGTGCGTTGTCGTCGATATGGCCTACGGCTAAGTGGAGTTTGAAACCCGACTTTCAGGCGCTGTCTTCTGCGGCTATGCCTATGTTCGATGGACTGCCGAAGCCAATGGGTCGGAGGAACAAAGCCGCGCTCGATTAGGGAGGTCGACGGCGATCGATCGATCAATCGGTATTGGGTATTTTTCGAGATGATCTTAGGGAGGAAGGTTATAGGAGGGATGGCTTGCCGGTACGAAGATAAATATATATATATATATATATATACATGAATACTTACATTTATGCGAGGATTATGGATGGCCTTTGGTTATCGTTTTGATGAAATTATACATGTATTTGTATGTATTTGTATACATTGAATATATATTTATGTATTTATATTTATTTATTTGGTAGGATTGGAGCTGAGATGGGTTGAGAGATCTTTTAATTTTGTTATTGATACAGATAAGATAAGAGAAGAATATGCATATATATGAAGTGTATTTATTTGTGTATGTATGCGTACATATTCCTTGTTTATTTATTTACTCTTCATAGTAATAACACATGAATTTCTATGTATATTATACATGTTAACTAGACTACTTTGAAAGTGTTCTTTGTATCTTAGAAAATTGGAAGATGCAAATTGTGTTTTTACAGTGAAAACAATGACATACTTTTGTGTTAAAATTATTCAATATTATAAAGATATTTTGAGAAATTGTATTCTTAATGCGATTTTAAAAAGTTACTTAAAATTTTTTGCATATATTTTCAAATACTATTCATAAATTTTTTCTTGAAATATATCCAATTTCTTTTTTTTTAATTAAAAATAGAAATATTCTTAAATATTTTATTAAACTATAAATTTGAACATATATTTAATAAAAAATATATATCAGAATAGGCAAATAAACATAAAAAATATTCTTAAATATATAATTAAACCTAAGAGTAAACATTGGAAAACTTCAATTCATATAAAAATATTCCTTCATTATGGCATCAAAGTCTAGAACGGTAAAAACAAACATTCAATATTTAATACTATAATTTAAATGACATAAGTCTCAAGTTTTCGACAACAAATAATAAAATAAAATAAAACAAAACAAAATAGGTAAACAAAACTCAAAACTTACTCAAATGCCCGATTTTCTTCTTCATAGTTCATTAAATAGTAATTGGGGTCACCACATCCCTCCTCCTCCTCCTCTGTATGTTGTAAATACTCAATCATCAAAAGTGGTCTTTTTCCCTGCATTTCAAAATAATTACATTCAATTTAATCAATAAACAACCAATTAATTAAATTAATAAGACCACAATAACTATAACCAATGGTTCAAAATTTTTACACAACCAATATTGTATTTAAAAACATTGTACAAAATCCCCAAAATGTCTTAATATTTTTGTGGAGATTGTGAACAATGTTTCTTTAAATACAAAATAAATTGCAAATTTCTAAATCATGAGAAGTAATGCAGAAATTTTTCTAAGTTGTTTATAAGCAATTATGGCTCTTTACTTCCTAATATATATACATATATATATGAGGATCGTACGGAGGTTAGTTTTTACCAGTTCCAGGTGTGGCCATGCTTGGCTTGCCATTTCCGCGGCCACCTCTGCCGCCACCTCCACGGCCACCACCACCACGTCCGCCGCCAAATCTACCACCACCACCTCCACGTCCTCCGCTCCTGCCACCACCAAACCCACCACTCCTACCACCACCAAATCCACCACTCCTTCCACCACTACCACCACGGCCGCCACTCCTGCCACCACCAAATCTACCACCGCCGCCAGAACTGTCACGGCTATCGCCACGGGGCTTGGCTTCCTCAACCACCAAGTAACTATCACCAAATTCCGATCCATTGAGCTCCAACGCTTGGTTGAACCCATTGTTGTCCTTGAAGTCGACATAGGCTATCCTGTTAATAACCAAGAACCCGAGGCCTTTAGCTCAAGAAACAGCCTAACATAATGCAAATCTCAAAAAGAATATATATATATATAAATAAGCGCGCAGAATAAACCAACCCTTTAAAGTTTCCTTCCGGATCTTTCGGGATGGACACTCGAGAAATTTCACCGCATGATCCAAAGAACTCTTCGAGGGAGCCTCTAATCTGCAGTTATAATAACATTAATTATTATTGGAAGACATCAAAATATAGGGATTCACTAAAATCGAGCATATACCTCGTCCTCGCCCTCGTTTTTGTCGAACCCACGAACAAATACAGTTTGCCCCTGAGCTCTTACCGGCTTCTGGAATGACTCAGACTCTTTCCCACTGAATGCATGATATGTAGTTGAGTCAGTTGAGTTAAAAACATATGGTAATAAATTTAGGGAGTCTGTGAAATAAGGAACGAGATAGGTACCCAGGAGTGTAGGCTCCCCTCTCCCTTGCAAGATCGAGTCTCACTGGACGGCCCAGTAGTTCTTTGCCGTTAAATTCACGGACAGCCTGTAGTGTGTTAAAAGAAAGAAATACTTCTCAATCAAAAAGAAGAGTGCATATGTATGTTATAACAATCAGATTTTTTTCCGTATTTATTGATGTAGAAAAATGTTATTAACATCATTTTAATTATCCGATAAGTTTCGAGGAAAAAAGGATGGACATTTGAAATAACTGTGCATCTGACCACATTATGCGAAATACCGTACCTTCTCGGCTGCTTCAGCAGTAGTGAATTCGACATGACCAAAGCCCCTAAAGGTATTATCATGGCCCATGGCGAAGCGAACATCAGATATTTCGCCAGCTTCTTGGAAGAAATTCTCACTGGATAATAACAGGAATGTCATGACAACAATCAACAGAAAATGTACTAACAGGAATTTTGATGGGAAAGTAGGCTTACACATCAGCTTGTTCAACAGAGAAGGACAGATTTCCAACAAAAATTGTTTTCGAGCCTCCTGTTTGCTCTTTGGGGGTAGAAGGGGTCTTGGGCTGACAAATAATAGAGACGAAACATTAGGGAAAGAAATTGGAGTAAAAGTGTGTATATAAACTACTTTAATTTCTTCAAAAACAACACAAACATGCAAAATCCATCAACAGAAAAACACTTTCAAACAACTCACAGTTTTTTCACCCTTTGTGTTCTCAGCATCAGTCATTTCAACATCAGTATCCTGTATTTGAAAGAAAATAATTTACCATAAGAATTTGTAGAAAATAAATAGGTAATGCTACCAGAGATAAACTCAACATCACCTAATAGTACAACTAAAGATTCACTCGAAACACGTTAGGATTCATAAATTGAACCGAAAGCGTAAATTACCTTTTTCTTGGGAGTTTTTGTAGTTTTTTCCTCTTCTTCATCTGAAGAATCTTCTTCTTCAGACTCTTCTTCCTCTGAAGAACTGCTCTTCTTTGCAACAGTCTAATAAAATAAAGGCATCAGTAACAGAAGTATTAAAAAGATTGTGAAACTAAATTTATACTCGGCATACTATCTTCACCTTCTGCGCCTTTGGGGGTTCAGTGGCTTTGATTTTCTTCTTTTGAGGCTCTTCATCATCACTTTCTTCAGAGCTATCATCGTCACTATCATCTTCAGACTCTGCTTTCTTCTTTGCCTGCAAGGAAGAATTAAGAAACTATCATTTGAAAAATAACAGCGGGAAACTCAAGTCGACATATTTGAGAAAATATATTAATGCAGATTCACAAGCAGTAAACAGGCCCAGGAAGGTTAGGGAATCTACACTACCTTGCTAGCATCAGCAGTGGGCCTCTTCAATGAAGCAGCTTTGGGGGGTTCCTGCAAACAAAAGCAACAATAATTAGGACCTTAGAGAAAATCTATGGTAGTCAAAATCTAGAAAATACATAGTTAGAAAACCACTTATTCATATTTAACAGTGTGCACTTACATCATCCTCATCGCTGCTATCATCATCTTCATCACTGCTAGAGTCATCCTTCTTTTTAGTAGCTGCCGCAGGGCCATTTTTAACAGGAGCAGAAGCTTTCTTAGGGGTTGGTTCATCCTCATCAGAACTATCATCAGACTCAGAATCATCGCTGCTGGATTCATCCTTCTTCTGGACAGCAGGAGCACTTTTAGCGGGTGCTGCAGGAGCTTTCTTGGGGGGAGCAGGTTCATCATCAGAACTGTCATCCGACTCACTGCTTGATTCCTTCTTCTTAGACGCAGCAGCAGCAGGGGTGCTTTTGGCAGGAGCTGCCGGTGCTTTCTTGGAAGCAGGAACATCGTCATCAGAATCTGACTCATCTTCAGAATCAGAGGATTCATCTTTCTTGGCGGCAGCAGCAGGAGCTTTCTTGGGAGGAGCAGGTTCCTCGTCAGAACTATCATCCGATTCGCTGCTTGATTCCTGCTTCTTAGCAGCAGGGGTGCTTTTAGCAGTAGCTGCTGGTGCTTTCTTGGGGGCAGGCTCATCCTCATCGGAATCCGACTCCTCTTCAGATGAATCATCATCACTTGATTCATCTTTCTTCTTGGCAGCAGCTGCTGAGGCCTTTTTGGGTGGCACCGCAGCAGCGGCTTTCTTAGGTGCAGGAACATCATCTTCAGAAGAAGAATCATCATCATCACTTGATTCAGCTTTCTTTTTAGAGGCTACGACGTGCCCATTCTTGGCTGCAGTTGCTGGCTTCTTGGGGGCAGCATCTTCCTCCAAGCCACTGCTTTCATCATCTGAGGATGATTCTGCTTTGCCTTTTTTGGCAGGTGGTGCCTTAGCCTTAGCCTGAAGGCAAAACAATATATAATATTAACATATATTTGTTCTTATTTTCCCTCGAATGAGTGGAAAAGGTCATGTACTTTAAAATAACGCTGCTTATATAATAAATAATTCAAAGGACCAACAAACTTGATTTTCTCTTTAATAATCTAATCTAAACAAGCAATATCAAAATATAATATGCAAAACAAACCTTGGGGGGTTGCTCAGAGTCCGAGGAAGAGTCGTCATCAGATGAAGATTCAACCTTCTTTTTAGCAACCACTTTCTTGCTCTTGACTTCGGCTTTCTTGTCCTCCAGCTTCTGCTTCTCCTCCAGCTTTTGCTTCTTAGCTACCACGGTTTCCTTCTCAGCAGATTCCTCAGCTTCTCTTTTGCCTATTACGCACATAGAAACAATTATTTCCCAAATAAATCAAACATAAAAATCAACAAATATACTCTGTTTACTTATGTTTTCAACTTCATCTTGGAGATATTCAACAACATCTACCTTTTCAAGAGTAAATCGAATCCAATACCCATATTTAATTTGAAATATTAAATCAAAAACCAATTTCAAATTCAACACCAACGCATATCTACGCCAAATCAATCACTAAGCTTCATACTATTTCCAAAACAATCCAAGATTTAAAAAACCTTCGAAACATATGTAAACACAAAACAGATAAAAAGCAAAGTACATACTAAAAAGAATCTAATAATAACTCGTATTAAATATGATACAAAAAAAAAAAAGGAAACAATACCCTTCTTCAACGGCTTGGCGGCAGCTGGGGCAGGAGTAGCGGCGGCGGCCTAAAACACAAACAGAAAGCCAAAAAAAACGTCAGAAATCACCAAAGAAAAACAACTAAAACACGATTGACGTGAACTACTGAAGAAACACGATTCGCCTACCTTTGTTGCGGATTTCTTCGATACTTTACCCATGATGCGGGATCCAAATCGATGAAAGAACAAGGGAAGAGGTGCTAAAGAGAACGGGTTAGGGTTCGTCGATGGCCGCCTGCGAGAGAGGAGGCTGGCAAAACCCTAAAGATGGATGAGTAGGGTTTTGATTGAGACGATATATTTGTAGGCACAGAAATAATTGCCCGTCGATATGGGTCGGGCCGACCCGGTATATGACCTGTCCGGCTCATTAATACCTGGATCCATATCGGATCCGTACAATGTGTGGGCTTACGTCTAATTCAACTAAGCCTTTAAGTGGGCCATTTGATCAATGTGAAGGAAAACCAATGGATGATTGTTTTTTATTTGAGATTTTAAATTAATAATTCAGTATAGTAAACATCATATTAAATTATTATTATCTCCGTGTTGGTGTTATTGAGATTTAAATTTTAAGTTGGGATTTGAATAATAAAAATTTTAAATTTGAATAGTGGTACGATGGGTGTTGAAATATGAAGCCTTATTATATCCTAAAATTTAGGGATATGATTTAGATATTATATTCTATATTTTAAAGATATGATTTGCATTGGCATAAACTTAAGCTATAAATATTCATGTATTCTCACTTTAACATGTGTCCCTCATCGTGATCGAACTGGGTTATCAAATTATTTTGTTCTTGTGTCCTTGTTTGCCTCTTCTTGATTTTCTAAAATTTCCGTAACAAGTGGTATCAGAGTCTGGTTTGTTGGTCGGGTGGATTAGGAGGTATCGGATATTGATTGTGGTTGTGGGAATCCTTTGTGACCTGCGAAGGTGCCTTGTGTCGAAAGTCTTCTGGTAGGTCGGTCCCGACAGTTTTGGTTGGTCAGGCAACGGGTTCCTTTGTGATAGGTGGTGCAAGGTCGGCAGGGAATGATAAGGGTTTCGGCAAACGCAACAAATGAGATATCCAATGTGTTCTCATATCAAGTGAGCCTTATGTTTGTTTGTGGGAGTCAAGATGGGTGATCGTCGTGCTGTCAAGGCATTCAATTTAGTGAAGATGCAGATAGAAGATTATCTGTATGGTAAAGATCTAGAGGTGGTGTTGAAGGAGAAACCCGAATATATTGATGAAGCCGAGTACAAGAAGATTGACAGAGAGACGATGAGTGCGATTCGACTAACCCTTTGGTTTGGGAGAATGTCTTGACTGAATTTAGATTTGAGGCAAAATGAAAGGATGAAGATCAAGAATTGTCAAATTTGAAGCTGAATAACAATGACAAAGAAATATGCAATTCAGGTGGTATGTTGGAACTACAAGGAGCACTTGAAACGAGAGTGCCGGGCGCAGGAGAATGATCAGGGTTCGGCAAACACAGCGGAAGAGATATCCGATGTGCTGATTCTGAGCGTCAACAGTCTAATTGAGTCATGGATCTATGTCTCAAAAGCGTCATTCCACTATTCGGGAATCATGGAATCCTATACCACATGTAATTTTGGTGTTGTCTATATTGCAGATGATGAGACACTGAAAATTGAAGATAAATGAATTATTCGAATCAGAACACCGAATGGTGGGGAATGAAAATTGAATGACGTGAGCCATGTTTTGGGTCTTAAATGGAATCTGATTTCCGTTGAACAATTGGATGAGGTAGGTTACAATTTTTGAAACTAAGTCGTGGAAGGTAACTCAAGGATCCATTGTGGTGGCCCAAGGGAGAACAGATGGAACTCTCTACATGACGAAAACCATGCAAAACGGAATAAGTTCCGTTGCCATAAATAATGACACAAATTTATGGCATTCTCGTCTCGGACACATGAGCGATAAGGGGATAGGGGAGCTCATTTCAATGGGAAGATTGTCAGGTCTTAAGTCCATCGATATTGGAGTATGCGAGGATTGTATCTTTAGGAAGCAACGAGATGGCGTTCTCAAAGGGTGTGAGAGACTTGGAAAAGGAAAAGTTGGAGTTGATTTATACGGACCTGCGGGAGCCTACTTTTGTATCGACCCTTGGAGGCTTACAGTACTACACTGCGGTAATTGATGACGTTACAAGGGAAGTATGAGTATATTTCCTTAAGTGTAAATATGATGCTTTTGATACCCTTAGGAGATGGAAAGCACGTGTAGTGGAAGTAGTGAGCCGATTTATGAGCAATCCTGAAAGACAATTTAAGGTGGTGACCTTAGATGAGTTGAGGTTGTGTTCAACTTCAATTGGCCTCGCTGAGTGAAGAAGAAGGCTGAGCCGATTTATGAGCAATCCTGAAAGACAATTTAAGGTGGTGACCTTAGATGAGTTGAGGTTGTGTTCAACTTCAATTGGCCTCGCTGAGTGAATAAGAAGGCTCGGTGTTGTCATTGCTGATGGAGTATAATGTTGAAGTGGAAGATGTAATCAATATTCAAGTGGTAGATTGTTGAGATATGAAGCCTGATCATATCATAAAATCTAGGGATGTGATTTATATATTATATTCTAGATTTTAGAGATACGATTTAGATATTATTGGCATAAGCTTAGGCTATAAATATCAATATATTCTCACTTTAACATGTGTCTGCGTACTTTATAGTAAAATATCTAGCTTTGCAGCGCCCCCGGTAGTAGATCATCGTGATCGAACTGGGTTACCAAATTATTTTGTTCTTGTGTCCTTATTTGTCTCTTCTTGATTTCCGTCAATGTGATATAAATAGGTGTTGACGTGATGTTTTGAATGTAAAATTGATTTTTAGTATAATATAAAAAATAAAAATAAGTGTTTTATTTGATGTTTTTTTGGAAAAAAAATGGAATGAATAGTGGATTTAAAATCCAATTCTCCAAACAAACACACCCATAATGTCTTTTTTTTTTTGTTGTCCCACATCTTATATCAATTTTATTTTATTTTTTAAAAAATAATAATCATATTTTAAATTTTATAATATTTTAATATTTATTATATCACTATAAATTCTCGGTAACTATGTAACCGATTTTTAACATAACATTAAAAATAAGGCTCGATATGCAAGTTAAATTAGATGAATCATATATGACGTCGGGAGTTTGGATCTATGACCCTAGGGTCACATATCCAACTACCACGCTATCCTTACGGAACGATTTTTATTTATATTTTGAAAAAAAAAGAACTTTAATTTATATTTACAGTTGTCTACTTTATAAAAAATCATGTATGTTAATTATAAATAAATAAGAATATCTTTTATTTAATTGTATTATATAAAATTTTTATTCTATAAAATATTTAAATATGTATTTTATTTCTTAATATTTTTATTTGAAATTATAAAATTTAATCACATCAAAATAATAAAATAATATCAAAAATTATTATTGTTATCTTACTAAATTATATTGGAGTATATTTTTTTAAATATTGCACTTACTAAAAATACGAATTTGTTTGTTTAGTTCGATTTAATTTTATTTTTTATATAAAAATAACTTTTTTATATTAAATTATTTTTTTAAAAATATATATTTTGATAATTGTATCGACACTAAATTTGTCAAAACATTTTTGTTAAATAATAGTATAAATCCATGTCAAAAACACCGTGAAAAACCCACATAGTTTAAAAAAATCAAACACGATAAGGGCGACTTTTCAACGACACCATACCATTAATTATTAATTATTATAATAACAAAACCCCATCCAATCCAATCCAATCCAAGATTCCAAATCCAAATCCAATATTTATTTTCAACTCTCTATGATATCCCATACTTCCCTTCCTCACTAATCTCCTCCCCCGCCATGGCCGCCGATCTCTCAAAATCCAATTCCAATTCAAAACCTCTCCACATAGTCATCTTCCCATGGCTCGCCATCGGCCATCTCCGCCCATTCCTCAACCTCTCCGTCTCCCTCGCCGGCCGCGGCCACCTCATCTCCTTCATCTCAACTCCGGCCAATCTCCGGCGATCCGTCCACATCCCGCCGCGCTTCTCCCGCCGCATCCGTCTCATCGATTTTCCACTCCCGCCCGTCGACCACTTGCCGCCCGGCGCCGAGTCCTCCATGGACGTGCCACATGTCAAGCAGCAGCTCCTCAAAGTCGCCCTCGATCGACTCCGGCCGGAGATTCGGTCGTTCCTCAACGAGGCGCAGCCGAAACCCGACTGGATCGTCTACGACTACGCGTCGCATTGGCTGCCAGAGATGGCGAAGGAGCTCGGAATTTCGACGGCGTATTTTAGTCTCTTCACCGCCGCGTTCATGGCGTTTCTCGGCCCGCCGTCGGTTTTGATGACCCGGGAGCGGACGACGGCGGAGGATTTCACGGTGCTCCCCGAGTGGATCCCGTTCCCTTCCGGGATGGTTTTCCGGCTGCACGAGATGTCGAAGAATATCGAGAAAGGTACTGTTTTCGTCGACTAAAACTCGTATTCGGTATTCGGAGTTAGTATTCGAATCTCATTTCGGAAGCGTTCGTCGTCGCCAGATGCCGACGGCAACGACTACAGCTCGGGGACGTCCGACTCGCTTCGCTTCGGCCTATCGATCGACGGAAGCGACATCGTGATTATCCGATCATACGAGGAGTTCGAGCCGGAGTGGTTCCATCTCCTCAACAAACTCTACCAGAAACCCGTAATCCCGATCGGTGCTCTACCGATGGAAGACAACGACGACGATAACAACGGAAGCGACGAAGATTGGCAAGAAATCAAGCAATGGCTCGACGAGCACAAACCCAGCTCGGTAGTGTACGTCGCGCTCGGAACCGAAGCCGTACTTTCGTTGGAGGAAGTTCGGGAGCTTGCCCACGGCTTGGAGCAGTGCGGGTTGCCGTTCTTCTGGGTGATCAATCGGGACCATCTCGTGAACCTGCTGCCGGAAGGGTTCGTCGATAGAGCGGCGGGAAGGGGAATCGTGCGCGCGAAATGGGCACCACAGATCAAGATACTCGAGCATCCGACGATCGGGGGGTTCGTGACTCACTGTGGATGGAACTCGGCGACGGAGGCGCTAAGGTTCGGGAGAGCATTGATATTGTTACCGTTGATGAACGATCAGGGGCTGAACGCGAGGCTTTTGGCCGAGAAGGGTGTCGGGATTGAGATTCCGAGGGATGGTCAGGATGGAGCCTTCACGAGGGACGGGGTGAGCGCCACGGTGAGGTTAGCGATGGCCTGCGACGAGGGCCGGACGGTTCGGGACAACGCCAGGAAGATGAAGGATCTGTTTGGAGATCAGAAAAGAACAGAGAAGTATATCAGTAAATTGATAAAGCAAATGGTAGAGAAAGAGTAGGGTAGTTTTCATGGTTAATATTTTACTCTGAATTCGTAGTTTTCGATCCTGTTCGAGTTTCGAATGAATAAAACCGAATGAGAAACGGGACAGTTTCGAGAAAATAAGATAGAGAAAATACAACGACTTACTTGATTTGTACGACACTTTCGGGACCCGAGAATTTCTCAGCTTGGTAAGTTTGGATCTTTACGGCATGGCGCACTCGTCAATGTTCCCTGTAATGACAATGAATGAAGCGAAAAGAATCTAACTTTATTATTCAGGTAGGAAATTGAGAATCGAATAACATGAAATTTAGCGAATAGTAATGTGAGCTACAAATGACGATATGCAATTGTTCGACAACTAATGTACTCAAAGAAAAAGGTTCAAACGACGAACATGTTCAAACAGCCGGTCTAAGAAGCAACTTGGGTATGTCTTCGAAAAAAAAAAGAAAAAAAGTGTTAGGTTGAAAAACCAATCAATCGAAGCAAGAACCGAATGTCGTGTTTCTACTACTTTTAATGAAGAAAAATATTCGATAGAACTAACTCCCAATAGAACATTCGAGAACTTTAAACTTCTTCATGAACATCCTGCCCTTTACTTCTTAATAACCAAATGTATGATCGAAATCAATGTAAGATAACAAAGAAATGAAATTGAAAAAACATAAAGCATGTTCAACACCTGATGATTCATCGGTCGCCATCCCAATCGCAGCAACGCACAATTAGTTTCTGCAGCTGCCAAAAACCTCTCAAAGAAGTAATCAGACTAACTGAAATCTCCAAAACATATGAAAATGTAATAGCAGGATTTCGAAACAGCAACACGATATGTTTTGGATTGAAATTGAATGAATAACAAACACATCAAATCAAGCACAAATTCAGCATAACTTAGCAAGAAAACAACCATATTAATCGAAATTGAAATACTATAACAAAAAAGACTACACCAAATGAATATAGATTTGAATTATCATAACAACAAATACCTTGTGTTCTTAGTTGAAATAGCATAACAGTATAAAAGGTATTACTGTATACTACCAATCACTCGACATTGAAATTGACAGCAAAAATCAGTTCAAAACTAGAGCAAGGATCAAGCTAACTTACAAAAAAGCATCCGATGAAGCCGAAGAAGGAGAAGACGATGAAACCAGTGGAAGACAGAAGAAGAATGAAATTGATTTAGGGCTAGGGCTAAGTACAATTTAAATTCTAATGAACACTTCTATACGTGCCATTACAATTTCTTCTATATGTCCAAACATGCTATTTTTTCTCATTAGTTTCAAACACTAATAGTACTAATAAAATTAAACACCACTGTTTCGAAATGTTCAAATAGTTAGATTCCAGTATGTCCGAACACTTTCCCTAAACAGAAAATGAGGATATAACTGTAAAAACTAACTTGGTCGGCATCAGCACTGTCAATGGTTAATCACTTCACTCATGCTTTGTCCCATGAGCTGCATTGACAACATATGCATTCAGGCGCTGGCCGAATGTCTTGGTAGAGAAAGATTGCACCACGTGCTGGCGCGCCTGCATTCCCATGGTCTTTGACATTTGAGGATCTCGAGCCAGATTGGCCATGGCCATGGAGAAGACCTCAGGGTTTGGATTGCATAGGTAGCCCGTCTCGCCATCCTTTATTGTCTCGACCGGACCACCACTATTGCATGCTATTACGGGTTTGGAGGCTGCCATGGCCTCTAAAGGAACAATGCCAAAATGCTCATCCTGCAGAGATTGTAGGCACCGTGTCAATATAAAAAATGGTATCTCATTCAATACCTATTGAAATATTATTGCTTTGTTTACTGATTATCAAAACATCAAATGCGTAGACAATTCTGATCATTGATAAGAATATTGGAATAGCGACGAACCTTGGGGGTGTAGAGAACACAGAGACATTGTGCAAGGAGTGTGTTTCTTTCAGATGTGGAGCAGGATGTGATAAACTGGACTTGACGAGCGACGTGTTCCTTTTCTGCAAGAGCTTTTAATTCCTCCAAATACTCGACATTTTCTCTGAGGCGTTGGTCAAAGCCACCTAACAAAAGAGAAAAAAAAGGCGAGGATGCATATGTATTTCAAGAACATTAACCAAATATTTCATTGTAAGGCATTTGTAGAAAATACATAAGCAATATATCATATAACTATGTATTTTATAATTTCCTTTAAGAAATCTAAGAACGCTCGCGGGACATAGATCATGGTTATTGACTTGTCAAGATAAAAGACAAATTTTACCAGCAATAATCATGGTGAGGTCATTTTCATCTGTGTCGCCTCCAAGAAACTCATCTCGCATGTTGTAGAGCTTACCAAAGGCGGTTATAGCTAGTTCTATATTCTTCTTCCTTTCGAAACGGTTGATAGAAAGAAAATTCAACCTGCAAAAAGAACCATTGAATAAGACTTGGTAATGGGGAGTACCGATTTAATACAAGAAAATTGGAGAGTAATGGAACTATAAGTTCATTGCACGACTTGAATATACCGAGAGATAGAATTTATGCCCATTACTTAGTATTAGCATTAGGTTCGTTAAACTGATCCACATTGACGGCAGGGTACAGCACAGCTGGTCTAACTCCTCGAGAATTTAAATTCTTGAAAGTCTTTGCGAAAGTTGATGCAGTAAATTTGCTATTTACTAGAATCAAATCTGCCATACCTGTAATAAGCCACAAAAGAATGATCGCTCATGTGCCGCGTTACTATGGAAACACAACTTGCATATGCATATAAACAATTACAGAGCTTAAGAACCCGTAGTTAGTTCTTCTAGATAATCGATTGGCTTTCGATAGATTCTCCTGAGGAATGTGGTGTGTTGAGCGAGCAACAGGTCCGGGAAGTGGCAATAAAATATAACCTAGATTTGAATATAAATTCGTGAATCGAACGGCACTAACTAAAGGTAAACCATTAAGGATAAAGTTAAGTATGTAAACCTTCGATGATCTCTTCAACTTCATCAATGGAACAACAACAGAGACCTGATCAGCAAGTATAACATCGAAAGAAGGATACAAGAACAGGACACAAAGTGCGACGAATATACACCGCAGATATGCACACACAGCGTGCAGGCGGTAGAAGAAATGCCGAGGCAGGAAAGCACCATACACAGTGACGGGAAAGATGCCTACACATTCAAAAGTGTTCTAACATTACCTGAATCTTCAGAAGCTTCTAACCGAACATTTTTATAAGTAAATATATATATATATATAATATAAAGACAAAATGAAAGAAAGGTACACACCCGAAACTGTCTCCTCGAAGCAACGGGTTTTGTCATGGTGCGATGTGAATATATGAACATTATGACCGTTAGCCGAGAGTTCTACAGCAGCATCAACTATTAATCTTTCTGCTCCACCTATCCATTTGGGAATCATAATCAATTTAAAAACAAGTTCATTGAAGCTGTGTTTTGAAAGTTGTCTGTATATAATTCAAAGATGTTTATCAAACACACAAAAAAATAGTAAACACATCTTCCAACCACCTCAGATCTCGTGGATTAATCAATTCCTATCCATCTTCACAGAACAATAATTCGAAAGAATGAAATCTTGTCTTAAAAGAACGTAAACCCATCACTCCTCTATAGTTTCAATTTCTTCTTGCGGCACACAATTGTCATGGAAAAATTGCAAAAAAAATCCTCATATATAACTCATTATCACTTTTGTCTTATATCTATCTTGCTGACAAAATATATCTTACATATTTGCAAAAGTCGCTATTTCTATCTTTTGGACACGGCATGGTCACACTAAAGGACATAAATAACGATTTTTTCAAACATATAGGATATCCTTTTTCCAGAGAGATATATACGGGGTATAGGATATGTTTTTTGCAATTTTCTCGTATTGTCATCATTTCTCACAAGAACATCACATTACAAGAGGCTGTTCTAAGGTCTCATTTCAGGCAGAAATTGAAGCAATCAACACAAAGAGGTAACTGAACTCAAAATTACAGCGATTTCATCATTCAATCACATGATACTCTCCATTTTATATTTAATTCAGTCACAAAAACCGCAGAATCTCAAAAAGTTCAATGAAATATCAACATCAAACACGAAAATATCGAAATTTTAACACAATTAAACGTCAAATACGAAAATAACAAAATTGCTGCAACGATCATTGCTTCTTTTTTTTTTACCTATTCCAAGATCAGGATGAATGATTGCTATGTTCAATTTGGAGTGGCCTTTTCTCTCCATAGCTACGAAGGGAATTCTCGAGTTCTTCAGACTTCAGATCAATCTTGTCGTCAATAGTTATCGCTAATCAGAGGGTTTGGTTCCGAAATTAGCAGGTCATTGCCGACGTAGAAGACAAGGCGAAGATGAGCTTACCTGAGGTCGTCGGCCGTCTTTCGGGAGAAGACGCAGCAGATCCGCCGTCGACCGCGTCTCGCCGTCCGCTTTCTCGTTGGTACCTCCTAGAGCCGTCAAAGTTGAGCCCGGCCCGCCCGTCTCACTTTTAGGACTTTTACGTGGGTTTGGGTTGTGATTTTGTAAAGTCGGTCAGTACTTATTTAAATATATTTTTTTAATATTATTTTTTACAGTTATATTAAAAAATTATTATAAAATTAATTAAATATTAATATTAAAATATATTTTAATTTTATATAAATTAAAAATATATCATTATAAATACAATTAATTTATAAATAATGTACAAAGAGAAAAAAATATTAAAATCATCTTGTATATTTTGTTTAATAAATAACCTATAATTATTTTTAATCTATTAAAAATATATATTTTTAGTTAAGACGAATAAAATTATCTTAAAAAAATTAATCAATATTGTGTAAACCTTGCTTTTATTTTCTAACTCTGTTATTAATATGACTCTTATTTATTTAGATTTTTCGTCATTTCTTTTGTTTGTCTTCCATTTTATTATTATATAATATTTTTTTTTTTATTTTTGAATCTACAGATTCATAAAATTAATTATGATTTATTTGTAAAATAATTCTTATTATTAATTTTTTTAAATACACTAACTAATACTCCTCTGTCCCATACGCCTTGCAACATTTCTTTTTTTTGTACGTCTCAAATACTCTGCAGTATTTTAAAAATAGAATATAATTAATTATATTTAATATATATTCCATACTTTATCCCCTCATATCATACAAATAAAAAAAATAAAATATACATTTCTCTCTGTCGCATCACCTAATTTCTAAATTATCTTACTTAATACTACCCACATAAAAACTCGTGTCAAAAGCAAATGTTGCACATTGTTTGAGACGGAGGGAGTAATATTTAGAATTAAGAAATTTTTTATTTGTTATTTATTTTAAAATATTTATTATTTAAATTCTACAATAAAATTATTGTTAGCTATTTTTAAATATTAATTACGAAAATATTTATAATATTAATATTTTTAAAAAGCCCGTGAACTAGCCCGCTTAACTCACCCTCCCACCTATGGGTTGAGTTGGGTTGATAAAATTTTGATACGCCCCGCCGCGGGTTAGCCCGCAAATAACCCGCTTATTTGCGGGTTATGGTCGATTGTGGGCCAATCCGCCCACTAACCCGTTTTGACAAAAATATTTGAAAATAACAACTAATACTAATAAAATACTCTTATCATCAAAATTTATTTATTTATTTTTTATCGTCATTAAATTTTTTTTCGTTATAATTTATTTATTTTTAATTAAACAAATTAGTTATGTTGATTTTTCCCCTCATCCAATTGTGTTCGCGTTTGACCGGACACGAGTTTAAGAAAAATAAATAAAAATAAAAACTTTTACTTTTTTGAGTAAAGAAAAAATAGTAAAACTAGTAATTTTTTTGTACTAAAAAAAAAAACGAAATTAAATTTGAATGACAATAAAAAAATGAAAGTGATAATATAATTGGATGACAGAAGGAGAGAGTATTATATTATTTTTTAAATTTCGCACCAAAAGTAAACATACATTACAATGCGAAAATTTTTTATTTTTTATATTATATTAAAAATAATTTAATATATAAAAATATTACATAAATAATACTTATTTATATCACATTAAAATATAAAATTGTATTATTCCAAAATTCACACTAAACTCTGAAATGTATGACCAAATAAAATATAAAGTTATATTCTATTAAATTATTAATTTATTAGAAAATAAGATCAATTTAATGGGACAATTAAAAAATGAAAAGTGGAGTAAGTATCAAACGCAAAAATTAAATTAGGTAGGAACTGATTTAGAAATAAAACATCACCATTCATGATTCAGCCTTCAAATTTCAATCAACTTGGTTGAATCTTGATGCTATAGTGATCGTGAGTTAGGGTTTAATTGGAATTTTATTTGTATTATTCGACATATATATGAGATTGATTGATTGATTGATTTAGTAGATGATATTTGTTTGAATTATAGAGTTAGGGTTTGAGAATCGAAGATTTGAGAATACTGGCGGGTTAGATTTGGAATTTTAGTTTCGTTGTTGTTTATTATTATTACTATTATTTTTTTTTAAAAAAAGAAAACCTAATTTTTAATTATTTATTTTAATATATAAATTATTCAATAAAAAAATAATAATTTGGATGAAGATGTTTTATTTCCTAAATGAGTTTAGCTCCTAATTTTTGTGTTTGATACATTCCGACAAAATTGATCGACCTTTTATTTTTGAGTGGTTCCCAAATCGGTCTCATTTCCTAATAAATTAATAATTTAATAAAATATAATTTTACATTTTATTTGGTGTTTGAATTTTGGAATGATAAAATTTGATATTTTAATGTTATATAAACAAGTGATATTTTTATATATTAAATTTTATTTTGTAATATAATATAATAAATAAAAATATAAATTGTCCCCTCGAGATGCTAAGCTTTATTCTCTTGGTTTGGTTGTGTTGGCATGCCCAGGATGACCTCCAACCCATGGCCACTTCCTGGATCAATTGAGGAAGTTACTAAGGATTTGGTTTTGTTCGATACAGCACCCATGAAGAGGCAGCTAGCTAGCTATATATATATATATATATATATATGGCTATGAGTGGCTTGCTTGAGTTATGTCTTTTACTGCACAGACACAGACAGAGAGTTAGTTAGTTATGAGTGGCTTGTTTGTTTGAGTTATTATCATATTCATTTTCAGCACGAGAGATCTCCATATATGCTTTTATTAATGGCTGTTTGTAGTCTTCTTGCATACATGTCTCAAAGCCGAAAATGATATCATCGATGTTGTGTTGAATACTGTACTGTACGCGTTGCGTTGGTCTTCTTCACTACCATCACGGCAATGAATATGTCTGTCTGTCCCCTCCATGGACTATATATAACTGGGATTTACTTTACCTTTCACAAGACAGATAATTTAGCCATGGCTTAGTAAGAATGGATAGACGGACAGACAGACAGACAGACAGACCTCAGACCTCTTCTGGGACGGTACGTGATTAGAAACCATAATTCCAGAAGCAACAAGAAGCATGCATTACAACTTGGTTTGACAGGGGATTTTCTTTTCTTGTCGAAATCATGTCAAATTCGACAGAGATCCATCTTCACCGGTGAGATTCCCTTAATCAGTATCGGCAATTTAGTGATGGATTTCAACCCTGCCTGCATGTAATTCACACAACACTACAGTACTCTAATGGCATAATAAAAACAAGGTTTGGTGGTACTGTGATCATATCAGGTAAGGAAATCTCCATGTATTTAGAGGCCACGGCATCAACGTTTGAGCCCTTTTCCTGTTATGATGTCAAAACTTGATATTCATTATTATAAGATTCAATGTGTTTCAAGCTTACTACTACTGTGTGATGATGATCCGCGCTATTCATTTGCTTACATCTGTCGACATTAGCCCTTCAAATTCTTAAGATGAGGAGGCATATAATCATTCTGCAAAAGATGAATTACGACCAAGGAAACAGTTGTGAAATAACCAAGTTGATGAGTATTACTTGTTCGGCGTAACAACTATAGCCTTAAATCCATTCGTTTCTGCCTTTTTCACCATGGCAGGCAGATCACAGATAGGGCAGAGAAGATGCTGCTGCACTCGTTCTGATATACTAATAATAGAGTATGGTGATTGGTGCCATTGTTGACAGAATTATGTATTTCGTCACAACTTGTCCTTTCTTGAAGATGTATGCTACCCCAAAGGGTATTTCATAAATGGAATCAATGATCACATACTTCCAATTAACTATTCATTGAAGTTAGGTAACATGTTAACCAGGAAGTTGTTGAAATAGCTAAAACATCTATGAAAAGAAGTAATTACTATTTAAGTAAACAAGATTGTGATTGAGAGAAAGATTATATCTTTTGATTGTAAAGTAGCGCAAAGCTGCCGACAGTAGGATCAATGTTAACGAGGAGAAATGATTCTCGAGGAAGCAGACAACTTTCAAATGTGTCAAAAAAACTAATTCAGAAAATGGATGTCCAAAGGAATAAAAATCCCCAAAACCTCATCATCTTTTACACATTATTTTGGGAAATTCATGCAAATACTTACATCTATCCCCATAATAGGATAGGACCATTCTTGAGTGAGCTGCCGGAACATCTGATTTTGTTTATAGCCCTGTTGTTGAAGCAGTTCAGTCCTAGGCAAGTTGTTGATTTGGATTATTCATTGAAGAATCTAAGTTACTGAATTGAGTTGGTTTGTTGATGATGAAGAAAATGGCATCGTGGGAGACTTTACGGTAATACTTGTCACTCTTTTGAAGTAAAACTAATCTTTTCTGGTTTACTATTCAGATTCTAGCAAAGTTTTATGCACAAAAAAGATGACGCAACAATATTCATCTCCACGCTTTCAGACAACAGACCACTGCGGACTTATGAAGTGTTCATGATAGTGAAATTTTCGCCATTTTTAACAGGTGCTGAAGAGAATGAGGTCTTTAAAAGTTACATTATGATTTGATCAAAGGCATGACTACATCTCCCTGAATGTGTCGCCTTCATTGTTTGAAAATTTGTAGGAGTTGGAGAAAATGTAAGATCAATCATCGTTATTAAGATCAAAGTGTGAGGATCCTTTAGCTTCCTCGCAACTATCATCACCCAATGGAATGCAAACAGCGTTTGATTTTTTTTTTTAGATGCGTTCGGGGGCCATTGCCGGATGATCCACGAAATTGATCTTCTCGACCGCACCCGAAATACTATATATAGTATTTCGTCTATTTCCTATTACATTCATGCATGGCATTTATTTTAATATACATGCATATAGTAATAGAATTATGTTTACGTCCCGCAACTAGCATTCATTAAATTCGTTTCTCAATTTCATAATAACTGCTTTTTTAGTGTATTCTGTATGTATGTAGGTAAAACTTACGTGGAGACTAGAGGGTCCGGTCCGCATTGCTACTTCGATCTCGATTTCCAACACAAGGTAAGTGGTTTAGTGGTTTCAATTTTATTTTCATATTTCATATGAATATATACTAATATCT